TATTTACTACCCGGGTACCCACCCACCCCATTACCCGACCCTACCCAGGTACCTGCTGTAGGTCTTAAGAGAAGGGTACAAAACGTCCGATTGGGAATAGTTTGACCGTAGCCCTGGCAAAATGTATTTAGATACACATATAAAACAATCTGGTCATGCATACGGGGAATTTGACTGAAGTATTACTTTATTCCATCGTTTTTAAAAGTCAAAGGAATGGGTGCACAGTCAGAAAGAAATGCGAACATTCGTGACTTGTAGTGCAACCATAGAGTTTTAGATTATATTCGTCATTATACAATATATCACGTGACGAACCACGGGTCCGGCTAGTCAGTCCTGTGGGTACACGGATCCTTCTCAGAACCCACCCGACCCGGGTACCAAAGTTACCCATCCCACGCCTTCTGGAAACATTATCACTCCGAACCAGACTCTATATGCCAAGGCAATGCGACACACAGAAAAGCTGTAGCATCTTAGAAAACTGGACCACCCATGCCCAAAAAAGCTGAAAGAAGAAAACACAAACAGACATCTGTTTCTGATGGAGAACCCTTCATAATACTTCACATACATTTATTAAAGCAGAACAATTATTCAAGTCAATTTTATGCACATAAAGTCTCAGCCTGGTTCCCTGGGTATGCTGCGCTGGCGCTATACTGAGCGTCAGCAGAGCATACCCAGGGAACCAGGCTGATGAAGTCTTGGCTCTAAATGCTATTTTCCATCTAAAACAAGACATGTCCTGAACCAGAAAAAAAATATTACCGCAATATCACTGCACTTCCCAAGACACACAAATCTCATAATTATTGTAAATAACCCTGAGTTGAAAACAAACCATGAGTAACATCTGCTTATATGAAAAAAAACCATGCATTTTCAAAGCATCAACCATTTCTTATTACAAAAACATACAAATGCCTTATTATTCAGCCTTGCTCATATCCAGAAAGAATGGGACCTTGAATCTTTATTATAAAGGATTGGTGAGATTAAGGGAGGGGGGGTATGATATGAATATTTCAAATATATAAAGGGTGTGTGTCATGAAAAAAATATAACACTGTCCTTATACCAGCCCCACCCCCTTCAATAACTGCCCATCCCCACCCTCTTCAATAACTGACCAGCCCCACCCTCTTCAATAACTGACCAGCCCCACCCCCTTCAATAACTGACCAGCCCCAACCCCTTCAATAACTGACCCGCCCCTCCCCCTTCAATAACTGACCCGCCCCACCCCCTTCAATAACTGACCAGCCCCACCCCCTACAATAACTGAACAGCCCCACCCCTTCAATAACTGACCAGCCCTACCCCCTTCAATAACTGACCCGCCCCACCCCCTTCAATAACTGACCAGCCCCACCCCCTTCAATAACTGACCAGCCCCAACCCCTTCAATAACTGACCCGCCCCACCCCCTTCAATAACTGACCCGCCCCACCCCCTTCAATAACTGACCAGCCCCACCCCCTACAATAACTGAACAGCCCCACCCCTTCAATAACTGACCAGCCCTACCCCCTTCTATAACTGACCCGCCCCACCCCCTTCAATAACTGACCAGCCCCACCCCCTTCAATAACTGACCAGCCCCATCCCCTTCAATAACTGACCAGCCCCACCCCCTTCAATAACTGACCAGCCCCACCCCCTTCAATAACTGACCAGTCCCACCCCCTTCAATAACTGACCAGCCCCACCTCCTTCAATAACTGACCAGCCCCGCCCCCTTCAATAACTGACCCGCCCCGCCCCCTTCAATAACTGACCCGCCCCTCCCCCTTCAATAACTGACCAGCCCCAACCCCTTCAATAACTGACCCGCCCTACCCCCTTCAATAACTGACCCGCCCCTCCCCCTTCAATAACTGACCAGCCCCACCTCCTTCAATAACTGACCAGCCCCACCCCCTTCAATAACTGACCAGCCCCACCCCCTTCAATAACTGACCAGCCCCGCCCCCTTCAATAACTGACCCGCCCCGCCCCCTTCAATAACTGACCAGCACCCCCTTCAATAACTGACCAGCCCTAATTACATGTAACTGAGTCAATACCCTGGGTATACTGAAACTGTAAATGGACGCTAACGTAACAATGTAAAAGCTGTCACATGAAATGAATATATTCCCAATCAATTTCCATAGTGACCCAGTGACCGAAACTCATCCACAATGCCACACAACTGATAATCATTGCCTGCTGGTAAAGGGAAGTAACTCTAAATTCCTTCTACATTGACAGCTGCATTGATCAACCACCAGACATGGCCTTTTCTGGTCTATCCTATCTCATGCTATATATACAACAAACTAACATGAACTGTTCAGGGAATGAAGGCATCATTTTAATAATATCTGCTTATTAAGGCACAGCAGAAAGGCTGGACCAGTGCCACTGGGGCTGGATACATTCACCTCTTTATGACCATCTGGTATCATCACTCTTTGATAGTGATTCATATACACATGCTTATGATATTGGGATCGCCAACCGACTCTGTTTTTACTTTAGAATATGGAAAGGGTTTTGTTGCTTTTATTTGCAGTAATTCTAGACTGATATGAATTGTGTTACTTGTCAAACAAGCATTCTAAAACTATGTAACTATCTTCCACTTTAAGTCATCCACAAAGTGAGGTTGCTTCTCTTGTACAGTAGCTGTTTAGAGACTAACCACAAGCTATGACGAAGTACAGATTATCTGTCCTGTGTGCATGAATAATGTTAATGGATTCACTCACGAAGACAGATAACCGTAATTCCATCGTGTTGCATATTCTATTCTATTACACGTTGACATTTTAAGAGAGAAAATGAAGAAAAAATGCAATAAATGTCAATCCAACACATGTCAACTTCCCTGAAGTCAGCCTGTTGTTCAGATGACTGTATGTAATTAATTTGTGTTGTCATGATCAATGTTTTACTTCATATTTTCTCAACAATGTAGCACTGTGAGGTCATATGGCTTCCATTGACCAATCAGCATTGAGAATCACTAAAATTCACCTGTGCAAAAATTGGAAAGAAATTTCACACGATCATTCTTCGCTTTTCGGTAATATATAATAACATAATGTCATGTGAAAAATGATTGTCTTGTGGGTTAACTCAGAAAAGACAAATACTGAAAACAATCATGTTTTAAATACGGAAAATGCTGATGTAGAATAAGAAACCATTTGAAAATTATATAAACATTAAAATATGCATGTTGATTAAATAGATATAATTTTCTGTATCACAGTTTACAACACAAGCATCTATAGGAGTTCCTCGAGGAACTGTCCAGGAGGCTGTTACATAAATGATCAATGCCATGAGGAAACGGTGACATGCAGTCTGGCCACTCTCTGTCATGACAAGCATGTGTTTCCGTAGAGATTGTCATGAGATCAGTCAGTATCCAGTCACAACATGGCGAAATCTCACTGCAAGAATATGGGACTTAGGAGTGTGTGAGTCAGCAACGAGGCTATTGTCACACATATAATATCGTCTCTGGAATAAACGGTTCAGATCAATAAAATAAATATCACAGCTGCCACATCGGCAAAACATTACTCCAATACTGGAGCAATAAATGTGAGTTAATATCAGCTGATGTGACCTCAATCACCCTGAGAGTGTCAGTACACGGGTTTCAAACCCTCAACACGCACGCACGCACGCACACACACACACACGTCATTGAATTGGGGACTCCATGGTGCCAGGCTAGGTAACGTGTTGTCATGACTTTGTCTCGATGTAAGTAGGTAGGTTGATATTCATCATGAGATTTAATGTCACTTGAATAAACAGACATAGTGTCCAATGACAGACAGACAGAAACTTTGCTCCAACTAGCCTTGTGAAGGAAAACATAACACATCGTAAAAGGATGAATTTTCTCAAACCATATACTGCCTGCGAGTAGAATTTCCAACATTGTGTGTTAATGTGTGTGTACATACCCTGAATATATTGCTAACATTACCACATAAGAATATCTCTGGCAGCAGTATTTCTATGAGTGAGTGAGTGAGTGAGTGAGTACATTTTAATGCTGTGATAGGAAATATAGACCAGGTGACAGTGTCTTTTCAGGGTTGATGGGTATTGCAAGAAACACAAAGTATCAAATTTCTTTTAAAGAAGTATCAAATCTCTTTTGTTTTAAAAGTATCAAATGTCTTTTTAAGAAGTATCAAATCGCTTTTGAACAGTATCAAATCTATTTTAAGAAGTATCCAATCTCTGAAAAGTACCAAACTTATTACTAAGACATATTAACCTAGAAATGTTTCTACACAATTAACCCTGCCAAATTTCCACATCCAAACAAGCAGGCCAATCTGATTTCATTACCTGCAGTTTATCTTCAATGTTTAGCCATCTAATACTAACAGAAATTTGGCCCACTTCTGAGTGTTAACTTCAACATTGTATCAATGATGATCTGTACCGGTACAACAGCGTCATACAATCAGTAAGGTCCACGCAGCCACAACAACCTGACTGCAGCTCATGTCAAGGCAAAGCTATAATAACTCGCCCGTGTCAATTGAGTTGCTGCTTAACATAATTAAGGTACCCTCTTACTATAAGACAGAACGGTCGGGCAGCCTAGTGGTTAAAGCGTTCGCTCTTCATGCTGAAGACCTGGACTCGATTCCCGACATGGGTACAATGTGTGAAGCCCATTTCTGGTGTCCCCCGCCGTGATATTGCTGGAATATTGCTAAAAGCGGCGTAATACCATACACACTCACTTACTATAAGACTGAAGTCCCACTGGGGTGCCAATCAGGCCTTTTTTTAAGTCGCGGGACATTGTTTCATGGACATTGTTCCATTGTTACAATGACCAATTGGACGGATACCCTAGAGTGAGTGAGTGAGTGAGTTTGGTTTTACGCCGCTTTAGCAATATTCCAGCAATATCACAGCGGGGGACACCAGAAATGGGCTTCACACATTGTACCCATGTCGGGATTCGAACCCAGGTCTTCGGAGTGACGAGCAAACGCTTTAACCACTAGGCTACCCGACCGGCCCTGGATACCCTAGATGCATTGTCTGTGACATCTTAATACTGGATGACCAACTTTAAAAAAACACAACTTGTGAGTAGCATATGAATAAGTGAACAGTTTTACACTGACTTGAACAGTATGGCAGTTATTTCAGAGTAAGTCAGTTTAATATAGGATGAAATGCTCAATGAAAGTGATGCAGGTCTTTGAAGTTTACCACACTGGCAAAACCCGCAAGCATAGACCACATGACACTGCAGGATTGCTGGGTGTTCACTTTAAAATGATTTCTGATTGGCTAACCCAGATCACATGACATTGCACGCTTGTGAGGTCTGCCTCTTCAGGGTTTTCTTGACAGGTATTGGATCAGGTTTAGCCTCCTGCATCTCCTTCAACTGGTTTGCCTCTTCATCCTCATCCGAATCATCCTCATCGTCGTCATCATCATCATCATTACTGTCACGTCGAGATTTTTTAACTGAAGAAACATGTTGGAGGTCACATTAGACAATAATGTATAACAACTTAATGATGAGTGGACATTGTGGAATTGGAAATTAAACTCATGAATAGCAGAAAATTTCTGCAAAACATTCTACCTTTCTGAAGCATATTTTGCATTGGGAAATTTAATAGGTGACTGGGTATACAAAAAGAAAATGCATAACAACACTATGAATAATTACTGAGTGAATATATTTTTGAAAACAAAACAATTACAGAATGCAAATTGGTAAACCGCAAGTGCATCTGTCCTTAGCCAAAAAACGCTTGCCAATCATGGAAATATGCATTCGTCACCACTCGCCCCTTTCCGTAACCTGCAAGAAGACTCGTCCCCCTATCAATGAATGGTATGTGCGAAAATACGACAAACCAATCAGAATGCGCGCATGATTTCACGTTCTTCGTCAAAGAATCCCTCAGAAATAATTATTTTACACACGTCTTGCATCTAAAATTATACCCAAGACACAGTTAAATGTGTTCAAATCATACTGCATTATTCCGCATGTCCCAATGTGATTTAAATTGCATCTGAAATATATATAATATATGGGGAAATATATGTTAACCATTACGCAACGAGTTGACAATTGTTTTAGCTTTGCCCGTTTGCGCTAAGAGGGGCACGAGTCGCTATTCGGCTTGTCCCGGAATAACACGAGTTGGTCACGAATGGGAAATATGGTCGGACATGATGCTCCACCAAGTTTGTCCTACCTTCAGTTGTCTCCCCTGGTTTCATCTCCTCTCCCACATCTTCCTCCGACTTCTTCTCCAGCTGTTCCTTGTACCGGAGTGCGGTGGAGCTGTAGGCCAGCTGCTCGTGTTCACAACACAGCCACAGCGTCTTCCCATTGGCCATGTGACACCTGGATAATAATAATAATAATAATAATAATAATAATAATAATAATAATAACAACAACAAATGATGATGTTGATGATGATTGAGTACAGTGTCTTCCAATTGGGCATGTATCACCTGGATGATACGACATATTGAGTACAGTGTCTTCCCATTGGGCATGTGACACCTGGATGATATGACATAAAGAGTACAATGTCTTCCCATTGGGCATGTGACACCTGGATGATACGACATATTGAGTACAGTGTCTTCCCATTGGGCATGTGACACCTGGATGATACGACATCAAAAGTACATTGTCTTCCTATTGGGCATGTGACACCTGGATGATATGACATAAAGAGTACAATGTCTTCCCATTGGGCATGTGACACCTGGATGATACGACATCAAAAGTACATTGTCTTCCCATTGGGCATGTGACACCTGGATGATACGACATCAAAAGTACATTGTCTTCCCATTGGGCATGTGACATCTGGATGATACAACATATAGAGTACAGTGTCTTCCCATTGGGCATGTGACACCTGGATGATATGATACATAGAGTACAGTATCTTCCCATTGGGCATGTGACACCTGGATGATACGACATAAAGAGTACATTGTCTTCCCACTGGGCATGTGACACCTGGATGATACGACATAAAGAGTACATTGTCTTCCCACTGGGCATGTGACACCTGGATGTTAAGACATATAGAGTACAGTGTCTTCCCACTGGGCATGTGACACCCACATCCCTTCAGGCTTTCCTTCCACATCAAGCTGGTTACCATAAAGCAATGATGAAGTTACATTTTGGCTGGATTAACAAGTCAATCAAAATTGCGAACAAAAATTGACAACAGATTTTAGTGGACTGCATAATTTGTATAAGATGTGTTCCGTCAAATGGGCGTCTATATTTTCTAGATATTTTCCAATTTTTTTCACGTTTTTAATCAAGGTGCTCATGTGACTTGATGCAAAGTAAAATGTTTCATTACAATTTATATCTTGATCATAGATCAGATCGTTTTGACTGGGCACTGCCATTCTTGTTTGAAGCAAATGCAAGTGATATGAGAGGTTGAATGTGATACAATCGGGATATAACTCTTAATAGCCACTGGTGGCACCACAATCGTGCCCAGACACTCCAGGCCAGGTCGGCAAGGGTGGAAACTAAACTTTTACAGCCAGTTAATTCCCTTGCCTCAGGAAGATGGCAACACGTGATTACAACCTGAAGAATCTCGGGAGAACTATTGGAGCTTTGAACTCCCTACAAAGCACACTGACCTTGAGAGTCCACACTTGGCGCCGTCTTTGTCCTGGTCCATCACTGTCTGCAGCAGTGTCTTGTACTCCTCCTGGAACACGCTGTCTGTCCTGGCACACCACTGCAACACACAGTGATGGAATGAGTACCAAGTAACGTCTCAGACCTGCATCACCTCAGGCTACCTTCTGGCATATCTAAGCTGGCACACAGTGATGGAGTGATACCAACTAACGTCTCAGACCTGCGTCACCTCAGGCTACCTTCTGGCATATCTAAGCTGGCACACAGTGATGGAGTGATACCAACTAACGTCTCAGACCTGCGTCACCTCAGGCTACCTTCTGGCATATCTAAGCTGGCACACAGTGATGGAGTGATACCAAGTAACGTCTCAGACCTGCGTCACCTCAAGCTACCTTCTGGCATATCTAAGCTGGCACACAGTGATGGAGTGAGTACCAAGTAACGTCTCAGACCTGCGTCACCTCAAGCTACCTTCTGGCATATCTAAGCTGACACACAGTGATGGAGTGATACCAAGTAACGTCTCAGACCTGCGTCACCTCAGGCTACCTTCTGGCATATCTAAGCTGGCACACAGTGATGGAGTGATACCAAGTAACGTCTCAGACCTGCGTCACCTCAAGCTACCTTCTGGCATATCTAAGCTGGCACACAGTGATGGAGTGAGTACCAAGTAACGTCTCAGACCTGCGTCACCTCAGGCTACCTTCTGGCATATCTAAGCTGACACACAGTGATGGAGTGAGTACCAAGTAACGTCTCAGACCTGCGTCACCTCAAGCTACCTTCTGGCATATCTATGCTGACACACAGTGATGGAGTGAGTACCAAGTAACGTCTCAGACCTGCATCACCTCAGGCTACCTTCTGGCATATCTAAGCTGACACACAGTGATGGAGTGAGTACCAAGTAACGTCTCAGACCTGCATCACCTCAAGCTACCTTCTGGCATATCTAAGCTGGCACACAGTGATGGAGTGATACCAAGTAACGTCTCAGACCTGCGTCACCTCAGGCTACCTTCTGGCATATCTAAGCTGGCACACAGTGATGGAGTGATACCAAGTAACGTCTCAGACCTGCGTCACCTCAGGCTACCTTCTGGCATATCTAAGCTGGCACACAGTGATGGAGTGATACCAAGTAACGTCTCAGACCTGCAACACCTCAGGCTACCTTCTGGCATATCTAAGCTGACACACAGTGATGGAGTGAGTACCAAGTAACGTCTCAGACCTGCATCACCTCAAGCTACCTTCTGGCATATCTAAGCTGACACACAGTGATGGAGTGAGTACCAAGTAACGTCTCAGACCTGCATCACCTCAGGCTACCTTCTGGCATATCTAAGCTGACACACAGTGATGGAGTGAGTACCAAGTAACGTCTCAGACCTGCGTCACCTCAAGCTACCTTCTGGCATATCTAAGCTGACACACAGTGATGGAGTGAGTACCAAGTAACGTCTCAGACCTGCATCACCTCAAGCTACCTTCTGGCATATCTAAGCTGACACACAGTGATGGAGTGAGTACCAAGTAACGTCTCAGACCTGCATCACCTCAAGCTACCTTCTGGCATATCTAAGCTGACACACAGTGATGGAGTGAGTACTAAGTAACGTCTCAGACCTGCATCACCTCAAGCTACCTTCTGGCATATCTAAGCTGACACACAGTGATGGAGTGAGTACCAAGTAACGTCTCAGACCTGCGTCACCTCAAGCTACCTTCTGGCATATCTAAGCTGACACACAGTGATGGAGTGAGTACCAAGTAACGTCTCAGACCTGCATCACCTCAGGCTACCTTCTGGCATATCTATGCTGGCACACAGTGATGGAGTGAGTACCAAGTAACACCTCAGACCTGCATCACCTCAAGCTACCTTCTGGCATATCTAAGCTGACACACAGTGATGGAGTGAGTACCAAGTAAAGCCTCAGACCTGCATCACCTCAGGCTACCTTCTGGCATATCTAAGCTGACACACAGTGATGGAGTGAGTACCAAGTAACGTCTCAGACCTGCGTCACCTCAGGCTACCTTCTGGCATATCTAAGCTGACACACAGTGATGGAATGAGTACCAAGTAACGTCTCAGACCTGCATCACCTCAGGCTACCTTCTGGCATATCTCAGCTGGCACACAGTGATGGAGTGAGTACCAAGTAACGTCTCAGACCTGCATCACCTCAAGCTACCTTCTGGCATATCTAAGCTGGCACACAGTGATGGAGTGAGTACCAAGTAACGTCTCAGACCTGCGTCACCTCATGCTACCTTCTGGCATATCTAAGCTGGCACACAGTGATGGAGTGATACCAAGTAACGTCTCAGACCTGCAACACCTCAGGCTACCTTCTGGCATATCTAAGCTGACACACAGTGATGGAGTGAGTACCAAGTAACGTCTCAGACCTGCGTCACCTCAAGCTACCTTCTGGCATATCTAAGCTGGCACACAGTGTTGGAGTGAGTACCAAGTTATGTCTCAGACCTGCGTCACCTCAGGCTACCTTCTGGCATATCTAAGCTGGCACACAGTGATGGAGTGAGTACCAAGTAACGTCTCAGACCTGCATCACCTCAAGCTACCTTCTGGCATATCTAAGCTGACACACAGTGATGGAGTGAGTACCAAGTAACGTCTCAGACCTGCATCACCTCAAGCTACCTTCTGGCATATCTAAGCTGACACACAGTGATGGAGTGATACCAAGTAACGTCTCAGACCCGCATCACCTCAGGCTACCTTCTGGCATATCTCAGCTGACACACAGTGATGGAGTGAGTACCAAGTAACGTCTCAGACCTGCGTCACCTCAGGCTTCCTTCTGGCATATCTAAGCTGACACACAGTGATGGAGTGAGTACCAAGTAACGTCTCAGACCTGCGTCACCTCAAGCTACCTTCTGGCATATCTAAGCTGACACACAGTGATGGAGTGAGTACCAAGTAACGTCTCAGACCTGCATCACCTCAAGCTACCTTCTGGCATATCTCAGCTGACACACAGTGATGGAGTGAGTACCAAGTAACGTCTCAGACCTGCATCACCTCAAGCTACCTTCTGGCATATCTAAGCTGACACACAGTGATGGAGTGATACCAAGTAATGTCTCAGACCCGCATCACCTCAGGCTACCTTCTGGCATATCTCAGCTGGCACACAGTGATGGAGTGAGTACCAAGTAACGTCTCAGACCTGCATCACCTCAGGCTACCTTCTGGCATATCTATGCTGGCACACAGTGATGGAGTGAGTACCAAGTAACGTCTCAGACCTGCACCACCTCAGGCTACCTTCTGGCATATCTAAGCTGACACACAGTGATGGAGTGAGTACCAAGTAACGCCTAAGACCTGCGTCACCTCTAGCTACCTTCTGGCATATCTAAGCAGACACACAGTGATGGAGTGAGTACCAAGTAACGCCTCAGACCTGCATCACCTCAAGCTACCTTCTGGCATATCTAAGCTGACACACAGTGATGGAGTGATACCAAGTAACGTCTCAGACCTGCATCACCTCAGGCTACCTTCTGGCATATCTAAGCTGGCACACAATGATGGAGTGATACCAAGTAACGTCTCAGACCTGCGTCACCTCAAGCTACCTTCTGGCATATCTAAGCTGGCACACAGTGTTGGAGTGAGTACCAAGTAACACCTCAGACCTGCATCACCTCAGGCTACCTTCTGGCATATCTAAGCTGGCACACAGTGTTGGAGTGAGTACCAAGTAACGTCTCAGACCCGCATCACCTCAGGCTACCTTCTGGCATATCTAAGCTGACACACAGTGATGGAGTGAGTACCAAGTAACGCCTCAGACCTGCAACACCTAAGGCTACATTCTGGCATATCTAAGCTGACACACAGTGATGGAGTGAGTACCAAGTAACGTCTCAGACCTGCGTCACCTCAGGCTACCTTCTGGCATATCTAAGCTGACACACAGTGATGGAATGAGTACCAAGTAACGTCTCAGACCTGCATCACCTCAAGCTACCTTCTGGCATATCTAAGCTGACACACAGTGATGGAGTGAGTACCAAGTAACGTCTCAGACCTGCATCACCTCAAGCTACCTTCTGGCATATCTAAGCTGGCACACAGTGATGGAGTGATACCAAGTAACGTCTCAGACCTGCGTCACCTCAAGCTACCTTCTGGCATATCTAAGCTGACACACAGTGATGGAGTGAGTACCAAGTAACACCTCAGACCTGCATCACCTCAAGCTACCTTCTGGCATATCTAAGCTGACACACAGTGATGGAGTGAGTACCAAGTAAAGCCTCAGACCTGCATCACCTCAGGCTACCTTCTGGCATATCTAAGCTGACACACAGTGATGGAGTGAGTACCAAGTAACACCTCAGACCTGCATCACCTCAAGCTACCTTCTGGCATATCTAAGCTGGCACACAGTGATGGAGTGATACCAAGTAACGTCTCAGACCTGCGTCACCTCATGCTACCTTCTGGCATATCTAAGCTGACACACAGTGATGGAGTGAGTACCAAGTAACGTCTCAGACCTGCGTCACCTCAGGCTACCTTCTGGCATATCTAAGCTGACACACAGTGATGGAATGAGTACCAAGTAACGTCTCAGACCTGCATCACCTCAGGCTACCTTCTGGCATATCTAAGCTGGCACACAGTGATGGAGTGAGTACCAAGTAACGTCTCAGACCTGCATCACCTCAAGCTACCTTCTGGCATATCTAAGCTGGCACACAGTGATGGAGTGATACCAAGTAACGTCTCAGACCTGCGTCACCTCAGGCTACCTTCTGGCATATCTAAGCTGGCACACAGTGATGGAGTGATACCAAGTAACGTCTCAGACCTGCGTCACCTCATGCTACCTTCTGGCATATCTAAGCTGGCACACAGTGTTGGAGTGAGTACCAAGTAACATCTCAGACCTGCGTCACCTCAGGCTACCTTCTGGCATATCTAAGCTGACACACAGTGATGGAGTGATACCAAGTAACGTCTCAGACCTGTGTCACCTCAGGCTACCTTCTGGCATATCTAAGCTGACACACAGTGATGGAGTGAGTACCAAGTAACGTCTCAGACCTGCATCACCTCAGGCTACCTTCTGGCATATCTAAGCTGACACACAGTGATGGAGTGAGTACCAAGTAACGTCTCAGACCTGCATCACCTCAAGCTACCTTCTGGCATATCTAAGCTGACACACAGTGATGGAGTGAGTACCAAGTAACGTCTCAGACCTGCATCACCTCAAGCTACCTTCTGGCATATCTAAGCTGACACACAGTGATGGAGTGAGTACCAAGTAACGTCTCAGACCTGCGTCACCTCAGGCTACCTTCTGGCATATCTAAGCTGACACACAGTGATGGAATGAGTACCAAGTAACGTCTCAGACCTGCATCACCTCAAGCTACCTTCTGGCATATCTAAGCTGACACACAGTGATGGAGTGAGTACCAAGTAACGTCTCAGACCTGCATCACCTCAAGCTACCTTCTGGCATATCTAAGCTGACACACAGTGATGGAGTGAGTACCAAGTAACGTCTCAGACCTGCGTCACCTCAAGCTACCTTCTGGCATATCTAAGCTGACACACAGTGATGGAGTGAGTACCAAGTAACACCTCAGACCTGCATCACCTCAAGCTACCTTCTGGCATATCTAAGCTGACACACAGTGATGGAGTGAGTACCAAGTAAAGCCTCAGACCTGCATCACCTCAGGCTACCTTCTGGCATATCTAAGCTGGCACACAGTGTTTGTTTGTTTGTTGTTTAACGCCGCACTCAGCAATATTACAGCTATATGATAGCGGTCTGTAATTTATCAAGTCTGGACCAGACAATCCAGTGATTGACATCATTAAAATCGATCCATGCAATTGGGATCGATGACATTCATCAACCAAGTCAGCGAGCCTGACCACCAGATCCAACTTACGGCACGGGCCCTGACACACAGTGATAGAACTGAACTACTGTTCAAAGTGGCTCTCACTCACTCACTCACTTACACACACAAACAAACTTTTTCAATCCCTGGGGACACAGATGGTCAAGTTGTATAATGTGCTGCAATTCGCTGTGCAGAGTTGCATCCCTTGGGCACGCCAGAAACCTTTGATTGTGTGTTCAGATCCCGGTTCATCCTGATTACGTTTCTAGGTTTGTCAGCACCATGCCCTGCTCGTGGGTTTCACCGAAGTGGTAGACATGAGACCTGCATCACTTGGGGCTTTCCTTCGACATTAGGCTGACACACAGCAACATTATTGGAATACTGTTCACAGGGGTGTTAAACCCAACTCACTCACTCACTCACTCACTCACTCACTCACTCACTCACTCACTCACCCAACTCACTCACTCACTCACTCGCTCAACCCACTCACTCACTCACTCACTCACCCACCCACCCACCCACTCACTCACTCACTCACTCACTCACTCATTCACTCACTCACTCACTCACCCACCCACTCACCCACTCACTCACTCACTCACTCACTCACTCACTCACTCACTCACTCAGCAGCTAGCTCACCTCATCCAGCTTTGTCCTCAGCCTCTCCCCCTCTGCAGTGTTCAACAGCATCATCTCCAGGCTGGAGTGTTTCAGGATGGACTGGAGGCGGGCCAGGTACGGCGCAACCGACTTCAGGTAGTCGTCATCAGGTACATCGAGGCTGGGGAACGGGATGGTGTCGGGAACAGGATGCCACCCCTGGAACAGCACTCGTTAGTCAGGAGGACTTAAGTCTTAGCAAAGTCCAAAAGCATCACGAAGGGCTCAGCTAAATGGGCTTCACATTTTCCCCATGTTGGGATTCAAACCCTGATGGTTGTCTAACAAGGAGCAGTGCCTACACTACCACTTGACACATACACTTAAAGCTTATTGTTACAGCACATACCAGCATAATCCCAGAAACATTATCAGTGATTAATTTAGATTGACAGTTGTGAAATTGTTCAAAAGAGTGAGAGTGCTACCCTGAGACAATGCACACTTATTTTGTCTCAAAGCAAAAAGAAATAGTAGTACTACATGAAAATATATTTGGCTGAAGCCTTGTCATAAAATATGTAAAAAGATAGTATGACACTTCTGTTAAATAGAATGAAATATCCTGAAAGCATAAGTTAACTTTCACAATTGTTTGTTTGTTTGTTGTTCAACGCCTAAATCGGCAATATTCAGGCTATATTCCGGCAGTCTGTAAATAATCGGGTCTGGACCAGACAATCCAGTGATTGACAATTGGGCTAAGATAACATGCATCCACGTGCTAATCCCGTTCGTTGCCTGTTACAACAAGCATGGAGTTCAAATTGGACACAATTAATGGACAAAAACTTCTTTAATTTACTGTAAAGGCGATGTTTCGGTATAGATCCTTATACCGTTGTAAACAACCAACAAGCAAACAAACAAATAATTGTGAAAGCTGGTATTTCAGGATATTTCATTCTATTTAACTGAAGTGTCGTACTATAATTTACATAATTTATGACAAGGTATCAGCCATTTACGTTTTGGTATAGGATAAATACTGAAGCATTGCCTTTAGAGTAAATAAAGAAATTGTTATCCAGAAATTGTGTCTACTTGTCAACTGTCAACTCCTAAGTAATGCCTATCAAAGATTTCAAGCATGGAGGGGCGGTCGGGTAGCCTAGTGGTTAAAGCGTTGCTCGTCATGCCGATAACCTGGGTTCGATTCTCGACATGGGTACAATGTGTGAAGCCCATTTCTGGTGTCCCCCGCCGTGATATTGCTGGAATATTGCTAAAAGCGGCGGAAAACCATTCTCACTCACTCACTCACTCACTTCAAGCATGGAATGCTGAAGACCATTCCTAACCCGGATCTTCACGGGTCCTTCCACAATAAGTGAGTGAGTGAATATGGTTTTACGCCGCTTTTAGCAATATTCCAGCAATATCACTGCGGGGGACACCAGAAATGGGCTTCACACATTGTACCCATGTCGGGAATCGAACCCGGGTCTTCGGCGTGACGAGCGAACGCTTTAACCACTAGGGTACCCGACCGCCCCTCCTTCCACAATGAAGGGTGGCCCTCAGATGTGCTGCTAGAGTATTTGAATCTAGGGACACCTGTATTTTTTATTCTTTGGTTCATGACAAAGAACCATCGACTTTCAGGCTTAATTTCAAGCATCTTACCTGTTCGTGTTCGCACAGCAATCTGAAGCAGTACTTGGATGCTGCCAGTTTAGCCTCTGCCTGTTTGAGAACCTCTTGGGTTTTCTAGAAACAAAAGAGTCATAAAAAGACTGTTGTGGAGAAAAAATAATGAAAAACAAACATTGTTTCGGTTCATGTAACATGAACATTTAGCACAAACGCCACATGCTTCGCGGAAAGCAGATCGTGGCATTCGTTTCACGTGCAGAAAATGAATGCTGACACGTGATGCATTGCAATCGTCAGGGCAGGCTTTTCGTTCGTTGGAGCAAGACACACTTTACGGTCGTTGACCAATATTAGTGGTCTTTATAGGAACTAGTTATCGTTGGACCAATATTCGTGGTCTTGGTATAAACTAGATGGGACAATATTCGTGGCCTTTAGAAATGTAAAGTGTGTACTTGCTCCTATAGTCAATTATTCATTCCTGCATTCGTGGCCATGGACCTTGCATAGTTTCTTTATTTTTCATTAAGAAGAGAATCACGTTTAGTTCCCCACATGCCATAAAAAGAGAATCAAGTTTAGTTCCCAAATAATCGTATAATTTCCAGTGGAGTAGAAAAGACGAAAGGTAGACACTTGAACATCGTCGCCTTCCACTGCGCAACAAAGACATATGACCAGCACTGAGGGACTCTCCTACATAAATATTACCAAGTCACTGACTGCCATCAACCAAATAACCGTTCTCCCCTTGGAAACCTTGAAAACATCAAACATGGACCAACACTGCAGGTGTTATGAATAGATTTAGAAAGTGGTCAAATGTAACAAATGTTATATGTGGGATAACACTTTCTTCGTAAAGTACAAATTCTAGTCTATGTTTGGTTGAGTCCCATCCAGGATTCGAACCCACACTCTCATAGTAAGGCACCTAATCGCCAGCACACAAAGTCAGCGATCTAACCCACTCAGCCACTGAGGCTTCCACAAGAATGTAAGTCCGACAACTGGTAGTCTAGATCTTTGAACAGTATTCCAGTTATATCACGGCGTGTCAGTTTAATGTTGGAGGAAAGCCGGAAGTGATGCAGGTCTCAGACATTTACCACTTTGGTGAAACCCACGAGCATGGGTATGGTGCTGACAAACCTAGAAACATATTTAGGACGAACTGGGATTCGAACCCACAATCAAGTTTCTGACATGCCAAAGGGACACAACTCTGCACAGCAAATAGCGGCGACTAAAACGACTGGGCCAGCCGTGTACCCCCATTGTTTTGTAAGAATAGTGTCGCATCTTATAACCATCTTGATCAACCCCACAATGTCCTAAATAGAGATTAATATACGAGCAAGTGTGCCCTACTGATTTTATTAAACAAATGTCAGAATTCTTGTATTTCCCTAGTGGGAGTGAGGGTAATGCATATATTCTTACACAAGGTTCATAAAATCAGTATGACACACATACAAGAGTAATAATTTCTTTATTACCGGTACACATTATTTCTTAATTGTTTGGAGCTCCCCTTTTAGAAAATGCACTGGCTGTCCTAGAAGACCACAACTGTCGAATGACGTCAACAATCTTTCTAGTGTGACGTCATTCTGACCTAACATCTCTTATAAGATTCGAATGCCGTCATCTATGACACTGGTGCATATGAAGTGATATTTGCAGAAGTTCAGATATGATTTTTATGAACTCGGTTATTTCTGACTCAATGAGTAACAAGACACACTATGCCTACCTTTTCTCTCTCCTTGTAGATCTTGTTGAGTGCCTCCTCCTGCTTCTCTTCCTCCTTGTCTTTGTTCTCCTCCATTGCCCGTTTATACTCCTCCTCATCCCCGATGGTGTTCCCCTCCAGAGCCTGTTTCTCCTCATCTGTCAGCTGGGGTGGGGCGTTGATGTCCACCACCACAAGGTGGGGGTAACCTTCACCTTCAATAGAGTCTGTGTATGTCATCAACTGACGCAAGAACTTCCTCTCCGCAAGCTCGAGAACCTCCTGATGATGAATAGAAACCGAGTTTGAAATAACCAAATCATCTCGATGCACTATTGTAAGGCTTCATTATAGAGAAGGAGCTTGGGACTTTGGTAATCTTTCTCCTCTGAAAGGAACTTTTGAACATTTTTTTTCCACACCATGTTTTTCACAAGACCCATTCAAGGCAAACTTCAAATCCCATGACCCTCCCCCAAACCAACCCCCCCGCCCCCTACCCTCCTGAACCTACCCTCTCCCCCACCCAAGAATATCAAATGACTGACCCCCAACCACCAAGTCCTGAATATTAGTATTAATTTTACTGAGCAATAATCAACACTTTGGGGTTTCGATGACACACCCAGCGCACACATTGTAACCCTCTGATCTTCATATTTGTCAGCTCCTATAACGAGCATACCAATAGACGTTAAAAGATGGTACTTGTTGTTACCCTGTCTGGTGCTCGGCATTAAGGGGCTAAAACAAGGACTGGTCGGCTCGGAGTCAGTATACTGTGACTGAGTGGGGTATTCATGTTAAACTGTGGCATGGTATCTCAGTGTGCTAGCACTATAAATCGGCATCAGTCCGGACTAGTACAAGCAGCCACACACACACATACACGTGCATGCACGTCGCTATATAAGTGCAATAATCTTGGACGCGACGTTAAACCCCATTTCACCTCACCTCACCTTGAAATTCACCCTTGAAATTCATTACTAGGGTTCCCTGGTAAAACCCTGCTTTTCATTTCAATAATGGTTTTCATTACCTGGAATGAAGTCTGGCGCTGGGTATCGGAGGTCTGGGCCTGGTCCTCTTCGTCCTTGGGGATGAGATCCTGTACCATACTCAACACGTCCAGCAGCCCTGCCTCGTTCTCATATTGCAGGTTGACCTTGGGACACTCGTGACCAACAGCGATCATGCCCACCTGAAACAGTGGAATCACAGACAAGTAAGTATTGTTTGGTTGGTTGTCATTCAATGCCAAGATATTATGAGCAAATGGTCAGCGCCATTGGGTTTATATGATTCACAATCAACCACATCACCAAGTCTGACAACCATTTAGTCGCCTCTAACGACCAACAGCAGTCGCTGGGGACCTATTCTTACCCAGAATCTTCACAGGCAGACAAGCATAGGTTACTGGGGACCTATATTCTTACCAAGAATCGACATGGGGAGACAAGCATTGGTTGCTGGGGATCCATTCTTACCCAGAATCCCCATGGGGAGAAAAGCATAGGTTACTGAGGACCTATATTCTTACCTGGAATCCCCACGGTGAGACAAGCATAGGTTACTCAGGATCCATTCTTACTCAGAAACCCCACGGGGAGACAAGCATAGGTTACTCAGGATCCATTCTTACTCAGAATCCCCACGGGGAGACAAGCATAGGTTACTGGGGATCTATATTCTTACCTGGAATCCCCATGGTGAGACAAGCATAGGTTACTGAAAGGGCTTTACAAATTGTACCCTAAAGAGAAACAAACCCAGGTTTTGGCTGTGACAACTGTATTCTTTAACCACTGGGCTACCCGACTGTCTCTTCATTGTATGAGTGAGTGAGTGTTGTTAAATGCTGCAGTCAGACCTATTCCAGCCGTGTGGCTGCCCCTTCATAATCATATCAAGGATATCAGTAGTAATTTGACTGAGCAATAATCAACACTTTGGGGTTTCGATGACACACCCAGCGCACACATTGTAACCATCCGATCTTCATTTTTGTCAGCTTCTATAACGAGCATACAGTCGACAGGACCTACTCTACTTTGCTATCCCCGCTTTAGATTCAATGTGCTGAATTTCATTGACCACATGCATGACCTTGACCACATGCATGACCTTGACCACACGTATGACCTTGACCACACACGACCTTGACCACATGCATGACCTTGACCACATGTATGACCTTGACCACAGACGACCTTGACCACATTCATGACCTTGACTTTGGTCCTACCTCTGTACTCTCCCATTTGTAACTGGTTCCAACAACAACAAGAATAACTGGAATCTTCAGCGTTGAGATGGCAAAGCGGAATTCCATTCTGCAATTCTTCGACTCGGCATACTGAAATAACAATTCATTCATTCAAAATGTCCTGAGCAATAGCCCTCTTCAGTGGAAATAATCATATTAGTATGGCTGCTACAGTATGAAGAGATTGAAAAAAGTGATCCTCAATTTCATGAAAACATTTTGAAATAGCCATCTGAAAGAAAGGAAAAATATTTGGTATATTGACAAAGAATTCAAAGATTGTTTCGAATGTCAAGTCATGTTGTAATCATTCTCACCAGGTATTTATATCTTGCATTGGGTACTAATATCTTTCATTGGATATTTATATCTTTCATTGGTATTTACATCTTTCATGGGGTAATTATATCTTTTTCATTGGTATTTATATCTTTCATTGAGTATTGATATCTTTCATTGGTATTTATATCTTGCATTGGGGATTTATATCTTTCATTGGTATTTATATCTTTCATTGGGTATTTATATCTTTCATGGGGTAATTATATCTTTCATTGGTATTTTATATCTTGCATTTGGTATTTATATCTTTCATTGGGTATTTATATATTTCATTGGTATTTATATCTTGCATTGGGTATTTATATCTTTCATTGGTATTTATATCTTTCATTGGTATTTATATCTTGCATTGGGTATTTATATCTTTCATTGGGTATTTATATCTTTCATTGGGTATGGTTCACTCCCCTTGGTCCAGTTTATAGGGTAATTTATACCAATGAGTAGACACTTTTAAACTAATTGTTCCTGAAATGCTTTTTCAAATAACACGTTCTTTATAACTTGTGTATTCAGTACGTTTGCTCAAACTTTGCTTCTGTTTAACCAGCAGCAAATGGGTACCACGCCAAGGGCCCAGGTACAATAATATTTTATTGGTGAGGACTTTTTTCTGGAGTCCATCACCATGGAATTATTATCATGATGTTACCTGTTCAGACACACAGGCAATCATGACCTTGCACTTGCGAAGGCCATCAGCGATGTCCTCAAAGAAACCCTCCTGCAAAGTCAACAAACATTGTGATGAAAAAAGGATAACGAAACACTTGGCAAGGTTTGTTTGTTTGTTACTTAACGCAGCACTCAGAAATATTCCAGCTATAAGACAGCTGTCAGTTTGTAACTGAATCTGGACCACACAATTCAGTGATTGACATCTTGAGCATCGATCCACAGAATTGGGATACGATGACATGCATCAACCAAGTCAGCAAATCCGACCACCCGATCCAGTTAGGCGCCTCTTACGACAAGCATAATGGAGGCTCTGTTCAGGTTTTCTTTAGTAGCCCTGAAGATTACACTAACTAAGCGTGTTATCAAAGAGATAAACATACTGTGGTTTCAACATAGATCTAGGCTACCTCTTGACTTAACAGCATTAAACTGAATTAGACATCTAAGAAAGAGGTTTAAATTGTTAAATTCAGCACAGTTAAAAGAAACGAAATTGAAGGACTTGAAATTGGTCTGTGAGAACCCTATCTAACCTATTCCAGTATTTATATCCCACCTGTCCCATTCTCTCGATGTCCAACCAGCACTTAATGCCCTTGCCCTCCAGGAACTTCTTCAGCCTGCGGGGGTCACCCCAGCCCAGTGCCCCTGTTTTCGACTGGGACCCGAGGGCCACAGCTTCCTTGGAGTTGCACCAGCAGTAGCTGATGAAGCATTTTGGGAAGTCCTGTCTCTGAAATACAGAAGTATAAAGTCACCATCACTGTCTGATGAAGCACTCTGAAATACAGAAGTGTTAAGTCACCATCATTGTCTGATGAAGCACTTAGGGAAGTCCTGTCTCTGAAATACAGAAGTATAAGGTCACCATCACTGTCTGATGAAGCACTTGGGGAAGTCCTGTCTCTGAAATACAGAGGTATAAAGTCACCATCACTGTCTGATGAAGCACTCTGAAATACAGAAGTGTTAAGTCACCATCATTGTCTGATGAAGCACTTAGGGAAGTCCTGTCTCTGAAATACAGAAGTATAAAGTCACCATCATACTATGTTGTAAGTAATGAATATACTTTCTCAGTAAACAAAACTTTTAAAAAACCAATGAAACATCTTGCATAATCAATTTTTTTAAAGATTAGAAACTGATTGTGATCGATTATGGTAAATTGTGTTTCATTTTTTTTTACCTTCTAATCAATTTTTCATTATTTCAATAAAACAGAACACCACTACTCAAGTATCACAACCTCAGTTCAGCATTTCTCTTGTGCTTATGAGTGTACGTTATTTGGATGGCATTTTTTTATCACAATGCATTTTGAATCGAACCAAAGCAAAGCAAGGGTGGCAAATGAGTCCACAGTAACTACCATAACAGGTTGAACATATAACACACTGGATAACTGAGGATGAACATTCTCATGAGTGAGTGAGTGAGTGAGTGGGTATGGTTTTATGCCACTTTAAGTGATCTTCAAACAATACTGCGACAGGACACACCAGAAATGGGCTTCACACATTTTAGCCTAGTCATGATCATAAGCAGACAGAAAAAACATCTATAGGGTTTCCCTCACAACTATTAGATATGTTGGCAGTGAAGAGGACGTCTGTTGAAAATTTATAAAAATTTGTAGTGTGGTTCTCAGCATAAACAGGAATTTATGGCAATGATGTAATAGAGGTAGGGTATTCACAAGAATTTTATAAAGTCTAATATGAGTAAAACTCTTTTTGATTCCATCAGTTAATGTTGTCAGGACTACTGGGCCAGGTGACAATATGTACCTTCTTTAGATGCCCAGCCTTCACCTTGACAGCCTCCTGCAGTTCCTTGATCTTGCTGCTGAAGCGACTTGCCTCGTAGATCTTCACATAAACCTACATGGAAGGATTGAAACAGCAACAGTGTGTCATAAGTTTGCATATTTGTTTGTTTTCTGTTTAATGCATCACTCAACAATATTCCAACAATATTCCAGCTATATGACAGTGGTCTGTAAATAATCAAATCTGGACCAGACAATACAGTGATTGACATCATGAGCATCGATCTACGCAATTTGGATATGATGATATGCATCAACTAAGTCAATGAGCCTGACCACCCAATCCTGTTAGTCGCCTCTTATGACATGCATAGTCGCCTTTTACGGCAAGCATGGGTTGCTGAAGACCTATTCTACCCCGGATCTTCACAGTTCTGCTTGTGGTGGGTGTGGGTGTGGGTGTGGGTGTGGGTGTGGGTGTTGGTGTGGGTGTGGGTGTGGGTGTGGGTCTGGGTGTGGGTGTGGGTGCTTGTACTAATCACTTTTATAGTTCTAGCTCACTGAGATACCATGCCACAGTTTAACATGGATACCCCACTCAGACACAGTATACAGACTCCGAGCCGACCTGTCCTTGTCTTAGCCCCTTCATGCCAGGCAGGGTGACAACAAGAACCATTTTTTTACATCTTTTGATACAACCAGCCGGGAATCAAAGCACCAACCTTCCAACCTCTGGATGGACACTATCCACAGAGAGGGTCATTGCTCAACAGCTCAATTCTCACGAGTCTGGATGAATGACAAACAGGGTATGCATTGGGCGCATTCCTGTCTTAGTTTCCCACATGGTGTTTCTACTAAACTCACATGATCCCCAAGCAAGATGTTGAGGTCAGACTTCTGCCATCCAGTCTTGTCTCCGACCAGGCTACTAAACTTATGTGATTTCCAAGCAAGATATTGAGGTCAGACTTCTGCCATCCAGTCTTGTCTCTGACCAGGCTACTAAACTTTCGTGATCCCCAAGCAAGATATTGAGGTCAGACTTCTGCCATCCAGTCTTGTCTCTTACCAATCTACTAAACTTACGTGATCCCAAAGCAAGATATTGAGGTCAGACTTCTGCCATCCAGTCTTGTCTCCGACCAGGCTACTAAACTTACGTGATCCCCAAGCAAGATATTGAGGTCAGACTTCTGCCATCCAGTCTTGTCTCCAACCAGACTACTAAACTTACGTGATCCCCAAGCAAGATATTGAGGTCAGACTTCTGCCATCCAGTCTTGTCTCCGACCAGGCTACTAAACTTACATGATCCCCAAGCAAGATATTGAGGTCAGACTTCTGCCATCCAGTCTTGTCTCCGACCAGACTACTAAACTTACGTGATCCCCAAGCAAGATATTGAGGTCAGACTTCTGCCATCCAGTCTTGTCTCCGACCAGGCTACTAAACTGACATGATCCCCAAGCAAGATATTGAGGTCAGACTTCTGCCATCCAGTCTTGTCTCCAACCAATCTACTAAACTTACGTGATCCCAAAGCAAGATATTGAGGTCAGACTTCTGCCATCCAGTCTTGTCTCCGACCAGGCTATTAAACTTACGTGATCTCCAAGCAAGATATTGAGGTCAGACTTCTGCCATCCAGTCTTGTCTCCAACCAGACTACTAAATTTACGTGATCCCCAAGCAAGATAGTGAGGTCAGACTTCTGCCATCCAGTCTTGTCTCCGACCAGGCTATTAAACTCACATGATCCCCAAGCAAGATATTGAGGTCAGACTTCTGCCATCCAGTTTTGTATCCGACCAGGCTACTAAACTTACGTGATCCCCAAGCAAGATGTTGAGGTCAGACTTCTGCCGTTCAGTCTTATCTCCGACCAGGCTACTAAACTTATGTGATCCCCAAGCAAGATGTTGAGGTCGGATTTCTGCCATCCAGTCTTGTCTCCGACCAATCTTCTAAACTTACGTGATCCCCAAGCAAGATGTTGAGGTCGGATTTCTGCCATCCAGTCTTGTCTCCGACCAGGCTACTAAACTTACATGATCCCCAAGCAAGATGTTGAGGTCGGACTTCTGCCATCCAGTCTTGTCTCCGACCAGCGCCAGGAGGAGTGGTTTCTTCAGTGTCTCCTGACAGTACACAATCAGGTTGCGGCACTGCTCCGTCTCGATGAACTCGTCCGACATCCCAACCACCACCACCTGTCAACAACATGGCTGAATAGTAGTTCCCATGCTGAAGAGGAATCGTGTTGAAAACATCCCTCGGTGAATGGTGAGGTGAAAATGGGTTTAATGTCGCGTCCAAGATTATTGCACTTATATAGCGACGGGCATGCACTTGTGTGAGTGTTCGTGTACCTGCTTGTGCTAGTCCAGGCTGATGCGGATTTATAGTGCTAGCACACTGAGATATCATGCTGCAGTTTAACATGAATAACCCACTCAGACACAGTATACTGACTCCGAGCCGACCAGTCCTTGTTTTAGCCCCTTAGCGCTGTAATATTTCTGTGCTATCGAGGCTTCTTATATCGTGAGTCTATTCATAGATAACGAGAGCGTGTTCAGTCTACATGTTTACTGTATATCCATCGGCGGTTCGAGATCCCGTATCAATATCCCTACGCCTGTGATATGACTAGTGTGGTAGTGGTGAGTCTTGCAATAGAGTCCATATATCACAAGCCCCAGACAGGGTAAGATCAAATACCATCTTTAAACATCTTTGGGTATGACACCGCCGGGGATCCGGGTGGACGCTCTACCACTAGAACCCTATGATTTAACACCTGCATGTCAATGGGTCACTCTTACCATTGGCCATTGCATGTTTCAATAAAAAATGTATGTAAAGAACATCTACCCTGAACATGCTTGTAGCTTATTCCCACTGGTGAAACATGGGTTTGCCTGGGTCTATCTATTTTCCAGTCTATGGGATAACAGCCATGAAACTGTCACTGTGTTGCACACTTCACTTGAATTTTACTATAGAATATCACTGGACATGTCAAGAAGCCCTCGGCCTGCTGTAGATTGACATTTGAAAGTTGGCTTGTTGTAAAAGGCGCCTTACATGATCGGGTGGTCAGGCTGTTTGATTATTATTTAATGCCGCACTCAGCAATATTCCAGCTCTATGACGGCTGTCTGTTAATATTTGAGTTAGGACCAGATAATCCAGTGATAGAGCATCGATCTGCGCAGTTGAGATACGATGACATCCATCAACCAAGTCAATGAGCCTGACCGCCCTATCCTGTTAGTAGCCTCTTACAACATGCATGGGTTGCTGACGACCTTTTCTAACCCGGATATTCATGGGTTCTGCTTTACAGAAGTAAAAACATATAACAAAAAAATATGTGACCTTGACCTACCTGTGCTGCCTTCATGGAGAGAGTGAGCGTCTCCATGTCCGTTGTTTCTGGGGTGTCGCAGAATGATCTGTTGATGAGAGACAGAGAATCTCACCCCAGTGTGATATTTTATTGATGAGTATTAATATACAAAAAGACGCAAAGTTTAAAGATTTTGTCATCCAAGAACATGAATCCAACACTTTCAGTTTGTAAACAATAATAACCCGTGTCTTGAATGTAAAAAGTACAGGTAACAAGCTTCTATGGATGAGATATTTGTGATGTCATTAAATTGTTTCGTCATGGTAACTGATGACATCACAATGACATCATCGCAACAGGTGACATCGCAATGATGTCATGGTAACAGATGACATTGCAATTATGTCATGGTAACAGATGACATCACAATGACATCATTGCAACTGATGACATCACAATGACATCATTGCAACTGATGACATCACAATGACATCATGGTAACTGATGACATCACAATGGTGGACAAAGCATGGCGAGATTTAATTCCATTTCAGGGCTATATTTATCAAGACCTATTGCGTGATCCCACCCAAGTGATGTCTCCTTCAGAAACCAGCATTCGATGATAGAGAGTAAGTGAGTGAGTTGGGTTTCACGCCACTTTTAACAGTATTCAAGTTATTTCATGGAGTGTCAGCTTAATGTGGGAGGAAAGCCCGAAGTGATGCAGGTCTCAGACGTTTACCACTTAGGTGAAACCCACAAGCATGGGTATGGTGCTGACAAAGCTAGAAACATAAGCAGGATGAATAGAGATTTGAACCCACAATCATAGGGTTCTGGCGTGCCAAAGGGATGCAACTCTGCAAAGCAATTTCAGACCTTACACGGCGATGCACACCGCGACTGTACCACCCGTGCCCCCCATTGGGTGATATTGTACACATACATCACATCTGGTGTTTGTTTTTTTCATAAATTGCTTTTAGGATTTTATGACATCTTTATTGGTGAAAATATATATATAAATATAAAAAAAATAATTTTTGTCTTTGTAGGAATAAAGTGTCAGTAGGATAAAAAAAACACAAACTTTCAAAACTTTATTTTTGGCATTTTTGTGAAATGTGACGCAAATGTTAAAATGTTTACACTGGAACGAAACCACAAGTATGAATACTATTTGATCAACCACACTGGGCCATTTAAAACTGAGCACTTTACACAGACAGCAGGGAGGCAGTTTGTGAAATTTTTAAACACAACTGTCATTATCAGGTGTAATGTTAACACAAGAAAGCACTCAACTGGACTTTTAAGCCAAAAATCAAAAGGCTTGTTGATCCAACATAAAAGTCATAAAAACAAAAAACCTTGGCATGTCCTTGTCCTTCAAGCTGACCCAGGTTCGATTTCCGACACGGGTACAATGTGTGAAGCCTATTTCTGGCATCCCACGCCGTGATATTGCTGGAATATTGCTAAAATGGCGTCAAACCAAACTCACACACTGTTTACATGATATTTTATGAGAGCTTTGATTGGATGTGTTCACAATGCCGTCAAGACATGGAGGGACAAAGTTACCAGTTTAGGTCCATATTAGGCAGGCAAAGGTTGGGTTTGTCGCACAGAGTTCAAGTCAAATGACTGCTGCAAGTAGTATTATACATGTCCTTATTTCATTGGCTGACTAAATATAGTCACACTTCACCACTACACCCTACATCGGCCCAATGTCATGGGGGAGCAGAATGTGTACAAACCCATGAAGTACTCACGAAGCCCATGTGATGTACGATCATACACCGCCACACTTCCTGAAAAGGGGAGGTAACTATCACAAGGGGAGATAACTATCACACTTACTACAGGAAGGTCCTCCCCTTCTGCACACTCCCAGTAAGATCACTGCTGCCAGTGTGGAGGTGGCCAATACAAGAATCAAGAAAATTAGTCCTCGAATGTTGTGACATACCGTATTCGACGTAATATGCGCCCAGGGCGCTCTCAAAATTAGAAATAGGGGGCTCTTATTAGAATATTATTTTGGTGAAAAAAAACAGAGTTGAAAGATAACTTTCGTGGTTTATGCTGACAGCCTGAAATGTTTATGTACGACAGATATATTTTTCCAGAATTTAATTGCCCATAATTAAGGGTGCATATAACACACGAGTGCTTATTATTCGCGAAAAAAATAAGTCTTGTGTACATTGATCAATTGGAAGGGGTGCCAATTGGGATTGTTCACTAGCCAATATATTAGCAAATATCGCTGTGGGCGCTTATAAGAGCAGGGCGCTTATTACGTCGAATACAGTATATTTTTGGTGTATGCCTTTTGGAATGCAACACTGTGAATTTCAAAAATGTGTATGACCGACTTACTATGTTCAAGATGAATTTACATTTTTTTTTGTTTAATCAGATTGGTGTAGTGGTAGACAAGAAGACATGTGCAAGACGTAAACCGACTGTTATTGAGATGTCAAAAGGACCATGATTATGATACATGTCGTAAAATACAATGAATACATTACAATTGGTACGATATTACTGACTAATGGAAAAGCACCCAACTTCCCCCTAACGTATTCAACGTCACAGCAGTCATCACTTGTTTGTAAACAAAACGGTTCCGAGTTCAACTCAAGTGGGGAACTGTCACTGGTGGTAGAGATAGTATAGAGTGCTCCACAGGCTATCGCTGTGAAGAGGTTGTCACAACAGATGCTGGCAACTAAAGGGAGACAACTTCAAAGAGCAACGTGTGGCACCTCGGAAAGTGGGGTCAGCCTCCCCCTAAATGGCCGACCAATAGTTTGTGTACCAGTTAGTCAAAATAGAAAAATTGTGCAGCAACTCTGCACAACATATTGACATTAAATTTGATCAATTAACCTAAATCTTTTCATTTTCATTTTAAAATTCATCATAGAGAGGTCGTGCACCTCTTAAAACGGTTTCAGCTTACAGCTTAGAACGGCTTTCGGCCACAGTCAAATGTGTGGCAAACCAGCCTGACTGTGCAAGGATCACCCAAACACTCGCTGCATTTTTTTTTATTTTAACCTATAAATAACAACAACAACAACAACACACAACAACAACAAAAGTCCATTTGCACAGTACTTTTTCCATACTGGATATCATGGTCAAAGCTCACCATTATTACACCCGTAAATGGATAACGATGCACTTGAACGTCATTCTCAGCTCTCTGGGGAGTATACAACCCTAACTGCTTGAGAGGTGCAAGCAGGTTAAGAGTCCCCATCTCATCCTACCGGGTACCCATTTGCCTACTCACACTTTGTTTCCCCCGGCGCGAAGTCCCTCTATGATGCTGCCTGGGTGGACCCGCTTATGTTCCATGTCCAGAGACGGGATGTTCTTCTTGGAGTAGCAGAAGAAGATGCTGATGGAGGTGTCCTCCAGGTCCCTCAGCTCCCGAACCGTCCGGCCCAGGTGGTCGTCAAAGTCGCTGTTCCGATCGGGTGGCATTATAGCTGAAATATTGAAAGGTTTAACTAAATATCAATACCATCACAAAACTAAATATCAATATATATAACTTTTGAGGTACAATCGAGCATGATCTTTTGTTGTTGATTGCAAAGAGCGTCATACGACCCCATCTTCCCAAGGCAAGTGAGTTAACTGACTCCAGAAGTCCAGTTCCCACCCTTGCTGAACTAGGTTGGAATTTCAAGGCTCGATCATAGCGCCACCAGTGCCTTTATGAGTTTTGTCCCTTCTATGTTTCTCCTATTGACCAATCAGATTCCTTCACTCATATCACTTGCATTTGCTTCAAACAAAATGGTGGCAGCCAGTGAAAATAACCGATCGATAATCAAAATCTATATTGTAATAAAACGAGTATTACGCCGCGAAGTGCATCAAATCAGTTTAGCACCTTGAAAAGATTCGTAAAATATCTTTCGATGCCCATATTGGCGGTACACATGCTTTGCAAATCCTGCAGTTGACAAAATCCTCATGGTGAAATCCATGTTGTTCTTTCTGCGATTTTGATTGGATTATGCATAGACTTGTAAGTCCAGCCATAATGTAACTCCGGAATACCATCCTAGTTCGACAAGGGTGGGGAACTGGACTTTTATAGTCAGTTAACGCTGAGAAGATGATGCAACCCATGCTCAAAAATTGTTTGATCAGGGATTCAAAATTCAAGGCAATGTTACCTTGCAGTTCAGGAATGGACATGATGTGGAAAGACTTGTCACACTGCAGGAACGGCGCCTTCATCTCTGCTGCACGCAACACCTTCGACGCAGGAAACATGCAAGGGTCCACAATGTGCTGCAAGGAAAGAAAATGTTGAATTTCCTACAAGTTTTTCAGTTTGGGCCATTTTTTCTAGTGGTCTTCATGGAATATGATTAGGAAGTTATCTCCCATTGCATTCTACACATCAAGCTCCTTCCCAGCATGTGATTCGTTACACTCTTGGCAACATCGCTGCCACCAGTGTGGGCACAGCCATCACAAGTATCTCTGACCCCAAATGTGATAACAATTATACTTTTGTTTATGTCTTTGGGAATGCCATCATAGTTAATCGTGAAAAGGTTTTCGACTGACAATATTTCCCAGATGAATTTACCTATTTGTTTGTTTGATCGGATTGGTTCGAGATTGCAGATGAACGGAAAATCGAACAGCTTCTCCCTCACATTCTTACCGTACCAATTACATGATAGTTGTAATTGAACAGAAATTCAAATTGACAGAGAAAATAATTTAGCAGGGGAAGAGTATTTGTGGTCACGTGAGTCATTACTTGTTAGTAAACATAACGGTCAGTCGGTTGCGAGTTCAACTCCAAGCATAGTTGTAGCCACCTATCACAGTGGGGAGCTTGACTGGTGGCAGAGATAGTACACAGAGCTCCGCGAACGAGAAATTGCTGTGAGGAGCTTGTCTACACATATTACTTCTAGTTCTTTAGACACTTGAGGTTCGTTAGTATCCCAGGATTCCCTACATCCTGTGTTATGGACGTATATATATTCTATGAGATTGTGATGTTGGGAGCAGGAACATGAAACATACAGTGGAACCTCGCTTATCCAGACACTTGCGTTTTCTCAAATATATTCTGTTTTCTGTACATATCACTGAAAGGTGAGGTTTCCGGATATCTGGGTCCAGGTGAGCAGGGTTCCTCACCCTTAATCTCACAAGTCCCACCTAAAACTTGAATGACCAGTCCCTGATAGATAATTCTAAACAATTTCTGAACCTTTTGCTTTTGATTTAATTATGTAAGTCTAGTTAACCCATCATTAAGTCCCAGAAATAAAGTTATCTATTTTAAAAATATACATCTACAAAATAAAGAGAAAAATCCTAAAGAAGCCCAGAACAAGGCTTAATTTCAGGCAATCTAGACATGCCAAATCATTCTTCATGATTCATTTAATAATTTATTCTCTGTGACCTGGGAGACACTAGCTGATAACATTTGTATATTGTACTAATTTGTAGATAAAGTAATTTTTTAGAAAGAGAGAAGAAGTATTTTGCAGAAGTTTTCCGTCTTACCTCTGATTGGCAGTCCATACAGGGCACGAAGTAGTCGTATTGCACACCGCTATAGGACTCGGAAATAAGGCACTCGAACACCTCATGGACCAGGAACAGGATATTCTCTGGTTTGTATCCCTGCACCTTGACCAGCACGTCAGTAGCACTGCAACATCCACGGACCATCATCATTGGGGAGTCATTGGGAGTGAGTGAGCGAGTAAGTGTTTAAGGCCGTTTAGAACATTATAAGCCCGAAGTGATGCAGGTCTCAGACATTTACCACTTTAATGAAACACACGAGTACGGGTATGGTGCTCACAAACCAAGAAACATAATCGGGGTGAACCTAGATTTGAACACACAATCATAGATTTCTGGTGTGCCCAAGGGACGCAACGCTGCAGAGGAAATTGCGGCACCTTAGACAAGGCCACCCGTGGCCCCAGAGTCATTTGGCTTTCAAGCTGCATGACAGAATGTTAGTTACATCACAGCATCAGTTATAAAGGATGGTATATTTACAAAACATATTTGGAGAATACATCAATTAACTCACAATATCATGAAATGAAATTTGATAGATATGTTCTAATAACTAACAGATGCCGACTCAAGAATACTGGTTTCACAGTTGTTAGCGATTTGACAGATAAACCTCGAGTCCAACTCAACAAACATCAGGGGGCACCGATGGCCCAGTCGCATAAGGTGCCAAGATTCGCTGTGCAGAGTTGCGTCCCTTGGGGGCATCAGAAACCTATGATTGTGGGTTCGAATACCGGTTCACCCCCAATTATGTTTCTAGGTTTGTCGGCACCATACCCGTGCTCATGGGTTTCACTGAAGTGGTAAACATCTGAGACCTGCATCACGTCGTGATATAACTTGAATAATGTTAAAAGCGGCTTTAAACCCAACTCACCCACTCACTCAAAAAAACATCAACACAGGACAGTCCATGGATGACAAACAAACCAGACAATCTAGTGATGGAACAATTGTCCCTAAAGTAAATGGGTCTCCCTGCTATCCCCTACCGATTTCACCTCATCATCACTTGAATCCATACGGGGTTAGATTCACCCATTTTTTGGTGCCTCTTTTAGACAATGATTATGATGAGGGAGGAGCAATCAGCAGATCCTGGTCACTAAGGGCCACAACTCTGCACAGTGAATTGACAAACTCAGTAACAAACATTGTCTTCAAGGTTTCATGTCTATAAAAACTTGATAAAGTTTCATCTGGGGTGATAGAGACAACTCATTAAACCATTTGGACTTCCAGATTATCTCCCCTTGTCATAACTCAGGGCGAACAGCTTTAGCACTCATTGAAGTTTGTTTGTTGTTTAATGCCGCACTCAGCAATAATCCAGCTATATGACGGCGGTCTGTAAATAATCGAGTCTGGACCAGACAATCCAGTGATTGACACCATGAGCATCGATCCATGCAATTGGGATACAATGGCATGAATCAATCAAGTCAGCGAGCCTGAGGCGCCTCTCACAACAAGCCTTTGACAGCAAGCATGGGTTGCTGAAGACCTATTCTACCCCGCATCTTCACAGGTTTCTCATTGAAGTGCATTGTCCATGCTAATTGTAAGTGAGTGAGAGAGTGAGTTGGGTTTAACGCCGCTTTTAACAGTATTCCAGCTATAGCGGCGTGTCAGCTTAATGTGGGAGGAAAGCCCAAAGTGATGCAGGTCTCAGACGTTTACCACTTCGGTGAAACCCACGAGCACGGGAATGGGCCTGACAAACCTAGAAACATATTTGGGGCGAACCGGGGACGCAACTCTGCACAGCGAATCGCAGCGCCTTAGACGACTGGGCCACCCCTGCCCCCTGCTAATTGTAAGATTAGAACTGGTCAAACTATGCTGGTCGCAAGAGGCGATTTAATACATTGGGTGGCCCGACTCGATGACTTGGCTGATGTCAACACACCCCAAAGTAGTGGTGGCACGGTATACTGATGCTTCGCTGGATCGTGAGTTTTTATTTCTCGAAACAAGCATCGATCACAGCTGCTCACTAAGTTAAAAATATCAATTCTTTGGCCAACCTATCTTTGAAAAGGTTGCTTATGGTCCACAGATTAGAGCACATGTAAGTATCGTGATACGTATCAGATCTTGAGTAAGGTATCGTGATACCTATTGCATCACACAGTTGGTGTATCATCCCAGCCCAACCCAAAAGATGTGGATCGTTGCTCATAATACCACTGGATTGTCTGGTCCAGACTTGATCATTTACAGGCAGCCATCGTACAGTTGAAATATTGCTGAGTGAGGCGTTAAACTAATACAGACACTTGTACATGTGTGTTGACGTACCTGATCTGTAGGAGCAAGGCCGTGTGCTGGTTCTTGTTGAGCAGTGAGCCCTTCTTCCACATGACTGACCCATCTGTCAACTGATGCAGACGAACCTGAAAGACATCCCTACATTTATCCAGGGGAGAGTGAGAGTGAGGCTTCTCCTCCGGGATCCCCAAGGTCAAGGACGGTGAGAAAAAGAGTTCAAACTTACTGTTACATGGGAAGTATGTCAGCCATATGGTATCCAGAACAAGTTATACATTTATAAGAAATACATTTACACTATCTAAAACCTGTCGACAATGGAAAGTACAAAACTAGATGATAACAGATTTGAATTTAAAAAAAAGTATGTTACCATGAACAAATACGACTATACATAGCAGTACATTATAAACACTGGCTAGTAGTTTGATCACCAGCAACCACATAAGGAGGTCATCTTATTGGGGTCCAAAGGATTTACAGTAACTCTGCTACCATCTCTCCACTTGCTGACACCATGGTAACCGAAACGGATTCACACCATCCCTCCACTTGCTGACACCATGGTACCCCAGCAGGATTTACACCATCCCTCTACTTGCTGACAAAATGGTACCCCAGCAGGATTTACACCATCCCTCTACTTGCTGACACCATGGTACTCCAGCAGGATTTATACCATCCCTCTACTTGCTGACACCATGGTACTCCAGCAGGATTTACACCATCCCTCTACTTGCTAACACCATGGTACCCCAGCAGGATTAACACCATCCCTCTACTTGCTGACACCATGGTACCCCAGCAGGATTTACACCATCCCTCTACTTGCTGACACCATGGTACTCCAGCAGGATTTACACCATCCCTCTACTTGCTGACACCATGGTACTCCAGCAGGATTTACGCCATCCCTCTACTTGCTGACACCATGGTACTCCAGCAGGATTTACGCCATCCCATCTACTTGCTGACACCATGGTACTCCAGCAGGATTTATACCATCCCTCTACTTGCTGACACCATGGTACTCCAGCAGGATTTACACCATCCCATCTACTTGCTGACACCATGGTACCCCAGCAGGATTTACACCATCCCATCTACTTGCTGACACCATGGTACTCCAGCAGGATTTACACCATCCCATCTACTTGCTGACACCATGGTACTCCAGCAGGATTTACGCCATCCCATCTACTTGCTGACACCATGGTACTCCAGCAGGATTTATACCATCCCTCTACTTGCTGACACCATGGTACTCCAGCAGGATTTACGCCATCCCATCTACTTGCTGACACCATGGTACCCCAGCAGGATTTATACCATCCCTCTACTTGCTGACACTAGGTACCCCAGCAGGATTTATACCATCCCTCTACTTGCTGACACCATGGTACCCCAGCAGGATTTACCATCCCTCTTGTTGACAGTGCATATCTTTCTGACTATGCACCCATTCCTTCTGACCTTAATATGTCTGAATAAAGATAAACTTCAGTGTTTGCAAGATGAGATTGTTTTATATATGTATCTGAATATGTGTTGCCAGGGCTATGGTCAATCTATTATCTCTGGAGACCTACAGTGGTACCTGGGTAGGGTCGGGTAATAGAGGGGTCGGATCCCTGGTAGTAAACCCAGACTCGTCCCAGCCCTACTGACAGAGCTCTACATTCATCACCCACTCTGGTTTCATATGAGCATCCCTACCTGTGCCCTGTTGAAGAGTCCGGCGGGCAGGTAGTCGTAGGTGTACATCATCTTGGTCTCCCGATACCCTGTCTTCAGGGCAGGCCAACTGTACTGAAACACAGCAGGGAAACATTCAGCCATACACTCGTTGTCAGATACAATTTACCATTCACTTACCCTCATGGTTTATTCTCCCTGCAGTGTTTTATTGTATGATAAACAATGACCACAAGTTGTTTATTTCTTAATGAAGTGACAATTTTGAAGGCGAGTGTCATTTAACATTGACTGACCTCTGGGTTTCAGACGTTTCAGGACAGATGCAGGCAAAAGCAGGTGATCAAAACTGGATTGGATTGTTGAGGAGAGGGAATAAACACATTGATTCAGTACAAGTTACATGAACACTTCATATAAATGCCACAACCTTTGCAAAAAATACTACAAGCAATTTGTGGCATTCGCTGACATTGGATATGTGATACATCATAATTGTCTAGTAGAATTTTCGTTCATTGGAGCAAGACACACTTTACTTTTCATTCTTGTGGATCAATACTTGTGGTCTTTTTTAGTTCTCCCTCTAATTCATTAGAGAGACACACTTAGTTCTCCATCTAATTCAAAAGAGAGTCAGGTTTAGTTCTCCATCTAATTTATAAAAGGAGTCAGGTTTAGTTCTCCATCTAATTTATAAGAGAGTCAGGTTTAGTTCTCCATCTAATTCAAAAGAGAGTCAGGCTTAGTTCTCCATCTAATTTATAAAAGGAGTCAGGTTTAGTTCTCCATCTATTTCAGAAGAGAGTCAGGTTTAGTTCTCCATCTAATTTATAAAAGGAGTCAGGTTTAGTTCTCCATCTAATTCATAAGATAGTCAGGTTTAGTTCTCCATCTAATTCAAAAGAGAGTCAGGTTTAGTTCTCCATCTAATTTATAAAAGAAGTCAGGTTTAGTTCTCCATCTATTTCAGAAGAGAGTCAGGTTTAGTTCTCCATCTAATTCATAACAGAGTCAGGTTTAGTTCTCCATCTATTTCAGAAGAGAGTCAGGTTTAGTTCTCCATCTAATTTATAAAAGGAGTCAGGTTTAGTTCTCCATCTAATTCATAAGATAGTCAGGTTTATTTCTCCATCTAATTCAAAAGAGAGTCAGGTTTAGTTCTCCATCTAATTTATAAAAGAAGTCAGGTTTAGTTCTCCATCTATTTCAGAAGAGAGTCAGGTTTAGTTCTCCATCTATTTCAGAAGAGAGTCAGGTTTAGTTCTCCATCTATTTCAGAAGAGAGTCAGGTTTAGTTCTCCATCTATTTCAGAAGAGAGTCAGGTTTAGTTCCCCTTCATATAAGTGGAGAAGGACAGAGGGTAGACACTTGGCCGTTGTCTTCCACTGCGCAAGATGGGTAGTGCATGGTTCAGATTACACAGAGTCCACAAAACATAAACAGGTTGACAAATGAAAACAGGGGATAAAGGCTTGGGACAGTCAATCTTTCCAGCAATGACCCACCTGTGGTTCTACTGTTGGCATAACAAGGCACAATGTTGGTGTCCTCATCCATCAGAGGACAAGAGAGGACAAACTTTCCAGCAATGACCTACCTGTGGTTCTACTGTTGGCATAACAAGGCACAATGTTGGTGTCCTCATCCATCAGAGGACAATAGAGGACAAACTTTCCAGCAATGACCTACCTGTGGTTCTACTGTTGGCATAACAAGGCACAATGTTGGTGTCCTCATCCATCAGAGGACAAGAGAGGACAAACTTTCCAGCAATGACCTACCTGTGGTTCTACTGTTGGCATAACAAGGCACAATGTTGGTGTCCTCATCCATCAGAGGACAAGAGAGGACAAACTTTCCAGCAATGACCTACCTGTGGTTCTACTGTTGGCATAACAAGGCACAATGTTGGTGTCCTCATCCATCAGAGGACAAGAGAGGACAAACTTTCCAGCAATGACCTACCTGTGGTTCTACTGTTGGCATAACAAGGCACAATGTTGGTGTCCTCATCCATCAGAGGACAAGAGAGGACAAACTTTCCAGCAATGACCTACCTGTGGTTCTACTGTTGGCATAACAAGGCACAATGTTGGTGTCCTCATCCATCAGAGGACAAGAGAGGACAAACTTTCCAGCAATGACCCACCTGTGGTTCTACTGTTGGCAGAAGACAAGGCACGATGTTGGTGTCCTCGTCCATCAGAGGACAATAGAGGACAAACTTTCCAGCAATGACCTACCTGTGGTTCTACTGTAGGCAGGCAACAAGGCACGATGTTGGTGTCCTCATCCATCAGAGGACAAGAGAGGACAAACTTTCCAGCAATGACCTACCTGTGGTTCTACTGTTGGCATAACAAGGCACAATGTTGGTGTCCTCATCCATCAGAGGACAAGAGAGGACAAACTTTCCAGCAATGACCCACCTGTGGTTCTACTGTTGGCAGAAGACAAGGCACGATGTTGGTGTCCTCGTCCATCAGAGGACAATAGAGGACAAACTTTCCAGCAATGACCTACCTGTGGTTCTACTGTAGGCAGGCAACAAGGCACGATGTTGGTGTCCTCATCCATCAGAGGACAATAGAGGACAAACTTTCCAGCAATGACCTACCTGTGGTTCTACTGTTGGCATAACAAGGCACAATGTTGGTGTCCTCATCCATCAGAGGACAAGAGAGGAAATCTTTCCAGCAATGACCCACCTGTGGTTCTACTATTGGCAGAAGACAAGGCAGGATGTTGGTGTCCTCGTCCATCAGAGGACAATAGAGGACAAACTCTCCAGCAATGACCTACCTGTGGTTCTACTGTTGGCAGAAGACAAGGCACGATGTTGGTGTCCTCGTCCATCAGAGGACAATAGAGGACAAACTCTCCAGCAATGACCTACCTGTGGTTCTACTGTTGGCAGAAGACAAGGCACGATGTTTGTATCCTCGTCCATCAGAGGACAATAGAGGACAATCTTTCCAGCAATGACCCACCTGTGGTTCTACTGTAGGCAGAAGACAAGGCACGATGTTGGTGTCCTCATCCATCAGAGGACAATAGAGGACAATCTTTCCAGCAATGTCTCACCTGTGGTTCTACTGTAGGCAGAAGACAAGGCACGATGTTGGTGTCCTCATCCATCAGAGGACAATAGAGGACAAACTTTCCAGCAATGACCTACCTGTGGTTCTACTGTAGGCAGAAGACAAGGCACGATGTTGGTGTCCTCATCCATCAGAGGACAATAGAGGACAAACTTTCCAGCAATGACCTACCTGTGGTTCTACTGTTGGCATAACAAGGCACAATGTTGGTGTCCTCATCCATCAGAGGACAAGAGAGGACAAACTTTCCAGCAATGACCCACCTGTGGTTCTACTGTTGGCAGAAGACAAGGCACGATGTTGGTGTCCTCGTCCATCAGAGGACAATAGAGGACAAACTTTCCAGCAATGACCTACCTGTGGTTCTACTGTAGGCAGGCAACAAGGCACGATGTTGGTGTCCTCATCCATCAGAGGACAATAGAGGACAAACTTTCCAGCAATGACCTACCTGTGGTTCTACTGTTGGCATAACAAGGCACAATGTTGGTGTCCTCATCCATCAGAGGACAAGAGAGGAAATCTTTCCAGCAATGACCCACCTGTGGTTCTACTATTGGCAGAAGACAAGGCAGGATGTTGGTGTCCTCGTCCATCAGAGGACAATAGAGGACAAACTCTCCAGCAATGACCTACCTGTGGTTCTACTGTTGGCAGAAGACAAGGCACGATGTTGGTGTCCTCGTCCATCAGAGGACAATAGAGGACAAACTCTCCAGCAATGACCTACCTGTGGTTCTACTGTTGGCAGAAGACAAGGCACGATGTTTGTATCCTCGTCCATCAGAGGACAATAGAGGACAATCTTTCCAGCAATGACCCACCTGTGGTTCTACTGTAGGCAGAAGACAAGGCACGATGTTGGTGTCCTCATCCATCAGAGGACAATAGAGGACAATCTTTCCAGCAATGTCTCACCTGTGGTTCTACTGTAGGCAGAAGACAAGGCACGATGTTGGTGTCCTCATCCATCAGAGGACAAGAGAGGACAAACTCTCCAGCAATGACCTACCTGTGGTTCTACTGAAGGCAGAAGACAAGGCACAATGTTGGTGTTCTCGTCCATTAGAGGACAATAGAGGACAATCTTTCCAGCAATGACCTACCTGTGGTTCTACTGTTGGCAGGAGACAAGGCACAATGTTGGTGTCCTCATCCTTCAGGGGACATGTCAGGTCAAACTCCTCAGTGAGTCTCAGCAGCCATGGATGAAGCTCTTCTGAGTACTTACTCCAAATGTCTGACATCTCAGAGTGTTTCAGGCGACCGTTCTGAAATATCAAGAAGGTAGGTGTCAGACATTCGCAGTCTTCATATGGAAAACATATCAATAACTTAAGATGCATAATCAAAATCTATATTCTAATATAATGGGTCTTACTTCACAATGTACATCAAATTAAAAACATGAAAAGATTTGGAAAATATCTGTCAACGCCAGGATGGTGGTACACATGCTTTGCAAAGCCTGCAGTCAACCGAAATCTGCACATGGAAATCTATGTTGTTTACAAGCCAGATGTCTTGTTTGTAACATGATTTTTATAGGACAATGCATGGACTCATTACCATATTTTCTTGAGTATAGTGCGCACTTTTTTTTAAAAAAACACACCTGTGTGGAAGGGGTACGCATTATACACGAATTATGAGTTTGGATGTTTTTTTCCCCCATGGAAAGACATTACCGTGAGCACGAAACACCGGAAATACCATGTCAACAAATCCATACTGAAGTTCGCAAATTATTCACGTAATTACACTGTCTGGCTATAAAAAGTATTCTTTGTATATCTGGACTTATGTTTGTAACTTATTTCATTAATTTTATTCAAAATTCCTTTTAATATTGTTTTTATTAATTTCGGCGAAATCGTGTGTGAAGCAATCGGAAGGTTCGCACAACTCACCGTTATTAACAGCAACCACGGTCAGAATACCGCTATTGACGCCTTGAAACGAACTTTAGATGACAGAGAATGGATAAATATATCATAAATGACATACTTTGACTTGTTAAAAGTCATATTTGTTTTTGTTTGACGATTCTATGTCAAGGGTGCAAACTTGACTGTTATAATCAGTTAACTCCCTTGCCTCAGGAAGATGAGACAGAATAGGAACTTGCCAATTTACACATCAATGATTGAGTTGGGTTTTAGAAAGTCAGCTCAATGTGAGAAGAGGATCCGTCAGATCCTGGCATGACAAAGGGACACAACCCCTTTCACTGCATCAGAAAATGCAACTGACATCTTTCAAAACTGATCTATGTTCCAAGACCTGTCATATGGGACACAACCCCTTTCACTGACCTAGAAACTTGACTGACAGTTGGTGCAGGATGGTGATCATTCTATCAGCCACTGGTTTGTCTGATCAAGGCTTGCTTACAGGCCTCCAGACACAGCTGCCATGTTGCTGACCGGGGATAAACATACAACAAAACCGAGGACTCACCTGCACAGGCCCTTCATGCACAGTGACCACACAGGCCATGACGTCAACAATCCACTGTGGTCTGACCACCACGTAGGACTTGAGGAAGGGAGTGTTGAAGAACTGCACTGACCCAAGATCATGCAGGAACTGGATGGACTGAGTGAGCTGAAAGTGTTCGATAATAGCTGCAGTAATGTCAGGAGGTTCCAACAAATAAAGACATCTGATTGGCTAAGGTTTGGGGAATACCACTTCCCGGCCAATGAATATGTGGGAATCGTTGTATTACATAATAAGAATGAGTGACACAGGCCTGAGGGTGAGTTTGGAAGAACGCCATTTTTAACATTATTCCAGTTATATCACGGCGTGTCAGCTTAATGTGGGAGGAAAGCACAAAGTGATGCAGGTCTCAGATGATTACTACCTTGGTGAAACCCACAAGCACGGGTATGGTGCTGAAAAACCTGGAAACATAATCGGGGCCGACCATTAAATATCTGGAAGGGGCCTGACATTTTATCAAAAAAAATATATTCCCAAAGCCGTGAAAATATAATATGCTTCAGAATGTTTTAAAAAAAGAAGGAAATTGACTGTCACAAAAATTACATTGTGTCAAGGTGTTTTTCTTTAAAATAATTCAGACCCATAGTTTTGAATAAACAAAGAATCTGGTTTTGTAGTTGCAGCTGAAAAAATACCTTATCTCGTTACAAAATCCCAAGCCCCTGAAGTAGAATATCAAATGGTGGGTCCCTCATCTGGGCAAACCGGGATTCAACCCCACAATCATATAGGTTTCTGGTGTTCCAAAGGGATGTAACTTAGAAAACTGGGCAAACCCTGCCCCTCATAATAAAAAGCATCATCGGCATGAAATGACATTACAGATCATCTCACATGTGAGAGACGGACAGAGAAGTCTTTAAGGGGAGGTAACCAGAGTGGCATGAATTATTTCAATGATATTCTACTGCCTGCTACGTACTTCAACGTCGTCAACTATGCCACATCCTTCTGCACTTTTCTGTACATCCTTCCACGGCATCAGGTCCAGGTTCCGGGCCCTATAATGGTGAGTGAGTGAGTCAGTCAGTCAGTTGGGTTTTACTCCCGTCTCGGCAATATTCCAGCAGTATAACAACACAAGAAATTAGTTTCAAAAGAACCACAGGTCTTTGGCATTTTGAGCAGCTTTGACCACTTGGCAATACCACAACCCCCACCACCCCCATCACCCACACCCCACATCTTTGGTTTAATATTTTATGTGATTTTGGAATTAATAGGAAGGATGGCTGTAAAGTTCTGAGCCGAACTGTGAAGGATGTATTCCAATTGGACAATTCTCCTCAGCAAATTCCGGCCACCCATATCCCCCTAGAAAAACATAAAAAGAGTGAACAGTTAGAGTTGGCTGTGCTTCTCACTTGATGAGGACTTTCTCGAGGTTAAGCCAGGCCTCCGGGATCTTCTCCCCCATGTACTTCTGCTCCAGGGTGACCTTGATGAGGTCGGCCTTCAGCTGCTCGATGCCGTCCCCTGTGTAGGAGCTCACTGTGTAGAAGCCTGTGATCTGTGGGTAGCGCCGCTGCAGGTCGTCTGTCGGCATTCTCGGCTTCTCCACCTGAAGATCAACATCATCATCATCATCCGCAGCAGCAGCATTAACAGCAGCAGCGGCATCAACATTATCATCATCAGCAGCGACAGCAGCAGCATCAACATTATCATCATCAGCAGCGTCAACATCATTATCATCATCATCAGCCGCAGCAGCGTCAACATCATTATCATCATCAGCAGCAGCAGCAGCAACAGAAACAACATCAACATCATCATCATCTGTTTAGGAGCGTGGCATGCGATGTATCACTAACCTTATCACAGTGTGTCCCGACCACCAGTATAGGAGCTTTAGGGGCGTGGCATGCAATGGAGCTGAGCCAGAAGTCAAGGCCGGCATGTTCGTATCCCAGTCTGATGTTCCATAGGAGAAAGTAGACTGCACGATTGGACAGGAAAAACTGAGGATGAAAGACATAAACTCTTACAATAAACTCTGACTAACATTAACTCTGACATAAACTCTGACAAACATAAACCCTAACATAAAACTCAGATAAAAACTCTGACTAACATAAACTCTGACATAAACGCTGACTTACATAAACTCTAACATAAACTCTGACTCACATTAACTCTGACATAAACGCTGACTGACATAAACTCTGACATAAACTCTAACATAAACCCTGACATAAACTCTGACTAACATAAACTCTGATATAAACTCTGACTAACATAAACTCTGACATAAACGCTGACTGACATAAACTCTGAAATAAAGGCTGACTGACATAAACTCTGACATAAACTCTGACTTACATAAACTCTAACATAAACTCTGACTCACATTAACTCTGACATAAACTCTGACATAAACTCTGACTCACATTAACTCTGACTAACATAAACTCTGACTAACATAAACTCTGATATAAACTCTGACTAACATAAACTCTGACATAAAAGCTGACTGACATAAACTCTGAAATAAACACTGACTGACATAAACACTAACATAAACTCTGACTAACATAAACTCTGACTAACATAAACTCTGATATAAACTCTGACTAACATTAACTCTAACATAAACTCTAACATAAACTCTGACATAAACTCTGACTAACATAAACTCCAACACAAATTCTGACATAAACTCTGACTAACATAAACTCTTACTAACATAAACTCTGCTATAAACTCTGACTAACATTAACTCTGACATAAACTCTGACTAACATAAACTCTGATATAAACTCTGACTAACATTAACTCTGACATAAACTCTGACTCACATAAACTCTGACTAACATTAACTCTAACATAAACTCTGACATAAACTCTAACGCAAATGGCAATTCTGAAGCTGTACATTACAGCCAAATTCATGAAAAGAAATAGAGAAAAGGCAGTGGTGTTTCCCACAAAACAAACACAGATTTGTGGTGGCCATGTTGTTCACATTACCTGATGTGTGTTGTAGTACACTGTCTGTCCGGCAAAGTCCCAGGTGCTGTAGGAGATGGGCTCCTTGGATCCCTCCACAGGGACGTCCCAACGGGTGATGTCGATACCGTCGGTGATTTGTTCACTGTAGTCGGTGTAGTAGGCGTCGCTGCCATCCGTCAGTACTCGAACCAGGCTGGGTTATAAAAATAACATTGATTCATGAATAGATTATTGAGGTAAAGATTGTTCAAAAGTAGATTATTGATGACTCAAACAAAAGCCATCTTGTAACTATAGAGTGATGATGTTGTATCTTGACAGCCATCCATGTTCTATCTTGACAACCATCCATGTTCTATCTTGACAGCCATCCATGTTCTATCTTGACAACCATCCATGTTCTAGCTTGACAGCCATCCATGTTCTATCTTGACAACCATCCATGTTCTATCTTGACAGCCATCCACGTTCTATCTTGACAACCATCCATGTTCTAGCTTGACAGCCATCCATGTTCTAGCTTGACAGCCATCCATGTTCTAGCTTGACAGCCATCCATGTTCTATCTTGACAACCATCCATGTTCTATCTTGACAGCCATCCATGTTCTATCTTGACAACCATCCATGTTCTATCTTGACAACCATCCATGTTCTATCTTGACAACCACATTAACCAACATCAATGTTCAAATTATCTTCAATTTCTGATTCTTTTCAGGCATAGTAACCAAAAAATACACATGACATCAGATACATACGGTCTACTTTGCTATGGATCCCTGAGTGAGTGAGTGAGTTTGGGTTTAACATTACTGTCATGGAATTCCACAGTTTTAAAGCAGCGACATCTTTGTCACAGACACACACCAAGGTTCATAATCACAGAAATTTGGGAATCCAAGCAGATCCTGGCAGCTAAGGGACATAACTCCTGAAAAGAGTTTTGGGAGCCCAGGGTGAAAGGATGCAGTACCTGGTTTTGCCAGCTCCTCCGAGTCCAACAAACATCAGCTTCGTTCGCTTGCAGTCCACGGATCCCATTCTCAGTCGTCGTAGGTAGCCAAAAATGGCCTTGAACCCTCTTCCAACAACCTCTTTCGGAGGGGTTTTCAACGCAGGACAGTTCTTCAGGTGCAACTCTAAAAAAAAATAACATCATAAAAACAATTTTAACAAACAAAATGGTGACATCAAGAATTTTTTTTGAATATAATAACCTTTTGTTGTAATCTTTATAACAACAACCAAGTGCTATATCAGTAAAGATTTGTCTTTGAAAGACTTGTTTTACTTCAATACATTATAAACAAGAAAACAGCACTGTCACTTTCCCCCAACATGGAGAACAGTAGAATTTTCCTTCTTCATGTAGTGATTAATATTGACTACAGAAAGAGTCCCATAAAGCCTTAATAAGAAAAAGGCACTTGGGCCGTCATCAGAAAAAAATTATAAAATGTGACAATAATACACACAAAAGGCCCCTTCCCTCGAAAAATAACTCATTCTTGATAAGTATATCTTTTAGATAAGCATGCAAATTTTCAAACATGTAACTTCAGGGGTTTCTGAGAAAACCTGTCCCCATTTCACACAGTAGTTACACACTTAGTTAAAAAGCATGAAGCAAGGGCCATAACTCTGTGAAAAATGAAATTACAACACCATTATTCGAAGTCATTTCTGATTATGACCAGCAACATCAGTGTGTAAAATTTCATTTCTCTGACTAAAATAATTTCTGAGAAAATTTGTCCCCTTTCAGAAGCTGATGGACAATTGGACGGAAAAACGCCATTTCTTTATCCCATGCCCTAAATGTCCACAATGTTCCCACTAAATATGCAAGACTGTACTATTGTATATTGTGCATTGTACAACAACTCAATTAACTTAATACAAAGTTTAAACTCTGAGCCTTATATATTTTAGTATAAGGTGAGGTGAAATTGGGTTAACGTCGCGTCCAAGATTATTGCACTTATATAGCGACGTGCATGTACGTGTGTGTTTGTGTGGCTGCTTGTACTAGTCCGGATTGATGCCGATTTATAGTGCTAGCACACTGAGATACCATGCCGCAGTTTAACATGAATACCCCACTCAGACACAGTATACTGACTCCGAGCCGACAAGTCCTTGTTTTAGCCCCTTTATGCCGAGCGCCAGACAGGGTAACAACAAGTACCATCTTTTAACGTCTTTTGGTATGACGCGCCCAGGGATCGAACCCCGGACCTTCCGCTCTCCGGGCGGACGCTCTACCACTAGACCACGGAGGCGGTCTATTTTAGTATAAATTGAATATTTATGTTTGTTTGTTTGTTTGTTTGTTTGTTTGTTGTTTAACGCCGCACTCAGCAATATTCCAGCTATATGACAGCGGGAATATTTATGTATTTATCCTATCTCACACTATGCATATCGACAATATTAGTTTTTCTTTCTTTTCTGATTTCCATAAACCGAAAAATAAAAAAAGTGTCTTGGCACCCACCTTTAAGTGGCGTGACAGTTATTTCTGCGGACACAGATGCCAGGGAGAGGTTGTTGGTGAGGTTAAGAGACTCCAGCTTGGTGAGATCAGATATGGAATCCTCAATAATGGTGAGGCAGTTGTTGGACACATCCAGGCTCTCCAAAGTCTTACACGACAGCAGGAAGTTTGGCAGTGGTCCATTCTCTGAAACACATTCAACATGAGTTAGTTGGGTTTAACTCCGCTTTAAACAATATTCCATTCATATCGTGGCATGTCAGCTTAGTGTGGGAAGAAATCCAGAAATGATGCAGGTCTCAGAGGTTAACCACTTCGGTGAAACCCACGAGCACGGGTACGGTGCTGACAAACCTAGAAACATAATAGGGGCGAACCGGGATTCGAACCCACAATCATCGGTTTCTGGCGTGTTTCTTACTTTAAATTATGTATATTTATTATCTCCTTTTTCAGTTGATAGCGATGACCATAAGCATGGGTATGGTGCTGACAAACCTAGAAACATAATCGGGGTGAACCGGGATTCGAACCCATGACCATAGGTTTCTGGCGTGCCCAAGGGATGCAACAGTTCATCCCACGGGCTATGCAAATTCTCTTTAGTTCAAATGCTTATCCAATTGGAGTGTGAGATAGACGATGATTTTGACAGAATCAGTGGTCGTGTTGGAATAACCTGGTTAACCATTTTGAGGTTGCATGGTTAGAAAACACATTCCCACTGTCACTTTCCTGACCTGGTAAGCAACGCTCAGACTGGTTGGGGATGAAAGGTTGTTCTGAAATGACCTGTAATTTGGATGTCCACAGACCTATGTTTATCGTTCACGAGAACTAAGAATTGAGAACATCCCATTACAAGGCTACCCATTGCCCCCAGGAATAATGTAATGCAGTATAACCTCAATAGAGAATATTGTTTTATTATGAAGCATCACTGTTGGAGAATACAAAGGCTGAACTAAAACTACTCAGTCCTGTCTGAACAGAAAACAGAGCTCTGCTTTCCAGTGTGTTGTCATGTGTTTCAAGCAAAAAAATACAAATGTTTTGATAAAATTAAAAACCAACAAGAGTTTGCCACTAACGTATCCCCCGCCCCTGTTGCAGAATTTGACATAATTAAATCTATACAAACCCTAACCTTTTTAAACCGAGGTGGAACTTGTCATGGAAATTGTAAAAAAAAGAAGAGTTTGGAACCTAAGTCCATCTTGTTGCCATGGAAACGTAAAAAATATAAATTTCTAAAATTTCTAAATAGCAAAAGGCACCAATTCAGCATGTACCTGACAGACGTGCAAAGTTTCATGAAAAAATATTGAATGGTTTCTGAGTTATGCTCCGCAAAAAACGTGACGGACTGACGGAGCCCGTTTCTATATCCAAAGCCAACTTCGTTGGGCGGGGGATAATAACGAAATACAATCTATGTATGAATTATACTTCCTTTTGTCCTTCTGCATTGACAGAAAACAGAGCTTTGCTTACCAGAGTGTTGTCATGTATTTCAAGCAAAAACATATAATTCTTTTTATTAAAACGAAATACAATCTGTGCATGAATGATACTTACTTTTGTCCTTCTGTTGTGTGTCTGTCCTTTGTCCGAATCGGAGGTAGGCTTCATTGGACATCATCTTATTGTTGATCTGGACGACCCCATCACGGGTCAGCGACCCTGTCTTCCCTGGGTCAGCAGACTGAAACAGACTCTTCCTCTCCTGGAAAACATAAGACGAGTGAATGGGTGAGTGAGTAGGGTTCAACACCGCTTCAACAGCATATCAGTCAACAGCATGTCAGCACAGTTTGATGTGGGAGGAAAGCTCACAGATGTCAGATGTGTGCCACTTTGCTGAAACTCACAAGCATAGTTTGGTGCTTTCAAACCTGGAAACAACCAGAGCAAATCTGGCATTAAAACCATGATCATAGGTTCCTGTCCAATCCCATTAAAATCAGATCCTTGTTCTCGCTATCGCTAAACAAAGTTCTGAGGACATCCCATTACGGGTCACGTCAGAACGACCTTTCATATGACCAATCGAAGTGTCACTTACTAGATCATGAAAGTGACAGTCGGAATGTGTTTTCAAATCATGCAGCCTTGAAAACGTTAAGACGGGGGATTCCGAACGACAGTTACGCACCGTACGACTGATTCCGGCAAAAGGATCGTCTATCTCTCGCTTCCGTTGGATAAACATTTGAACGGAGGAGGCGTTGCACAGTACGTGGGAAGCCCTGCCATACAATCTCAACCATATATAAGACATTACAGAATGTTCGTTTGTTCAGTTTTCAAAATTTTAATCGATAACTGTGTCAACATATTTTTCAAGCGTAGTATGAAATGGAAGTCGCCAGGTAGAAACGAGTGCCGTAAAGCTCGAGAAAGCTGCTTTCTAATTGGCTGATGTCGACTTCTTGTTAGTCATTTCAGTAGTCGGTCAAAGTGCGCGAAAGGTCGTCCTGACGTAACCCGTAATGGGATGTCCTCAGATCTTTGTTTAGTGGCAGCCAGAACTCACATCTGATTTTAATGAGATTTGTTATATATACATCTATTTCATGATCCCTAACAATTTTTGTTCAGTATACACTATATACAGTATATACATTTCGGAAACCTTGAAAGACAACATTCGCCAATTCATTACATTTCAGACATTTCAAATAGACATTACCTGATATGATTATGTATATTAGTCAAGTATTTAAATGTATCAGATATTTTTGACAAAACAAGCTCTTTACCTGTTCAGACATTTTTGACAGGAATGTGTTCTCACTGACAAATGTTTCAAAGGAAGTGTAGGTGTACGTTGCTTTGGATGACGCCAGCGGTTCAATGATTGGTATTCCAGCCAAACCTAGCACTTTCAGCTGTGACGGTAAAGCAGACGGCAACTTTTCAATGACATTGTAGTTCAAGGACAGCTTCTCCAATGCAGGCATAATGGTACATATTGCTTCCATACTCGGCACTTTACCAACGTTGTCGGCATGGAGTTCCACGAGATTCTTACACAGCTGAACCACCGCAGGAAGTGTGTACAGGGGATTGTGGGATATGTTCAAGAAGACGAGTTTGTCCTTGACCTGAGATAAGTCAGCAGGTAATGCAGCTAGTTTGTTGTAGCTTACATCAATCGATGTCAACTGATCACATTTGGCAAACAAGGGCAAGGTCATTAACTGGTTCCGAGCCAAGTTGAGGTGAGTGAGATTGAAGAACCTTGTGAACAGATCCTCGGGCAGCTCCTTGAGTTGGTTGTTTCGTAGATCGAGTCTGAAGATAAGATGGTGATAGTTGTCAAATGAGTCCAGGTCAATATGGGAAACTTCGGATAAAGGCGCCATGGCCAGCTCATGGGGTTTGCACTGTACATGTTCTGGGTTGCCCTGACCGCTGACAACAGTGTTGAAAGAGTCCATCGTCCGGGCAGTCGTTAGAAGTGTGTTCACAGCAATAGCTTCGTTAGACTCCAGAATCTGAAACAACCCAAGACACTCATTTAGATCAAGAACAAACAAGGTGTGTTTGTTTGTTTGTTTGTTGTTTAATGCCACACTCAGCAATATTCCAGCTATATGACGGCAGTCTGTAAATAATCGAGTCTGGAACAGACAATCCAGTTATTGACATCATGAGCATTGATCTGCGAGATTTGTATACGATGACATGCATCAAACAAGTCAGCAAGACTGACCATCCAATCTTGTTAGTCGCCTCTAAAGAGTAAGTGAGTTGGGTTTAACATTGATTTGAGTGAGTATAGTTTTAGCAATATTCCAGCATTATCACAGTGGGGCAACAGAAATGGGATTCACAGGAATTGAACCCAGGTCTTTGTTGTGAACGCTTTAACCACTAGGCTAACCACTGCCCCAATGTTGCTTTGAACAGTATTCCCGTTTCATCACGGTGATTCAGCTTTATGTGGGAGGAAAGCCCGACATTTACCATTTTGATGAAACCCACGAGCACGGGTATGGTGCTGACACGTGTCTTGGCAGCTTGGCAATCTCATTAAAATCAGACCTTAGTTCTCGCTATCGCTAAACAAAGATCTGAGGACATCCCATTACAGGTCACGTCGGAATGACCTTTCATCCGACCAATGAAAGCATCTCTTACCAGATCATGAAAGTGACAGTCGGAATGTGTTTTCTAATCATGCAACCTCGAAAACGTTAACACAGGGTATTCTGAACTACAGTTACGGCCCGTAAAACTGATTCCGTCAAAATTATCGTCTGTCTCTCGCTTCCGTGGGATAAACATTTGAACGGAGGAGGCGATGCGCAGTACGTGGGAAGCACTGCCATACAATCTCAACCATATATGAGACATTCCGGATTGTTCGTTTGTTCAGTTTTCAAAATTTTAATCGAGAACTGTGTCAATATATTTTTCAAGCGTAGTATGAAATGGAAGTCGCCAGGTTGAAACGAGTGCCGTAAAGCTCGAGAAAGCTGCTTTCTCAGTGGCTGATATCGACTTCTTGTTATTCGTTTCAGTGGTCGGTCAAAGTTCGCGAAAGGTCGTTCGGACGTGACCCATAACGGGATGTCCTCAGATCTTTGTTTTGCGGCAGAGAGAACTTAGATCTGATTTTAATGAGATTGGCAGCTTGGCTTCTGAGATTTACTCGGGCTTCGATCCTGAAGCACATGTAACACATGTGGTGTCTTCTTGGGTTCATCATCATCATCATCATCATCATCATCATCATCATCATCATTCTTATTATTATGATCATTATTATTATGATCATTATGATCATTTTTATAATTAGCTGTCAAGGGTTGTGGGGTAGTCTAGTGGTGAAAGCCCCACATGTGTACAATGTGTGAAGCATTTCTGGTGTCACCCCACTGAAATGTTATTGCTGGAATATTGCTAAAGTGTTGGGGAAAAAAACCCTCACTTATTCACTCCAGATGTCAATGGTTATCTATTTATAATGCTGTTTTTCATACCCACCAAACGATCTCCAGTGAAAGCCTTTATCCGCTGTAACTTTTTGGACTGCTTGAGGATGTGTCTCCCGCTGAGAAACCACAGCATTTTGAAATACAGCCGCATCAGCCGGGTGAAGGCGATCTCCATCTTCTCTTGGTCCTGGTCAATCTTGTCTGCCTCCGGGAACATCGTTGTCAGCTTTCCTGGCAGTGTGTGCTGAAACAAGGGATTCGGGGAGAGTGAGTGAGTGAGTTTGTGAGGCGGTCTGGATGCGAGTGTGTGTGTGTGTGTGTGTGTGTGTGTGTGTGTGTGTGTGTGTGTGTGTGTGTGTGTGTGTGTGTGTGTGTGTGTGTGTGTGTGTGTGTGTGTGTGTGTGAATCTGTGAGGTGTGTGTGTGCGTGTGCGTGTGTGCGAGTGAGCCAGTAAATGGGTGGATGGGTGGGTGGATGTAGGGACAAGTCAGTGAGTGAGTGAGGTGTGAGGTTGGTTTGTGAGTGTGAGCGTGAGCATGTGTGCATTTGAATTTGTGTGTGCGTGTGTGTGTGAGTGAGTGAGTGAGTGAGTCCCACCTCCTGCAGCAGCAAGGCCAGGTAGGTGAGTATCAGCACTGTCTCCATCTCTGCATAGCCGGCCAGAGTGGGGAAGGCAATTCCAGGGTGGTCCACCATGTGCACATCAAACTCTGAAACAGGAGGTTCATCAAGTCAGTTCTTGTCAACTAATTCAGTAATCTGTTATGCTCAAAACCTCTTACAACCACTCCCTGCTTGACCATCCCCCATGCTTCATCTCCCCCTCCCTGCTCCCTCATCCCTCCCAGCTCCCTCACCCCTCCCAGCTCCCTTACCCCATCCCTGCTCCTTCACACCATCCCTGCTCCCTCTCCCCCTCCCTGCTCCCTCATCCCTCCCAGCTCCTTCACCCCCTCCCTGCTCCTTCACCCCCTCCCTGCTCCTTCACACCATCCCTGCTCCTTCACACCATCCCTGCTCCTTCACCCCCTCCCTGCTCCTTCACACCATCCCTGCTCCTTCACCCCCTCCCTGCTCCTTCACCCCCTCCCTGCTCCCTCTCCCCCTCCCTGCTCCCTCATCCCTCCCAGCTCCTTCACCCCCTCCCTGCTCCTTCACCCCCTCCCTGCTGCATCTCCCCCTCCCTGCTCCCTCATCCCTCCCAGCTCCCTCACCCCTCCCAGCTCCCTTACCCCATCCCTGCTCCTTCACCCCCTCCCTGCTCCTTCACCCCCTCCCTGCTCCCTCTCCCCCTCCCTGCTCCCTCATCCCTCCCAGCTCCTTCACCCCCTCCCTGCTCCTTCACCCCCTCCCTGCTCCCTCTCCCCCTCCCTGCTCCCTCATCCCTCCCTGCTCCTTCACCCCCTCCCTGCTCCATCTCCCCCTCCCTGCTCCCTCATCCCTCCCAGCTCCCTCACCCCTCCCAGCTCCCTTACCCCATCCCTGCTCCTTCACACCATCCCTGCTCCTTCACCCCCTCCCTGCTCCCTCTCCCCCTCCCTGCTCCCTCATCCCTCCCTGCTCCCTCACCCCTCCCTGCTCCCTCATCCCTCCCAGCTCCTTCACCCCCTCCCTGCTCCTTCACCCCCTCCCTGCTCCCTCTCCCCCTCCCTGCTCCCTCATCCCTCCCTGCTCCTTCACCCCCTCCCTGCTCCATCTCCCCCTCCCTGCTCCCTCATCCCTCCCAGCTCCCTCACCCCTCCCAGCTCCCTTACCCCATCCCTGCTCCTTCACACCATCCCTGCTCCTTCACCCCCTCCCTGCTCCCTCTCCCCCTCCCTGCTCCCTCACCCCTCCCAGCTCCCTTACCCCATCCCTGCTCCTTCACACCATCCCTGCTCCTTCACACCATCCCTGCTCCTTCACACCATCCCTTACTTACCCCCTCCCCTTCCAGTGCCTCTCTAATGCTCGCTGTGTTTCATAAACTCCCATAATGCCCCATAACTTACTGTCCGGGTGACACAGGAAGTGGATGTTCTGCTGCATGTGGTTGGCAATGGCCGACAGCGATGGGTAGCGGATAAAGTTGATGTTGAGAGACTTGGGCAGGACACAGAAGAGACGCTGATTGCGAGTCAGGAACTCACTCAGATCCTCCCGCAGGTCCGGTGGGGGGTCCCTCAGCGTTGTCCTCACATCCTGCTCGATGACTACAAGTGAAAACCAAGCTACCAGTTTGAAAACAGAATGACAAGGGAATCATCATCTGACGCTCTTTGAGGCTTAAAAAATAAAAGAACTGGTTCTCAAGCAATGTTTTTTGAAAATATAGTGTCCTACGCAATGATATTGCTGGAATATTGCTAACAGTGGCGTAAAACAATACTCACTCCCATTGAGGGTGCATTCCATATTAGAGTACGAAAATGTGTAAAACAAAAACTCAGATTGTCTGCCCTTGGTTCAATGATTTACCTGAGCCTCTGTTTTTCATACTCTGGCAGCGGAGATGCCTTGGCCCGCTAGATGTTGTCTGCGTGGGGGCCATGTTGAGACATCTCAACGTCTCGTCTGGGGGCGTGCCTTCTTTCTGTATCTGAAAATAAAAACAGGGAGACCCTTCAGTGAAATATTTGATACTTTGACAACATCTCATCACCTCATCTGGTGATGTGGGCCCTTCTGGAGCTGGAACCCCAGGGAAGATGTGGAAGCGTGAGTGAGTGAGTGAGTGAATGAGTATGGTTTTATGACGCTTTTAGCAATATTCCAGCAATATCACGGTGGGGGACACCAGAAATGGGCTTCACACATTGTACCCATGTCGGGAATCGAACCCGGGTCTTCGGCGTGACAAGCGAACACTTTAACCACTAGGCTACCCGAGTGTGACAGTTGCACATAGAAACATAAGTGAAATGAGGTCACTATGAGTGAGTGAGTTGGGTTTAATGCTGCTTTAAACAGTATTTCAGTTATATCACAGTGTGTCTGCTTGATTAGGGAGGAAAGCCCGAAGTGATGCAGGTCTTAGACATTAACCACTTGGGTGAAACCCACGAGCACGGGTATGATGCTGACAAACCTAGAAACAGAATCGGGGCGAACCGGGATTCAAACCCACAATCATAGGTTTCTGGCATGTCCAAGGGATGCAACTCTGCACAGCGAATTGTGGCGCTTGTTATGACTTGTTATGGATTTACAATAGCTGCTCAATAAACTGTGTTTCTGATTATATTCAAGTTTGTATTCCACTATCCAAAGTGTGCAGTGAGGTCGTCTTGCTGTTAATAGTCATTTTGGAAACATAAATGCGAAGTTTCATAAATGCAAACAAAGACCACTCGCATTTAATCGCATTGAATTCACACTCACATTAATTTCAAGATTTACAGTATTTTACAACTTACATCAGAGAAGAAATCCCAGGGAACAGGATCTGTGTCCTCTTCCTGTAGGTACTGTGCCCAGTCGAACTGGCGGCCATAGTCTGCAATATACACACATGACGTAACACTGGTACATGAAGTTACGCCAAGTCCGTGCAGCATTGGGACGTATCACGTGAGTTTAACAGTGAGTGAATGTGTGACTTGTGTTTAACACAACTTTGAAAAGGATTTCAGTTATATCATAATAAGTCAGCCCAATGTGGGAGGAAAGCCAGAAGTGATGCATGTTTTAGACGTTTAATACTTCAGTGAAACCAATGAGCACAGGTATGGTGCTGACAAACCTCGAAACATAAGGTAACAAATGTTATATTTGGGAAACAGTAAGTTGTAGCAAGATCATGAGGGGAAGATTGGCTGAAACGCATCCCACATTAGGTTTTATACCACGAGCTGACATATTTTAAAATGACACTGTAAAATAATTCAACCAAAATCAAAATTGATAGAAAACAGCTGTTAGATTGAGCTGTTAGATTTAACTTGTGCTATGCCATCTACTCGGAAAAAGCGTTCAGCTCTTTGCTTGCAAGCAGGGTATAAGAGAATTATTCTGTCTTTCAGAAATCCTCGTGGAGCCTGAATTGCTCACGGGGGGGTATAAGGGATTTATTCCCTGAGAAATTTATTCCCATCCAAGGTGGGATACATCATATTTTATCAAGATCACGTGAACCAATCAGATCTTGTCATTCTGACTTGGACGTTTGATGAAAGAATTGGTAAATGTACACGAAAATATTAACTTTCAAGTTGCAGATGTACATGATTCAGAAACTGACAATACCATAGTACACAGGTTGTACACAAATCTGAATGCCGACATTGATCTTAGACGTATTTTGACCAATATTTGCTGATATATTGGCTAGTGAACAATCCCAATTGTGTTATATGCACCCTTAATTATTGGGAATTAAATTCTGGAAACTTATATCTGTCGTTTATAAACATTTCAGGCTGTCAGCAACGAAATTTATCTTTCAACTCTGTTTTTTTTTACGAAAATAATATTCAGAAAATTATAAATGTCTGAAGATTTTAAGAAAGTGCAATCAAATATGATGGTGAGATTTTTCTATTTCGTGACCTTGACCTTTGACATTGTCATGCCAAGTGCCAAAAGAATCCCTTCGTCATTTGGAAGAAATACTCTAATGTGTTCCCTAATATATTACTTACAGACAGTCGTGATGAAGCTGTGACATTGTGAATGACCTACTTTTAGGAGCCTGCAGTTTCGGGGAGTACTGCTTGTTGCTGCGTCCGACGGCCGCCATGTACCCAAGTGGGTGAAGATTCTTCACATCTGGTTGTGTCCAATAATCGTACTTGGATGTCCAGCCATCAAAATGGATTAGCAATTGACCATCTTCTGCAATTTCCGCTGTACAGGAACATAGAAATATGTAAAAGCACATCACAGAGACAATAAACGCGAGAAATAAACACTAGGAAGGAAACACTGAGAAAGGGCATAAGAAATAAACATAAAGAAGTAAAACCAAAAATTGAATACCAGGAATGAACACAAGAAATGAATACAAACTAGAATGTGTTTTTACTCATACAAACATATCTCTACCCCCTCCTTCTGTTTTAGCTTAGTTCAAGATGTATCTATTGAATGTGTTTGCGATTCTGAAAAACAGTAATAGTAAACCATAGTCTGCAAAGATAACGTTTCATGCAATTGTCATTGCAATAAACACAAAAAATAAACACTAGGAATTAACACTGAGAATGAACACTAGGGATGAACACAAAGGATGAACACAAGGAATGAACACAAGGGATGAACACTAGGAATGAACACAAGGGATGAACACTAGGGATGAACACAAGGGATGAACACAAGGGATGAACACAAGGGATGAACACAAGGAATGAACACAAGGGATGAACCCAAGGAATGAACACAAGGAATGAACACAAGGAATGAACACAAGGAATGAACTCAAGGGATGAACACAAGGAATGAACACAAGGGATGAACACAAGGGATGAACACAAGGAATGAGCACAAGGAATGAACACAGGGATGAACACAAGGAATGAACACAAGGATTGAACACAAGGGATGGACACAAGGAATGAACACAAGGGATGAACACAAGGAATGAACACAAGGAATGAATGCCAGGAATGAACACAAGGGATGAACACAAGGAATGAACACAAGGGATGAGAACAAGTTTGAACACAAGGAATGAACACAAGGGATGAACACAAGGAATGAACACAAGGGATGAACACAAGGAATGAACACAAGGGATTAACACAAGGAATGAACACAAGGGATGAACACAAGGAATGAACACAAGGGATGAACACAAGGAATGAACACAAGGAATGAATGCCAGGAATGAACACAAGGGATGAACACAAGGAATGAACACAAGGGATGAGAACAAGTTTGAACACAAGGAATGAACACAAGGGATGAACACAAGGAATGAACACAAGGGATGAACACAAGGAATGAACACAAGGGATTAACACAAGGAATGAACACAAGGAATGAACACAAGGGATGAACACAAGGAATAAACACAAGGGATGAACACAAGGGATGAACACAAGGAATGAACACAAGGGATGAACACAAGGAATGAACACGAGGGATGAACACAAGGGATGAACACAAGGGATGAACACAAGGGATGAACACGAGGGATGAACACAAGGGATGAACACAAGGGATGAACACAAGGGATGAACACAAGGGATGGACACAAGGAATGAACACAAGGCATGAACACAAGGGATGAACACAAGGGATGAACACGAGAAATGAACACAAGGGATGAACACAAGGAATGAACACAAGGGATGAACACAAGGGATGAACACGAGAAATGAACACAAGGGATGAACACAAGGAATGAACACAAGGGATGAACACAAGGGATGAACACAAGGGATGAACACGAGAAATGAACACAAGGGATGAACACAAGGGATGAACACAAGGGATGAACACAAGGAATGAACACAAGGGATGAACACAAGGGATGAACACAAGGGATGAACACAAGGTCAGTCTGTTAAAGAGGGTTGAATGGAGGGAGGTCAGTCTGTTAGTGAGGGTTGAATGGAGGGAGGTCAGTCTGTGAGGGTTGAATGGAGGGAGGTCAGTCTGTGAGGGTTGAATGGAGGTCAGTCTGTTAGGGTTGAATGGAGGGAGGTCAGTCTGTTAGTGAGGGTTGAATGGAGGAAGGTCAGTCTGTTAGTGAGCATTGAATGGAGGGAGGTCAGTCTGTTAGTGAGGGTTGAATGGAGGGAGGTCAGTCTGTTAGTGAGGGTTGAATGAAGGGAGGTCAGTCTGTGAGGGTTGAATGGAGGGAGGTCAGTCTGTTAGTGAGTGTTGCATGGAGGGAGGTCAGTCTGTGAGGGTTGAATGGAGGGATGTCAGTCTGTGAGGGTTGAATGGAGGGAGGTCAGTCTGTGAGGGTTGAATGGAGGGAGGTCAGTCTGTTAGTGAGGGTGGAATGGAGGGAGGTCTGTCTGTGAGAGTTAAATGGAGGAGAGGTCAGTCTGTTAGTGAGGTTGAATGGAGGAGGTCAGTCTGTTTGTGCGGGTTGAATGGAGGAGGTCAGTCTGTTAGTGAGGGTTGAATGGAGGGAGGTGTGTTTTTAACACTTGCTACAAAAAGGAACAAGAATTTCTACTGAAACATGGCATTGAACGAATAAAAAAGAAATTGAAACCAATAGTCTTCTACATCTTTGACAAAGAGAACGCACCAACAGTTGCCACACATACAAGTGAAGGGTTCAGCAAGTCCAGGGCTTCTAGCCTCATGCCTGTCTTCACCTCCAGGTTAGCTTGCTGGAAAGTCAAAACAATAACTAAAGGGTGTTGCGTTGTGATGCGAAATACGTTTGTACTGAATTTAACTATAGTGACGTCATCTTATTATTCTAAGGTTTCTTTAAAGAGTGGAAAATCCTCAGTTTGCTAGCATCCTTGTTCACTGGAAATTCTGGATGTGGTGAAATACATGTCGTAAATATGTGATCCACAGAAACAAGCAAGGACCGAAAACATATCCTATCTTGTTATAAAAAATCCCCTTATACCCCCCACACCCCCAGGATATTATTTGGTCAGTTCCATAATAAGTTTCAATATACCCATGAAGATCCAAGCTACAATATCTCTTTAGCAACCCAGGCTTGCCGTAAAAGGCGACAATGCTTGTTGTAAGAGGCAACTAACGGGATTGGGTGGTCAGGCTCGCTGACTTGGTGGATGCATGTCATCGTATTTCAATTGCGTGGATCGATGTTCATGATGTCAATCACTCTATTGTCTAGTCAAGACTTGATAGCTGGAATATTGCCAAGTGCAGCGTGAAACAACAAACAAACAACAATCAAGTTACAATAGAAATAAACATTCAGCAACCTACAAGCCATACCATGGCTGCCAATAACCATCGATTAATAATATTATGACATGCATTCAAGACTGACCACCTGATGCCAAGTTACATGAAGAAATATGGTTTGGTTTTCAAGACTTGCTCCGGAAATGAGGACTACCCCCATTTCAAGCCTAAGTCAGAGTCATTGCCATGGAATTTCAAAAATATTTTTGCTGAAATCCCCAAACTATCAAAGGCACCAGTTCACCAATAAACCTATCTATGTGCAAGTTACGTGAAGAAATATGGTATGGTTTTAAAGATCTGCTCCGGAAATGAGAACTACCGCCATTTCCAGCCAAAATCAAAGTTGTTGCCAAGGAAACTCAAAAAGTATTTTTGTTGAAAACCACAAATTATCGAAAGGCACCAGTTCACCATCAGACCTATGTATGTACCAAGTTTGGTGAAGAAATATTGTACGTTTCTTAAGATCTGGTCCAGATACGACATCTTGCACAGGCAGACAGACGGACACATGAAAGGACGGACTGATAGCGTCCAGTTTAATACCACAGCCCGCAAAACGCGTTGTGGGGATAATTGTAAGGAGAAAATGAAATCATAGGGAAATATAGGGGAAGTCTCAAAATATAGGTATTTATTGTGGAAAGGGATGCCTGTGACAACGATATTAAACAGCTTACCATGAAACTGTATCCATTCAAGGTAAAAGAACACATGCCATCAACCCACAGTCTCAGTGGCATGATTGGTACTGCTATTCGCTCTACATTTCCATGGCCAACTTTGAACTTGACCATCATTTTGTCTTCTGTATCTGCAGCAAGAGTGAAGGTCACCGGAACTCCTGTTGTTTTAACAGCGCTCTTCAACTTGAAGTTATTTCTCTTGCCATTATCCATTGCAAAACCCTCACCATTAGCAAGGTCAAAGATCGCAGCTTCTTCATCCTTTGGAGAGCTAAGTTGAGAACAAAGTTTCATATTCTTTGAATAAAGTTAAAATGAGTTGAATTTTGTGTCATGATACCATTAGAAACACCCTTATGCATTTGCAAAACAAAAAATATGAGTTTTGAGCAAAGGAAAATATTCTCACCCATGAGCGAAATATTTTAATATCGCCCCAAATGAGTTGGATTAGGTTAAAATGAGTTGAAATATGTTTCATGATACTTTTAGAAACACCTTTATATATTTCCAAAACAAAAACATGAGTTTTGAGCCAGAGAAAATATTCTCGCCCATGGGCCACTTTTTCCCATATGGGCAACATAGTTCCAATTTTGAGTTTTCGAAAAAAAAATTCTCCATTTTTTCTTCCTTTATATGAACCCATGAAAACAGCATGTTTAATTTCGGTCAAATACCTTTGACCGAGACTGGCCACAGCATGGAGAGTTTCTGGACAAATGGGTTTCCAGAATTCAAATGGGACGTGTTATTTTAAGTTTAAGAGACAACAGAAAGCTTGGAATTTGGCGCTTCTCTATATATAAGGCTGTGACGTCATATTTTTTTAGCAATATGTCATAACAGTGACGTGCGGTGTAGAACTAAATTCAATTTAGCGTGGTCAAATATACAGGTAACCTACACTAAAAACACTGTAGATTTATCTCCTAATAATACTTCTAAGAATTCAAGCACATGTACACCAGCAAGAGACATGTCACTTCTATTTCCTCAGGTTCATGGAAAGTGTGTTAGAAACATCAAATTGTTTATATATGTTGTTTTAAATTGTTATTTCTGTTTAAAAATTGGTCAAAGCCTGCTCATCTTTGGCCCTCCCCTATTCCCTGCTTTCCCATTTCTCAAGACTTAGGAATTGGTTTTTATGCTTTACATATACCGTATTTAACGTAATAAGCGCCCGTCTCTAACAAGCGCCCATTGGATATTTGCTAATATATTGGCTAGTGAACAATCCCAATTAGCAGCCCTTCCAGTCAATGTACACAAGACGTATTTATTCGTGTATTATACACACTCGTGTGTTATATATATATGCACCCTTAGTTAGGGCAATTCAATTCTGGAAAATATATCTGTCGTGTATAATACGCACAGACTTTTCTTTTGTATCATTTCGGGCTGTCAGCATGAACCACGAAACTTTCAATCTTTCAACTGTTTTTTTTTTCACCAAAATTATATTATAATAAGAGGCCCCTATTTCTAATTTTGAGAGCACCCTGGGCGCTTATTACGTCGAAATACGGTAGTGCCCTCTGTGAAACTGACACAATGTCCCTGTGTGTTTGGAGTTATCTTTAACTGATATAGTTATATACATAAAGGATAAGTTTACAAACAATGAAAGAACGACTGAATCAAACTTGCTTGGACTGACAATTCACCCACTCTAATGCTTCAGGTTGAACTTACACAAACTTCAGTTTGACGTTGCTGTTGTCAGAGGACAAGAAGGTGAAGGTCAGGCTGGAGTTTTCACTCAGCGTCAGAGGTGATCTCATTTGAGCCACTCCCCCTTGTTCAAGGACAACAACTGATCCTTCCATTTTACCCTTGACAAGCTTCAAATTATTTTCTGTGAGGAAACTTGGCTGAAGGCTATCTTGTGCTGTCTGAAAGTGTAGAAAGAAAAAAATCCATAAATGTGCTGAAGTACTGGTGTGGTACCAGTTGAGCTCCTATCCAATGGTATTTACAACAGTTGAGCTATTTCATTTAACTCTAAAACACAAAACATGCCACAAACAAGGATATACTCATGGAAACAAATAAGGGAACAGCTTAACTTTTGAGGCATGACTTTCACTCCTTCACTCAATCCTACAGACACACTGACCCAATCAATCAGTGACTCAAGAACAACTCAGGCTACTCACTAACTCTCTCACACAAAGGCACTCACTCACATAAACGCAATTACCCACCCTCTGTCCCTCCCTCACTCACTCACCCACCCCTACACCCCAAAACAACCACTCACTCACGTAAGTGCAATCACCCACTCAATCACCCACGCAAACACACACACACACACACACACACACACCCAAACATCCACTCACTCACTTGCTCACTCACTTACTCAAACCCCACCCACCATCCCACCCAAACACACAAAACACTCACTCACTCACTCACTCAAACCCCACCCACCATCCCACCCAAACACCCAAACACCCAAACACCCATCCACTCATGCACTCACTCACTCACTCAAAGCCCACCCACCATCCCACCAAAACACCCAGCCACCCACCCACTCACTCACTCACTCACCTTGGACAGTTGTGCTGCGGTACTGGTCAGTCCACAGTGCTCACACAGCGTCTTGCCTCCCAAAGTCTTCTCCATGGAGGGGAACTTATGGCCATACAGCACTGTGCTGGACTTGCCTGAAACAAAGTCCCACGATATCATTACCACACAACTGTTGATAAAGATACATATTTCACACTGCCTCAGTACATTATCAGGTTGCATATGCGTGCACGTGCGTGCGGCTGCTTGTACTTATTAAGTATGGACTAATGCCGATGATAAATCGGGAAAGAACAATGAAGAATGAAGCGTGGTTTATTTCACGATAAAAAATTTCTACTTTGATAAACGCGATGGCCGAATGATCGCATCCAAAAGCGGGAGAGATATGACAATCGGTACAGGTAATCAAGGATTGTGAGAATACTCGGGAAATACCCACATGTGCATAAAATGGAATTGCCCGACATTGCCGAGGTCGGATTCTATTGAGAGCGTCACCATTAATTTAAATACGGGTAAAATATATTTAAAGCTTGTACATTTTATCATCATCCTTAAAAAGGATCAACATAATGTTGATATCTCATATAAGAAATAAACAACTTGTGGTTGTTGTTTATTATACAGTAGAACAACTCCCACTCATCGTTAATATCATTAAAATATCTCGCTTCCGTTAAACTTAAGATCTGAAGACATCCCATTATGGGTCACATCACAACAACCTTCCATCCGACCGTTTTCTAATCATACCACCCCGGTAAGGTTAATATGGGGTATTCCGAACAACTGTTACGGGCTGTTTGACTGATTCCCAACGACAGTTACGGGCTGTTTGATTCCGAACGACAGTTACGGACTCTTTGACTGATTCCGAACGACAGTTACAGGCTGTTTGACTGATTCAGAATGATACACATCATCTATCGTTTGCTTCAATGGGATAAACAACTGAAACGAAATACTTTCCATAGTCCAGGGGAAGTACTGTCATACAATTTCCGCCATAATTATAGTAGACATTCCAGAATTTTCATTGGTTCAGTTATCAAATTTTGAATCAAGAACTTTGTCAAAATGTTTTTGAAGCGTAGTCTGGAAAGGAAGTTACCATTTTGAAACTAGTGCCATCAACTGTTTTAAAGCTGCTCTCTGATTGGTTAATGTTGAGCTTTATGTTAGTCACTTCACTGGTTGGTCAAAATTCGCAAAAGGTCCTTCTGCGTAATGCGATGTCCTCACATCTATTTTTAGCTGAAGTGAGAACTAAGATCTGGTTTTAATGAGATTAACTCATCGTTTATTTCTAAAATAACAAATGTTTCAGTGTTCCTCAAAAGGAATCATGGCAAAACCTGTCCAAGAATACTTACTTGGGCTTTCTTTATCTGCAGTAACAGCAGCCTACAAAAAGAGAGATATAGGGAGGGATTAAATGAAATTCTGGATCAGGTTTCAGAAAACAAAATCTTGCATCTGACACAGTAAATCTGGAAAGTGTTCTGTAAAGGAAAGTATTGCGGAAACTGTGAGTGACACACACAAGACTTAGTTTCATTATGCTATAATTTTCCTGCCCAACAATGAAAGGAGACATATTTCTTTTAGTCACTTCAACACACAGTGCATGGTTTGGCGAGATCGTTCTGGGACAGGATGTAGGTGGTCACCAGGTGATGCTGTAGAGATGGACACTCACAAGGTAGGACAGATCATTCTGGGACAGGATGTAGGTGGTCACCAGGTTATACTGTAGAGATAAACACTCACAAGGTAGGAGAGATTGTTCTGGGACAGGATGTAGTTGGTCACCAGGTGATACCCTGGAGATGGACACTCACCTGGTAGGAGAGATTGTTCTTGGCCAAGATGTAGGTGGTCACCAGGTGATACTGTTGGAAGGTAAACCAGAGGACCTGTAGCGATGCAGATTCGTTGTGCCCCTTCACGCAGTCCACACGTAGCAAGATAGAGTTCCCATCTGACACACACAAACATCACAGTTAACCCACATCTTGATTTGTTGAAAAAAATTCCTAAATATTTCAAAGGGTAGACAAATTAATTACAAATATTTTTTTGCATCTTTTTTTAAAAAATAATAAAATTAATCTGATCAACTATAAAAGCATATCATATTTTGTTTATATTTGCCCAGTGTCTATACACATATTAACCAAGACTGTAACTCTCATTAAAATAACATCAAGCTACCCCTAAACAAAGACCTGAGGACATACCATTACGGGTGACGTCAGAACAACCTCTCATTCAGCAAATCAGAGTGTTGCTTACCAGACCAGGAAAAGGACAGTCAGAATGTGTTTCCTTATTATGCAACCTTGCAAAGGTTTACACAGGTGTTCTGAACAACAGTTACGGGCATTACGACCAAATCCATCAAAATCATCGTCTATCTCTCACTTCAGTGGGATAAACTCTTGAACAGAAGAGACTTTCCTTTGCTGTGGAAAGTACTACCATCCAATCTCGGCCATCTTTAAGACATTCTAGAATGTTCTTCTGTTCAGTTTTCAAATTTGGAATTGATATTTTTCAAAGTGTAGCCACCAGTTTGAAATTAGTGCTGTAAAGCTTGAGAAAGTGTCTTTCTGATTGGCTTATGACTAAAGTTTGCGAGAGGTCGTTCTGACATGACCCGAAATAGGATGTCCTCGGATCTTTATTAAGGGCAGTGAGCGCAAACATCTGATGTTAATGAGTGAGTGAGTGAGTTGGGTTTAAGGCCACTTTTAACAGTATTCCAGTTATATCGCGGCGTGTCAGCTTAATGTGGGAGGAAAGACCGAAGTGATGCAGGTCTCCGACGTTTACCACTTCGGTGAAACCCACGAGCACGGGTATGGTGCTGACAAACCTAGAAACATAATCGGTGCGAACCGGGATTCAAACCCACAATCATAGGTTTCTGGCGTGCCCAAGGGACGCAACTCTGCACAGCGAATCAAGGTGCTTACACGACTGGGCCACCCTTGCCCCCCTGATGTTAATGAGATTGCCCAGGCTGTAAAACAAGGAGTAACACTGTATTATTACTCCCAATACCGTACTCCAGGACATATTTCAATACTGACCTTTCTTGACTGTCACTTCTGCCACGCCATCGTGAAGAACTACTCCATGACTCCACAGCATCACCGGTGTGTGGAGCTTGAGCACTGCCGCCAGCACCAAGTGAAACAAAGCTGTGGAGAGCTGATGGGGGAACGAGTACAGACATGACACCATCAAGCTGTGGGCTTCATGGCTCTTCTGATGAAAGTGAGTCTAGGCAAAAAAAATAACAGTTTCAGAAAAACTCTACACACCTATGGAGCTTTGATGTTACTTGTGAGTAAGAAGCTAAGTAACTTTGGTTTAAAGCTGCTTTTTACAGCATTTCTTTTACATCAGGGCGCTCCAGCTTGATGCAGGAGAAAGCTGAAGAGTAAGTGAGTGAGTTGGGTTTAACGCCGCTTTGTATTCCAGTTACATCACAGCATGTCAGCTTAATGTCGGAGGAAAGCCTGAAGTGAAGCAGGTCTCAGACGTTTACCACTTTGGTGAAACCCACGAGCACTGGTATGGTTCTGACAAACCTAGAAACATAATTGGGTTGAATTGGGGTGATCATAGGTTTCTGGCGCCCAAGGAACACAAATGTGAAAAGCAAATTGCAGCTCCCTACACGACTGGGCCACCAGGGCCCCACAAAAGCTAAAGAGTGACTACCTTTTTTCAGTTGTCACCTACTGAGAATTGGAGATAGATCTATATACCCACATGAGGCATTCGTGGAATATAAATGTAACATAAATGGAAGGTACAGGGTGCATGTCGGCGATAGACTGACTTAATATAAAATATGTCATTAAAGTACTTCCAAAACACAATGCCATACTTACCGACAATCTTAATCTACACCTATTATATTGTCAAGATTTCCATTTTGTTTCCAGAACGTGCTTATTGCTTATTGCCTTTATAAAAATCGGATTAATAACCATTCTATCATGAATTTGGAAACTACTTGATTTTGATTGGTCTATCAGAGGTTGTTAAATCACAATAAACCCCCTCTGATTGAAACAGACGATTTGAAGGCTGCATCACCGCGGAAGCTTATATTCATAGAATAGTACTTTTTTTAGTCATTGCTGGTAGGCAAATTTGAATAATTATATAAAAACTATAGGTTTCAAACTGCAAAGTTGCGGTTACTGCAATATTCAAATAATGTGTGGCAATACATTTTGTGCAGAAAGCACAACAGAAATCTACAAAGAGAATGTATTTTAAGTTTGGGGGACAACAAAGAGCTGGGAATTTGGCGCCCTTTCTATTTACAACTGTGATGTTATATCTTTTGCGCCACAATCAGCGATAGGACGTCATAGGGGTGCCCGCCTCATGTTAGCTTAACAAGTTGCCGTGCTTACCTGGTTTATGCTTTCACTGCCTGTCATAGATTCGAATGAAGTATTAAAGTGTAAATAAACTGCTTGAGCACATACTGTGTTTTCCATGTAGAGGAAGGTAAGCTGTCGAACTAACCGCGCTAAATTTTACATTTGAAACCTCACGCTGCAAATTCAATTTAGCATGGTTAAATTTACAGGTAAACTAGCTCTACATTGAAAACACAGTGTGTTTATCTCTTAAATATTTGAAGCCTCTTTGATGTTGCCTGTTGTGTGCCGACCTGCTAAACAAACATCGTCATGCATTGATGCTGTCCAGTAAGTGGAGCAGAATTGTGTGAAGTTGCATTGTCAGTGAAACCAGAAACCTGATTTTCAGATAAATGGAGTGAGTGAGTGAGTTTGGTTTTATGCGGCTTTTAACAGTATTCCAGTTATATCGCAGCGTGTCAGCTTAATGTGGGAGGAAAGCCTGAAGTGATGCAGGTCTCAGACGTTTACCACTTTGGTGAAACCCACGAGCACGGGTATGGTGCTGACAAACCTAGAAATATAATCAGAGCGAACCAGGATTCGAACACACAATCATAGGTTTCTGGCGTGCCCAAGGGATGCAACTCTGCACAGCGAATCACTGTGCCTTAGACGACTGGGCCACCCGTTAAGGTTAAGACCTATCATATCAATAAAGTCATCAGGTAGGCAGGGTTTCAGGATGATTGTTTGTTTGTTTGTTTGTTTTTTGTTGTTTAGCACCACACTCAGTAATACTCAAGCTATATGCCGGCGGTCTGTAAATAATCAAGTCTGGACCAGACAATCCAGTGATTGACATCACTGACATCACATAAGAATATGTGTTTTGATATCCAACACAATTATCTCCCCTTACCATTGGTACAGGTGGCTGAAGGTCAAGGTTACCCAGATTGATGACGCCTCGGGGAGTGAAGACCACGCCCAGATTCTTAAAGGGTGATGTCAGCTCAGCAGTCTGGAATGTCAATCAGGTTTTAATTACTGTACAGCTTTAGTACGGTCATGAATAAACTTATAAAAACTTTATAAAAGTAAAAACCGATATTTGGGTTCTGTCTAGCACAGCTTTGAACAGAATTTTAGTTATTTGAGAATAATCATTGAAAAATTACAGGTTATCTGTCCCGAGTGAATTTATTTTGTCACTTTTGAGACTATGCGATATCTTAGCCTATATGTATACTTTATCATGATTGGCCAGCTGTGGGAGACCAAGTGATGCATTTCAGAGCCAAATGAGTGAGTGAGTGAGTATGGTTTCACGCCACTTTTAGCAAAATTCCAGCAATATCACAGCGGGGGACACCAGAAATTGGCTTCACACATTTTACCCATGTCAGGAATCGAACCCGGATCTTCGGCGTGATGAGTGAACGCTTTAACCACTAGGCTACCCAACCGCCCCCAACATTTTAGAAAGTCGATAGTTGTCATATGTTGAGTGTAATATGTACATCTTCTTTGGTTGGTTTAGTGCTGGTGGCAATTTTAAATATGTGGGCCCACTTTCGCGCCCCCCCCACCCCTGTGAATCTTGGATAAGAACCTATGATCACCTGATCCTGGATTAGCAAAGGGATGCAACTCCACAAAGTGAGTGAAGATAACAACGTCATTCAGCCACCATGACTCAAATACATTGATGACACTATTTACTTTCTCACGAAATACCATGTTTTTCCCATGGTGCTTGGAATGAAAATATTTTACTTTTCACTTTTACAATGACACAAATGTATATGATTCTTCATCAATTTGAAGTCCGGCCTACTGTATATAAAAATATATGACCTAAGGACACATCCCATGTTTATGTTGAACAAGTAAGTAGACAATACCTTGTTTTCATTGAGTTTAAGCTTCTCTTTCAACATCTTCTGAAATTCTTCATTTGTCCAGACAGGAGTCTTGTCCGCGATACTGACTATTTTGCCATTGTTTGTGCTGCCACCTGGTGGTAGAGCAGCCGCAGCATTTATCACACTGGCAATCCACTCCACCGACGCAGCATATACATTTCCTTCTAATTCTAGAACACAAACTTTTCCCTGAAATAGATAATATCATATTAAACATTTCGCCAGGAAATGTACAATTATTGATGCAAAGTATTTGAACTGAAATATGATGAAATAGAAAAAGAAGTTGTGAAACAAGCAATATCAGACCTAAGTATTTTTTCAGTAGTGCTTCTTTTTTCTAATATCCTTTGCAAGAGACTATTATTTAATTGTTTTTCTGTATTCTGCAACCCCCCCCCCCCCCCCCCCCCCCTTCCAAAAAGGAAAATCCAATAAATAATCTGAAGAGCCCATTTTACTTTATTTCACCACATTCAAACAATTATATGCTAGACTTTGAAGCTATATGGGCGTACTTAAAATAAGGTTTGAAGCTATATGGGCGTACTTAAAATAAGGTTTTGTTTGTTGTTTAATGCTGCACTCAGCAATATTCCATTCCAGCTAGATGACGGTGGTCTGAAAATATTCATGTCTGGACCAAACAATGCAGTGATTGAATTCATGATGATTGATGTACGCAACCGGGATACGATCACATGTATCAACCAAGTCAGCGAGCCTGACCATCCGATCCCGTTATTCACCTAATACGACAAACATGGTTTGCTGAAGGTTAATTCTAGCTCGGATCTCCACAGGCTAAAATAATACTAATAAAAACAACAAAAAATAATAATACCATTATAATAATAAAAACAACAACAACAAATAATAATACCATCATCATCATCATCATCATCATCATCATCATCATCATCATAATAATAATACCATTTATCATTGGTTGACACTCATCACTGTTTTTAATTTTCACTGTAATTTTCAAATGATATAATTTTAGCCAACAGCCCTGAGGGGATTGCCCAAATTTCATTACCAGACGTTTTAGGAAAAAGCTCGGAAATAAATGGGATATGCAACTATATTTTTTGTATTGAAGTAAGCAATATATGCTGTCCATCTAAAACACACTGTGCTATGTCAAAGGTCACATGACCGTTGCCTTGGCACACTCCTTCAAATACCTGCAAAGCAGACAGTGTTCAAATGACATGGTTTTAACATATGGAGATGGGACAAGCACCAGTCCGACTTACCAGGATATTGAGCAGTCCCAGACATGCTGCCACAAGATGGGGATTGCCCTTCAACACAGCCAGCCCTTTCAGCAGTGTCCCTGCTGTAGGCATGTCATGGAGCCCTCCCGTCAACAAGGTGGCCATCTTGGCTGACAAAAGCTCCTTTATATCTGGAGAGTCCACTAAGTTCTGGTACTCTTCGCACCGTCCATCCAGCTTCTCCGCACTGGTCAGCAGATTCTTGTTGAACACATTCCTATCAGCATCCTTGAAAATAGTAAGTGAGTTCGCTTAATGCCGGTTTGGAAATATCGGTTACATCACATCTTCCCAAGGCAAGGGAGTTAACTGACTATAAAAGTCTAATTTCAACCCTTGCCAAACAAGGCTGGAGTTTCAAAGCTCGATGGTAGCACCACCAGTGGCTATTACGAGTTAAGTCCCAACTATTGACCAATCGGATGCCACCTCTCATATAAGTTGCATTTACTTCAAACAAAATGGCGGCAACCAGTCAAGACAATCGGATCTATAATCAAGATCTGTATTGAAATAAAACGGGTCCTACCTCACGAAGCGCATCAGATCATTTGAGCACCAAGATGAACATGAACAAATTTCAAAAATATCTGTCGATGCCCAGTTGCTTAGCAAATCCTGCAGTCAACCTAAATCCGCATGTCAGAATCCATATTTTTTACAAACTGGATGTTTGGTTCATTACGCGATTTTGATTGGACTATGCATAAACTCGTTTGTCCAGCCAAAATATAACTCTGGAATTCCAGTCTAGTTCGGCAAGGGTTGAAACTGGACTTTTATAGTCAGTTAACTCGGGAAGATGGTTACATCACTGTAGCATCAGCTTGGTGAGGGAGAAAACTAGAAGTGATGCAGGTCTAAGACATTTAATCGCAAAGGTGAAACCAACGATCACAGGTATGGTGCTGACAAACCTAGAAACATTATTTAAACACACGATAAGAGGTTTTTGGTATGCTACCCATGCCCCTTCCTTAAAGGTAAACAAATGGGGCTTTAGATATTTGGTTATCCATACTGTCACTATGAGGTGAGGTGAGGTGAGGTAAAATGGGATTTATCTTTGCGTTCAAGATTATTGCGCTAAAATAGCGATGTGTGTGTGTGTGGCTGCTTGTACTAGTCTGGACTAGTGCCGATTTCAAAGTGCTAGCCCACTGAGATACCATGCCGCAGTTTAACATCAATACCCCACTCAGACACAGCATGCTGACTCCTAGCCGACCAGTCCTTGTTTTAGCCCCTTAATGCCGAGCGCCAGACAGGGTAACAACAGGTACCATCTTTTTACGTCTTTTGGTATGACACTGCCGGAAATTGGAACTTCCCAACCTTCCGTTCTCGGGTGGACGCTCTACCAGTAGACCATGGAGGTGGTCTCTGTCACTATGACAACCCATGAGCTCAGATATGGCACTGGCACACCACGGATATAATAGGGGCAAATCTGGTTCTCAAACGCACAACTAGGGGATCTTGCATGGTTAAGAGGACATCAACATAAATGAAAGTATCACCTACCGACAGTCCCGTGGATGTTTGCTTGACTGTGACCGTGGCGATCTGGATGTCTGTGTTAAGGCTGTCCATCAAGTACATGCCACAGCCATGGACCTCCGACCCCTGGTACTCTTCATCACCATCCAAGCTGTCACAGAGTGTGTGAGTGAGTGAGTGAGTGAGTGATGGATAGTTACGACTCTCATAAGTTTATGTGTAAGTATGGGTGATTATGATTATGTCTTAAGTCTATGTCTAAGTATCAGTGGTTATGACTGTCTTAAGTTTATGTTTAAGTATGGGTGATTATGGTTGTCTTGAGTTTATGTTTAAGTATGAGTGATTACAACTGTCTTAAGTTTATGTCTAAGTATGGGTCATTATGACTGTCTTAAGTTTATGTTTAAGTATGAGTGATTTCGACTGTCTTAAGTTTATGTCTTAAGTATGGGTGATTATGACTGTCTTAAGTTTATGTCTAAGTACGAGTGATAACGACTGTCTTAACTATATCTTTAAGTATGGGTGATTACGACTGTCTTAAGTTTATATCTAAGTATGGGTGATTATGACTGTCATAAGTTTATGTTTAAGTATGAGTGATTACGACTACCATAACTATATCTTTAAGTATGGGTGATAACAACTGTCTTAAGTTTATGTTTAAGTATGGGTGATTATGACTGTCTTAAGTTTATGTTTAAGTATGGGTGATTATGACTGTCTTAAGTTTATGTTTAAGTATGGGTGATTATGACTCTCATATGTTTATGTTTAAGTACGAGTGATAATGACTGTCATTACTATATCTTAAAGTATGGGTGATTACGACTGTCTTAAGTTTATGTCTAAGTACGGGTGATTATGACTGTCTTAAGTTTATGTTTAAGTATGAGTGATTACGACTGTCTTAAGTTTATGTCTAAGTATGGGTGATTATGACTGTCTTAAGTTTATGTTTAAGTATGAGTGATTATGACTGTCTTAAGTCTATGTCTAAGTATGGGTGATTATGACTGTCTTAAGTCTATCTTTAAGTATGAGTGATTATGACTGTCTTAAGTTTATGTCTAAGTAGGGGTGATTATGACTGTCTTAAGTTTATGTTTAAGTATGAGTGGTTATGATTATGTCTTAAGTCTATGTCTAAGTATGGATGATTATGACTGTCTTAAGTCTATGTTTAAGTATGAGTGATTATGACAGTCTTAAGTTTATGTTTAAGTATGAGTGATTACGACTGTCTTAAGTTTATGTCTAAGTATGGGTGATTATGACTGTCTTAAGTTTATGTTTAAGTATGAGTGATTATGACTGTCTTAAGTCTATGTTTAAGTATGGGTGATTATGACTGTCATAAGTCTATGTTTAAGTATGGGTGATTACGACTGTCTTAAGTTTTATGCTTAAGTATGAGTGATTAGGACTGTCTTAAGTCTATGTTTAAGTATGGGTGATTATGACTGTCATAAGTTTATGTCTAAGTATGGGTGATTATGACTGTCTTAAGTTTATGTTTAAGTATGAGTGATTGTGACTGTCTTAAGTCTATGTTTAAGTATGAGTGATTACGACTGTCTTAAGTTTATGTCTAAGTATGGGTGATTATGACTGTCTTAAGTTTATGTTTAAGTATGAGTGATTATGACTGTCTTAAGTCTATGTTTAAGTATGGGTGATTATGACTGTCATAAGTTTATGTTTAAGTATGAGTGGTTATGACTGTCAAAAGTTTATGTTTAAGTACGAGTGATAACGACTGTCATAAGTTTATGTTTAAGTATGGGTGATTATGACTGTCATAAGTTTATGTTTAAGTATGAGTGATTATGAGTGTCATAAGTCTATGTTTAAGTATGGGTGATTACGACTGTCTTCAGTTTATGTTTAAGTATGAGTGATTAGGACTGTCTTAAGTATATGTTTGAGTGAGGATGGTTACAAGCGTTCAAAATAAGCGCCTGCCAGTAGGCCTGTGGTAGGTAGATCTTGTACAGGCCCCGTAGTTTCAAATTTGTATGGGTCCTTATGGCCTGCAGTAAATGCATGTTTCGATTTATATGTTGTAAACGAGGGCCTGAAAAGTTTGATGAGGGCCTGCAGCTTCTCAAGTCCTGATGGCAGCCAGACATTTTTTATATTTCAAACACTGGTTACGAATGTTGTATGTCTATGTTTAAGTAGGGTGGTTGCGACTGTGGTAAGTCGATATGTTTATGTATGGATGGTTTTGAATGTCAGTTTATTCTTGTCTTAGTACAGGTGTTTACAACTGTTATTAGTTCCTGTTTAAGTATGACAATCCATTAAACATGCTCACCCAAGTTTCGTGGGTTTGTATGCCTTTGTGCTGGCCTTGAGTTCCTCGACAATGGTGCCAATTGTGGTCATGACCTTGTTCTTCAGAATGTTCCCTGGCACGGCCTTGACCTTGTCACTGTCCAGTCCTGCCACGATGAAGCCACATTCTCCCTGGACAGATACAATTCAGATTCACAGTCAAGGTCTGACTTCAACACAATCTCATTAAAAATCAGATATTAGTTCTCGCTACCGCTAAACAAAGATCTGAAGACATCCCATTAGGGGTCACGTCAGAACGACCTTTCATCCGAACAATCAGTGCATCGCTTACCAGATTATGAAAGTGACAGTCTGAATGTGATTTCTAATCATGCAATCTCGAAAACTTTAACATGGTGTATTCCGAACGATAGTTACGGGTTTAACTACTGAATCCTTACAATCTAGAACATCTATTAGTCATTCCAGAATGTTTTTTTGTTCAGTTTTCAAATTTGTAATCGAGAATTTGTCAAAATATGCTTCGAAGCGTAGTCGCCAATTTGAAATTTGTGCTGTAAAGCAGGAGAAAGCTGCCTTCTGATTGGTCATTCCATTGGTCGGTCAAAGTTCGCGCAAGGTCGGTCTGACGTGACCTTTAATGGGATGTCCTCAGATCTTTGTTTAGCGGTAGCGAGAACTAAGATCTGATTTTAATGAGACTGACTTCTACAGATCTTTGTAGCTTCTAAGTTACTGGATTGATTTAGTGAAGGATTCAGAGATGCATATGTGAATACTGCATCTCAAAATGGAACACAAACCAGCAGTTCTGAATGGAGGTATATATGACACCTTGTTTCTGAGCATCATGGCAGTTACACCCAAATTGGGGCATTCTCTCTTGTGACCATTTCTTTTGTGTTAAAATCCAACAGACAGGCCAAAACTTGAAAATCGAGTAAAGAAGTGCTAAAATTAATCAGTCAGGCAGGAGTAAGAAGAGTGAAAACAATTCAGCAGGCTAAAGTTGAAGTAAATTCACCAAGCAGAATTTGCAACAGATAATGGGCCAAGTTAACAAAACGTAAATGTAGTGGATCTGAATCGTGTAGTGAGTGAGTGAGTTGGGTTTAACACCGCTTTTAACAATATTCCAGTTATATCACGGCACCAGAAATGGCCTTCACACATTGTCCCCATGTCGGGAATCGAACCCGGGTCTTCGGCGTGGCGAGCATAGAGCATAGACTAACCACAAGGCTACCCGACCACCCACCTTGACAAAGAGAGGTATCAAATCAATGCAAAGACCCAATTTAAATGAAACTGGTCTCGACAATTTTGTGAAGTGATAAAACCTCAAAACTATCAACGATGCTCATTCTCTCAGTCACTGGTTTGCTCAGACTCAAGAATTACCAGACGAGCTGCAGCTGGAATATTGCTGACTTCTCCATAAAACAAAAAACGAAAATCAGTAAAATCTAAACATTTTTTACATTTGTATTCTTATCCTGCATTACTTCTTAATGCATTTACTGCTTTCCTTACGACAAAGAAGACAGCCTAGCGATGGTCCTGGGTGAAAAAAGAAAAGTCTGTTTCCGACACAAGTCCACTGTTCACAGCACCACCGCCACTGTCATGTGACAGATTGTGATGCCACACTCAATTCATATTACTGCTCCTCGTCATCAGGGAAAGTCGTGTCTCGCTTTGCTTTTCAACTTAAGTAAAAATCAAACATTTCTCGGACAACTGTCATCACTTACCCCAACTCTGGAGGCGACCTGACAGATGACGGCAGCAATGCTGGCAGCTTCATCCGCTAGTTTCTTGTCATCACTCACGTTGGTGGTGATGACATACACGGTCCGGGGGGTCACGTACAGGTCCAGAAAGCCCTGAAGTAAAACCACTTTAAAGTTGCCACATACAGAGGGAGGGTCTGCTAGCAATTTGCTGACAGATCATATTTTTCACATCGTGAAATGATATCAAAAGAACATGTGTGAAGAGAACAATTACAGTGGGCAGGAACTGCTAGCAATTTGCTGACTAATCATATTTTTCACATCGTGAAATGACATCAATAGGACATGTGTGAAGGACAATTACTGAACTATCTATTTCAAGAAGTACTAAATATAGTAAAATACACATGAATAAATACACCGAATACCCCATATTGAAAAAATACTCGATCTTTGAACAAATAGAAATATACTGATGGCAACAAAAAAGGGAACATCGCTTGCATGTACTCACAACAGTTTAGGCAGGTTTTATGTTTGGAAAAAGAACACACCCGATAATAACAAATCACTCCATGACATTTTTTGTTTACATCAAGAAAAAGAGATTATCATATGAGCATGTGTGTCATACTGTTTTTACGAACGAGTGTCAGAATTCTCGTATTTCCCGAGCGAAAGTCAGGCTATAACGGTAGATAAATTCTTACAAGAGTTTCATAAAATCAGTATGACACAAATGCGAGTGTAATAATTTCTCTTTCTTGATGTAACCAAAAACTTGTCAAATCTTTAAGTGTGACATCCTTTCTTGTGTGATGTCATTCCGACCTCATGTCACAGTAAGATTTGAATGACATTAACAATACTGTCCAGATGACGTATACAAAACATTGATGCACGTGAAGTGACATTTGCACTAGTGCACATACGATTCTCATGAACTTGACCAGGAAATCCAGTGATTGATATCGTGAGCATTCACCTATGCAATCGAGATATGACATCAATCAACCAAGTCAGCGAGCCTGACAACCCGATCCCATTAGTCGCATTGTCTGTAGGAGACCAAATCTTGCATGGACTCTTTAGATAGGTTTAACATTTGGCCATGGAGTGAACACACCAGAAAACATTTTTTGTTGACATGAAGAATATCTTTTTTTACACCGCATTCGACATGACACTGCACATTTTCAAGTGCCAAAATCTTTTCCATACGTAAACAGACTGACTTTACCTCCTGGCATTCAATGATCGGGTAGGCCGTTGAGCCGATCTTGTAGGCGGTGTCGACTGTGATAGCCTGCCGGCTCTGCGATTCTTTCCGTAGGCTCTGCAGCAGATTCGTAGTGATGCCATTCCGCCTGACAATCACAACCTTCATCGAGTCATTCCGTCGCTGGGGAATGTCTGAGGTGGAAACAGTGGCGTTAATGGTGGTGAGGTGAAATAGGATTTAACGTCGCGTCCAAGATTATTGCACTTATATAGCGACGTGCATGTACGTGTGTGTGTTTGTGTGGCTGCTTGTACTAGTCCGGACTGATGCCGATTTATAGAGCTAGCTCAAATCGTCAAATTTACGTCATCAAGTTGCGCTGGCATGTTCGAATCTCCAGAAATGACGTCATGATAGAACAATGTTTTATCGTGAAATAAACCATGAACCGATCTTCATCATGTTCATTGTTCTATGTATATAACAGGATCAACAACTTGTACAAACCTTTGCTAGATTTCCCGTCAAGTTTGGCCTGAAGAGTTGCTTCAGTTGGTGACACCAGAGGGCAGCCCTGCACCGTTTCCTTGATGTAACCGATGTATCGTGGGGGAACTACCCGTATACCGGTTCCAGCTATCGTCAAGCGGGATATATGCTTACAGTTGTGTATAAGGGGGCCGAACACTGCCTCTGTCACGCGCTGGCAACCAGTCATGTCCATCTGGCACACAAGACAGGCATCAAAATTAGTTAAAACAGTGTCGGAAATTCTGCACAGTCAACTGAGAGCCTTAAGAGCCATTTCAAAAACTGAACGCCCAGTGGAAAAACTGAAGGCCCAAACATTTTAGCTGAAGCAATGAGACCAACTCTTTAGGGCTGGGACGTGTAACTCGGGTCCTCGAGTCGGGTGGGTCCTGAGTAGGACCCGGGTCCCCACAGGACTACTCGGACCCGTGATTTGTCACGTGATATATTGTTTAATGACAAAAACTGTAGCTCAGTGGTTACACTACAAGTCACTAATGTTCGCATTTCTTTCTTACGATGCACACATTCCTTTTGACTTGTATATGTTTGAGTAAAGATAAAGCTTCAGTCAACTTCAGTGAACGCATGATCTGATTGTTTGATACATGTATCTAAATACTTTTAGCCAGGGCTGCAGTGAAAGAATTACCAATCAGACATTTTGTTCCCAACTCTTGAGACTTGCTGTGGGTACCTGGGTAGGGTAGGGTAATAGGGGGAAGGGTACCTGGGTAGTAAATTTGGACTCATCCCAGGCCTACTTCTCTTGCAATATAAATTACAAAACACAACCAGTCAACCAGAAGCTTTAACTGTTATCACACCGAGTTCCCAGAGACTCTGTGGTGATAGATGAAGCCTACATTTGTCAAGGACATCATCAGCTTGTAAATCTTTGCTACTACATGTCATACACCATTTGATAGGTCTAACCCTACTGTATATAAACAAAAGTTGTGTTTAACACATTTTTCAATAATGGATATAATAAGTTAATTGAGTTCATTTTTGATTAAAAAAAATTAAGCTGACAGATTCATGACATCCAGATTAAGCACCAAGGAGGCTAAAATTATGGAGATTTTCGTCAATTTCAAGATTCCATTACAGAGCAGTCCAGTAACTTATTTCTTTTTTATTACCATTGTCAAAGTATTCGAAAAATGATGTTAATAAGAATGCTACAAATAATTTAACGGAAAATACCTCCGTTTTCTAAGCTTTGTGGAAATAACACGTGTGAAGATTTGTTCGATGTTCGGTATCATTAGGAAGCTCTGAACATCAATAATATTAGTCACCTCACTTGGAGTATTTCCATAGCTGTAACATGCGTTTTATTGGATAGAAATTGGTTTCTAATGACGCTTTTACTGTTATCTAACATGAGGATGGCTATTGGTCAAAATCAAGCACATGACCTAAAGCAGCCAATCAATTGCAGCATTCTGTTTCTTTCTCAAGCTATGACATAAATCTTACCTCTTGTAAATTTTCAAATGATCTTGACATGAGGGCAATTCCTCTATTAGTCACTAGATGGCAGCCTGTCAGTCTGACGCCCACGATGTTCTTTGACGCAGCTGCCGACATGGTGTTGACGAGGACGGAGAGGGTGGCGTCAGTCACAGTTGGAATGCCAGTGACATCCAGGATTGATTGGACTTTTATACTTGCCGCCACCTCCTGAAGGACAGACAGGATTTACAAGATGAAGAACTTAAAAACGATGTTAGGGATCTGGGTTTTTGAGGAGAGATATATCCCCACTTAACATGTTTTTGAGCACCACTTCTTTTCGAGCCCCTCGACGCTTCAAAGCTCACTGAAGATAGCAAAGCGTTCGCCACTTATCGCTGAAGTAACTATTAGCTGAATGACATAATCAAGGTAGATGCTTCAAAGCTCACTGAAGATAGCAAAGTGTTCGCCACTTGTCGCTGAAGTTATTTACATTTAGAACTAACTACTAAATGACTTTATCGCGCATATCCAAACTGTTGGCTAATTTATCGCCACTTGTTGCTGAAGTTATGTGATGAATTAAGCTACACAAGGTAAGATATTCATTAAATAATGAAAACATACCTCAAACCTTACTTTTTCACGAATGCACATTCTAATCAAACTTGATCTGATGACGTATCAGCTGCTGTATGTAATGTCATGTGACTGTAATGTCATGTGACCGATCATGTTGTGCATCTATTTTTAATTTGACTGTAACACTGGGGCTCGAAATCATGTGATGGTAACAAGATGGCTTCCGATTGACTTGTCTTGCTCTGTGAGACATTATAATGATTAAATTGAACAGATGTGGTCATTGACTGTACAGTTGTAAACAGAAATAAATGTTCTCAAAGGTAAGACTTAATTTTAGTGTACTGCGATTGTTATGGGACACGTAATGAGATATACTTCTTCGGGGATCGATAACACAGTACGTGAGGATGATTTATTTTATGCCTTTGACAAGATTATTCAGCCCTTATATGAAAACAATCGACCACATAATACAAGACCCAGGAAGATCATGGGTAGAAAAGGTCTTCAGGAACCCATGCTTGCAGAAAAAAGTGACTATGCTTGTCGTAAGAGGCGACTAACGGGATTGGGTGGTCAGGCTCGCTGACTTGGTTGATGCATGTCATCGTATCTCAATTCCGTGGATCAATGCTCATGATGTCAATTCCTGGATTGTCTGGTCCAGAATCGATTATTTACAGACCGCCGTCATTTAGCTGGAATACTGCTGAGTGTGGCGTTAAACAACAAACAACCACATAATACAAAATGACAAATCAAAGTTGAGTTTTCGAAAAGTGAGTGAGTAAACGAACAAAACTTGGTGCCACACTGTGTCCACCCAATCCTCACTGTGCCCACCTATTACAACAAGAACTCAGCAATATTCCAGCTATATGACAGTGCTGTGTAAATCTGGACCAGACAATCCAGTGGTTAATATCATGAGCACCATCCCATGCCGTCGGCTATGATGACATGCAGTCAACCAAGTCACCGAGTCCGACCACTCAATCAATTCAATCGCTTTTTTCGACAGGCATTGGTTACTGAGACCATATTCTAAATTTAAATCACCACAGAGTAGATAACAAACAAATCGTCATTTTCTCAAATGTGTCGTACTCTGTGCCTCACTAAAAGTGTCCTTTTCTAACCCAGGTGCCAACGATTGCGATCAGGTTCATTGTTTGGGTAATGAAAGAGAATCACATGACTTACAAATATCCTCACAAAACACTGAGCAATGCTGCTGACTTACAGAAATGGTAGCGAAGTCTGATGCCTTGATGGTCTTGAAACTAGAAAATAAAGACACTCGTAAGTATGAATTGGTCAGAATAGTTACTTCTCACTCACTCCAAACACACTCATTCTAAATGCACTCACTCCAAACACACTCACTCACTCTAAACACACTCACTCCAAACACTCTCACTCACTCTAAATGCACTCACTCCAAACACACTCACTCACTCTAAACACACTCACTCCAAACAAAACACCTCACTCACTCACACCAAACACTCTCACTCCAAACACTCTCACTCACTCTAAATGCACTCACTCCAAACAAAACACACTCACTCACTCACTCCAAACACGCTCACTCACTCCAAACAAAACACCTCACTCATTCACTCCAAACATGCTCACTCACTCCAAACAAAACACACTCACTCCAAACAAAACACCTCACTCACTCACTACAAACACGCTCACCCACTCCAAACAAAACACACTCACTCCAAACAAAACACACTCACTCCAAACAAAAAACACTCACTCCAAACAAAACACCTCACTCACTTACTCACTTACTCACTCCAAACACACGCACTCCAAACACTCACTCCAAACACAAGCACTCCTAACACTCACTCCAAACACACGCACTCCAAACACTCACTCCAAACAAAACACACTCACTCCAAACAAAACACACTCACTCACTTACTCACTCCAAACATCTGTTATTAAAGGTAGATCATTTCAAGTCAGCAGATGACTTGATTTACTGAGTGAGTGAGTGAGTGAGTGTGTATTTAACCAACATCACTATCATCATCAAATAACGGACAACAGGTGTCCACAAGTACCCTGTAGTCAGGCCTCCCACCGTGTTCTGTCTTAGTTTTGGTGCAAGTACCTGAAAACAAATTCAGTGAGGATTAATCAATTCTCAATTAATAGGTCAGAAAGGACTATTCAATTCTCAATTCCTAAGTCAGTAAGGACTATTCAATTCTCAATTCCTAGGTCAGTAAGGACTATTCAATTCTCAATTCCTAGGTCAGTAAGGACTATTCAATTCTCAATTCCTAGGTCAGTAAGGACTATTCAATTCTCAATTCCTAGGTCAGTAAGGATTATTCAATTCTCAATTCCTAGATCAGTAAGGATTATTCAATTTCCAACTTGCAGTCATTTGTATACCTGAAGGCCAGTACCTGAGAGTTAGGTGATATGGGGTTTAATGTCGCGTTCAAGATTATTACACTTATATATAGCAACATGAACACACCTGTGTGTGTGTGGCTGCTTGTTATGTGTGACAAGTCCAGGCTAATGCTGGTTTTATAGTGCTTGCCCACTGAGATACCATGCCACAGGTTAACATGAATAACTCACTCAGACTCCGAGCCTACCAGTCCTTGTGTGCATAAACATATCTTTGCAAACCGTTGTTGCAACATCCAAGCATATAAACTTATGTCAATAAACATATCTTTGAAAACTATTCTTGCAACATCCAAGCATACAAACTTATGTCAATGAACGTATCTTTGCAAACGGCGAAACTGGGTATTCCTTTATTTTCTCTCCCTTTCATCCAGTCTATTACACCAACAACAACCAATTTTACAAATATTTCTGCTTAAAATGCTGTTTCAGGTGACAATGTTCGACTGAATATGTGATGCCTGTCTCGGGGCTCGATTTGGCTGTATAAAACAACCTATTATTGAAAAATGCAACCTAATATGAGGCCTTCATGCATCTACTGCATGTTTAAAGTATCTGACTAGGCACATGTTCCTATTTCGTTTTACAGCAATGCATCATTAATGTATGTGACACGGGCAGCAGACAAGCCTATGTTTCAACTTTGATATTCTTATCGGACCAGGGTGCAACCTGGCTTTGTTTGATGCAACCTGGTTTTGTTTGGTGCAACCTGGTTTTGTTTGGGGCAACCTGGTTTTGTTTGGTGCAACCTGGTTTTATCTGGTGCAACCTGGTTTTGTTTGATGCAACCTGGTTTTGTTTGGTGCAACTTTGTTTTGTTTGGTGCAACCTGGTTTTGTTTGGTGCAACCTAGTTTTGTTTGATGCAACCTGGTTTTGTTTGATGCAACCTGGTTTTGTTTGGTGCAACTTGGTTGTGTTTGGTGCAACTTGGTTTTGTTTGGTGCAACCTGGTTTTGTTTGGTGCAACCTGGTTTTGTTTTGGGCAACTTGGTTTTGTTTGGTGCAACTTGGTTTTGTTTGGGGCAACCTAGTTTTGTTTGGTGCAACCTGATTTTGTCTGGAGCATCCTTGTTTTGTCTGGTGCAACTTGGTTTTGTTTGATGCAACCTGGTTTTGTTTGGAGCATCCTTGTTTTGTTTGGTGCAACTTGGTTTTGTTTGATGCAACTTGGTTTTGTTTGATGCAACCTGGTTTTATTTGGTGCAACTTGGTTTGGTTTTGTGCAACTTCGTTGTGTTTTGTGCAACCTGGTTTTGTTTGATGCAACCTGGTTTTGTTTGGGGCAACCTGGTTTTGTTTGGTGCAACTTGGTTTTGTTTGGTGCAACCTGGTTTTGTTTGGTGCAACCTAGTTTTGTTTGATGCAACCTGGTTTTGTTTGATGCAACCTGGTTTTGTTTGGGGCAACCTGGTTTTGATTGGTGCAACTTGGTTGTGTTTGGTGCAACTTGGTTTTGTTTGGTGCAACCTAGTTTTGTTTGATGCAACCTGGTTTTTTGGGGGGCAACCTGGTTTTGATTGGTGCAACCTGGTTTTATCTGGTGCAACCTGGTTTTGTTTCATGCAACCTGGTTTTGTTTGGTGCAACCTGGTTTTGTTTGGTGCAACTTGGTTTTGTTTGGTGCAACCTGGTTTTGTTTGGTGCAACCTAGTTTTGTTTGATGCAACCTGGTTTTGTTTGGGGCAACCTGGTTTTGTTTGGTGCAACTTGGTTTTGTTTGGTGCAACCTGGTTTTGTTTGGTGCAACCTAGTTTTGTTTGATGCAACCTGGTTTTGTTTGGGGCAACCTGGTTTTGTTTGGTGCAACTTGGTTTTGTTTGGTGCAACTTAGTTTTGTTTGATGCAACCTGGTTTTGTTTGATGCAACCTGGTTTTGTTTGGGGCAACCTGGTTTTGATTGGTGCAACTTGGTTGTGTTTGGTGCAACTTGGTTTCGTTTTGTGCAACCTGGTTTTGTTTGGGGCAACCTTGTTTTGTTTTGGGCAACTTGGTTTTGTTTGGTGCAACCTGGTTTTCTTTGGTGCAACCTAGTTTTGTTTGGTGCAACCTGGTTTTGTTTGGAGCATTCTTGTTTTGTTTGGTGCAACTTGGTTTTGTTTGATGCAACCTGGTTTTATTTGGTGCAACTTGGTTTGGTTTTGTGCAAATTGGTTATGTTTGGTGCAACCTGGTTTTGTTTGATGCAACCTGGTTATGTTTGGTGCAACCTGGTTTTGTTTGGTGCAACTTGATTGTGTTTGGTGAGTATACAACAATGAGTGTTGTCACTCGAAGCTGCCATGTTTTTTTCTGCATATTTGAGGGCAAGCAACACAAAATTAATTGGTGAATGGTGATATATTTTGCGTATTTCAAGCATATATGCAGATTAAGTGGAGATGTGCATCTTTAGTGAGTGTTGCCATGTTTTACATCAAGTTGTTAACAGTCTGACAAATGCAGCCGGAAATACCCTTACTTGTTTTGGAGCTCTTGCTGCTGGTAGAGATGAGGACTGAAAATTAAAATGTCATCATACTCATGTTATTGTCATTTAATAAGCATGAGTCATACAAATATATTATTACAAATAAATATGCATGAATATTCAATTGGATTATATTTATGCAGAAGTATAACATTACCACCGTTCTGGAAAATTACAAACAATATATTGCTGGTCATCAGGACAGGCCCCAGGAATAACTCTAAAAATGCGAAACAGGAGCCAAATTTAGCAGTAACTGAAAAATTGTAAAGTTTTCAGTCAAGATGATTGTTTTCAATGTCGGTTATGAGAAACAACAAACACACAACTATGTGGCCAAACCAAAGTAATTTCACATACATATTATTCTCTAAAATTTATAAATATGGAGAACCTATTCAGACAAACTTAAAATTTAAATTTCATCTCAGATGAAGAGAACCAGTTAAACTGTACAACAAATATGACTCCAGACAAACATTTAGTCCCGGATATATCCGCATTGGATCTACAAATAAAAATGCTGTCCATACTCTTTTCTGTGTTTCCCATCTTCCCCCTGCCCTGAATTTTTATTCTGACGTGAAACAATAAAAAGTTTTCTAATCTCAATTTTCCCCGATGTGGAAATTTTTTGCCCTGATGGGATAAAATAATACACCTACCATTGGTCACTCATTGTGGTTTGCTACATTTATGAAAGATTTGTTTCCAAAGCCAAGCTACTAGATCTATATCATATATTAATTGAAAGACTTTTGTCAAGTCTTTTAAACTTTTAAATTTCAAAAAATAAATTACACAATTAGTGAAAAACAATTTTTATTTTTTTTGTTTCACCCGCCGGCTCTCTTGCTAGTAGAGGATGGAGTGCCCAAGGGGCGCAACTCTGCACAGCAAATCGCGGCGCCCTAGACGACTGTGCCACCCGTGCCCCCCAAGGTAAAGAACTATCTGGATTAGAAATTATCAGAGAGCCATAACTAATTATCATAATTTTCTGAGCACTGAGCACTCTGTAGAGAAGAGGTATCACGATACATCTACTTCCCGTGTCAATACATATTGTGATAGTTTGTGCAGTTTTTGTGTGAAATCACTCATGTTCCATCGGCTAACAAGGCACAAAGGTAATGGCAGTCAGTGTTACCAAACTGGGTAATTGCAAAATTGTGTCAATATTGTCATGTGGCAGTAGATTTTGGTAAATGGCATAAAATGACTGAGGTGGTCAAAGCTTTGGTTGTTGCCTTGGCAGCAAGTGAATTAGAGTTACCTACCCTGCTTGTGTATCAATCAACACAACAGACTTGGACGAGAAAGAGAAGGGAGAGATTTCAAATTAAAGGAATTGGAATTAAAAGAAGAACTAATTTCCTTCAAAATTAAAAAAAATTACTTTGTGACATGAAATGTTTTCTAAAAAAGAAAGTTGATAAATATTTTGGTACTTTGAGAAGGTTGCAACAAATTTGGCCACAAGAGCAAAACAGACTTGTTCATTTTGTGATGTGACAGCTTCTGGAAAGGTGGGCGTGCCTTTATAAGAATGACAGTAGGGTGATTCAAGGTCTTCTACAACATGACTTGCATCACATCTACCTGCCTTTATGATCAGGACTTAAAGCTTTGAGGTGGAGGCGTGAGGTGAAATGGGATTTAACGTCGAGTCCAATATTATTGCACTTGTATAGTGACATGCATGCACGTGTGTGGCTGCTTTTACTTGTCCGAACAGATGCCAATTTATAGTGCTAGCCCACTGAGACACCATGCAACAGTTTAACATGAATACCCCACTCAGACACAGCTAGTATTCAAACTCAGAGCCGACCAGTCCTTGTTTTAGCCCCTTAATGCCGAGCACCAGGCAGGGTTACAACAAGTACCATCTTTTAACGTCTTTTAGTATGATGCAGCCGGGGATTGAACCCCAATCCTTCCGCTTTCCAGTCAGAGTACCAGGCCCCACTACCAGGCCCCACCACCAGGCCCCACTACCAGGCCCCACCACCAGGCCCCACTACCACGCCCCAATACCAGGCCCCACCACCAGGCCCCACTACCACGCCCCACTACCAGGCCCCACTACCAAACCCCACTACCAAACCCCACTACCAAACTCCACCACCAGGCCCCACCACCAGGCCCCACTACCACGCCCCACCACCAGGCCCCACTACCAAACCCCACTACCAGGCCCCACCACCAGGCCCCACCACCAGGCCCCACCACCAGGCCCGACTACCAAACCCCACTACCAGGCCCGACTACCAAACCCCACTACCAGGCCCCACTACCAAACTCCACCACCAGGCCCCACCACCAGGACCCACTACCAGGCCCAACTACCAGGCCCAACTACCATGCCCCAATACCAGGCCCCACTATCAGGCCCCACTTCCAGGCCCCACTACCAGGCGCCACTACCAGGCCCCACTACCAGGCCCCACCACCAGGCCCCACTACCAGGCCCGACTAACAAACCTGACTACCAGGCCCGACTCCCAGGCCCGACTACCAAACCCCACTACCAGGCCCCACCACCAGGCCCCACCACCAGGCCCCACTACTAGGCCCGACTACCAGCCCCGACTACCAAACCCCACTACCAGGCCCCACTACCAGGCCCCACGATCAGGCCCCACTACCAAAACCCCACTACCAGGCCCCACTACCAGGCCCCACTACCAGGCCCCACTACCAAACCCCACTACCAGGCCCCACTACCAGGCCCCACTATCAGGCCCCACTACCAGGCCCCACTACCAAACCCCACTACCAGGCCCCACTACCAGGCCCCACTATCAGGCCCCACTACCAGGCCCCACTACCAAACCCCACTACCAGGCCCCACTACCAGGCCCCACTACCACGCCCCAATACCAGGCCCCACTACCAGGCCCAACTATCAAACTAGGAACATACTGATATGAAGAAGACTTACCTCCAACTTTGGGGCGCTATATGTTTGTTCACTGATATTAGACAAATAGTCGTCCTTGAAAAAACAAATTATTAAAAAATTATTAAAGTTCAAACCTGATTGCTTGTCTCCTTCAGGTTGATCAAATCAGTTCATCTAACCAGTTGATTAAACCGGTTAATAACACCAGCAGATTACACCGGTTGATTAAACCGGTTGATTAAACCAGTTGATTAAAACATTTGATTAAGCCAATTGATCAAGCCTGTTGATCAGCATCAAACCAGAAACCATTACATATGTTTGATGTTGTAGGACGCATTAAGTAGTGCTAATATTTATGGACATGATGCCTGCATTCATAATTACCTATATTGGGGGGTTTTTTTAAATACTTTTTGCTACAATTGTGCTACCTATAACTTGAGAACTACCACATTGATTCTGTCCAAATGTAAGGAACACTTTTTATACTGATTGGAGAGATGAAGTGCAAAGTTTGATTTTAATATGTGTATTTTATGAAACAACATGATTTTTTACGTGTTTTGAACTCAGAATGTATTTTTAATTCAACAATTGTGCTACCTATAACTTGAGGACTACCACATGGATTCTGTCCAAATTTAAGGAACACTTTCTATCCTAATAGGAGAGGTGCAGTGCAAAGGTTGATTTTGATATTTTCTGAAAAAACAACATTGGCTAAAGATCATTGTCCTAACGTTGGCTAAAGATTACAGTAATTAACATGATTAATGTTGGGTGAACGTTGCTACAACGTTGGCAAGGAAACGTTGGCCCAACGCTGGCCCAGCCAACGTTGGCCTAACGAAAGTGATAACATTGGCCCAACATAGGCCAAATGTGCTATCTGGGCCACCACCAAACCCTTCTTCAAACACTACTATCAAACCCTATTACCAAACCACGATACCAAACCCTACCACCAAACCCTTCTTCAAAACCTATTACCAAACCCCACTACCAAACCCTATTACCAAGCCCCACTACCAAACCCTACTACCAAACCCAACCACCAAACAAGGAATAAACAGATATGAAGACAACTTACCTCAAGCCTTGGGGCGCCATATGTATGTTCACTGACGTTGGTCAAATAGTCATCCTTGAAAAAACAAATTGAAAAAGATAATTATTGAAGTACACACCTGAATGCTAGTCTTCTTCAGGTTGATCTAACCAGTTGATCTAACCAGCAGGTGAAACCAGCTGATATAAACAGTTGATCAAACCAGCTGATATAAACAGTTGATCTAACCAGTTGATCAAACCAGCAGATGAAACCAGCTGATATAAACCGTTGATCAAACCAGCTGATTTAAACAGTTGATCAAACCAGCTGATATAAACAATTGATCTAACCAGTTGATCAAACCAGCAGATGAAACCAGCTGATATAAACCGTTGATCAAACCAGTTGATTTAAACAGTTGATCAAACCAGCTGATATAAACAGTTGATCTAACCAGTTGATCAAACCAGCAGATGAAACCAGCTGATATAAATAGTTGATCAAACCAGCTGATATAAACAGTTGATCTAACCAGTTGATCAAACCAGCAGATGAGACCAGTTGATTACACCAGCTGATAACACTAGTTGATTAAAGCAATTGATCAAACCAGCTGATATAAACAATTGATCTAACCAGTTGATCAAACCAGCAGATGAGACCAGTTGATTACACCAGCTGATAACACTAGTTGATTAAAGCAGTTGATCAAACCAGCTGATATAAACAGTTGATCTAACCAGTTGATCAAACCAGCAGATGAAACCAGCTGATATAAACAGTTGATCAAACCAGCTGATATAAACAGTTGATCTAACCAGTTGATCAAACCAGCAGATGAAACCAGCTGATATAAACAGTTGATCAAACCAGCTGATATAAACAGTTGATCAAACCAGCTGATATAAACAGTTGATCTAACCAGTTGATCTAACCAGTTGATCAAACCAGCAGATGAAACCAGCTGATATAAACAGTTGATCAAACCAGCTGATATAAACAGTTGATCAAACCAGCTGATATAAACAGTTGATCTAACCAGTTGATCAAACCAGCAGATGAGACCAGTTGATTACACCAGCTGATAACGCTAGTTGATTAAAGCGGTTGATCAAAGCAGCTGATATAAACAGTTGATCTAACCAGTTGATCAAACCAGCAGATTTTCAAATGACCTTTTTCTTTACATTTGACTCTTAATATTGCATACTTTTGACCGTATTTCAACTGTATATTTTAATCAGCGTCTGTTTGTTTTGTATTTGACCTTTATTAGTAACATTTAATACCGTATGCATAATATTTGACTTTTATTCCATACTTTTGTCCTTTTTCCCATACATATTTGTACGCAAGCTACTGAAACTAAATTGGGTCAAAGTGATTTTTGTGTTTTTGGCTGATATTTCCCAAACTCCAACCCCTCAGAAAATTCCCCAACCCGTCAGAATATCCCTACCCCTCCTAATATCCATACCCCTTCAGAATAAACCTACCCCTCAGAATATCAACACCTATGAATATCCCCACCCCTCCAGAATATCCCTACCCCTTCAGAATATCCTCAATACCTCAGAATATCACCTACCCTTCAGAATATCCCTACACCCCAGAATAATATCCCCACCCCATAAGAATATCCCCACCCCCACAAAATATCCTCAATTCCTCAATATACCCACCCATTCAGAATTTTCCCCCTCCCCTCAGAATATCCCAAACCCTCCAGAATATCCCCACCCCCTCATAATATCCCCACCCCTTAGAATATCCCTTCCCCTTAGAATATCCCCATTTATTCAGAATACCCCCGCCCCCTCGGAATATTCCCGCTCCCCTCAGAATATCCCCACCCCTTCATAATATCCCCATTCATTCAGGATATCCCCATCCCCTCAAAATATTCCAACTCCCCTCAGAATATCCCCATCAATTCAGAATATCCCCACCCCTTCAGAATATTCCCACTCCCCTCAGGATATCCCCACCCCCTCAGAATATTCCCACTTCCCTCAGAATATCCCCACCCCCTCAGAATATCCCCATCCATTCAGAATATCCCTACCCCCTCAGAATATTCCCACTCCCCTCAGAATATCCCCACCCCCTCAGAATATCCCCACTCCCCTCAGAATATCCCCACCCCCTCAGAATATCCCCATCCATTCAGAATATCCCTACCCCCTCAGAATATTCCCACTTCCCTCAGAATATCCCTTCCTGTCAGAATATCCCCACCCCTCCAGAATAGCCTTAACACCTCAGACTAAACTCCACCCCTCACAGTATCCCAACCCCTCTGAATATCCCCCACCTCATCAGAATATCCCCACCCTTCTCCAAAATATTCCCACCCCTTCAGAATATACCCCCAACCTGAGAATATACCCACCCTATCAGAGTATCCCCACCCAAACAGAGTATCCCTACCCCATCAGAATATTCACCTAACCCTCAGAATATCAAATGGCCTGGCCCTTAGTAAAAGTAGGACACGTAAAAATATCAAATATTAAAGAAAGCTGACATCGACATACAAGAACGTGAGGATATTCCTGCTGCTTCTACACCATGTTTTACTCCTTGCAATATGTGGTCCATCTCATCTTCCTGAGGCAAGGGAGTTAACTGACTGTAAAAGTAGTTTCTACCCTTGCCGAACTAGGCTGGAATTTCTGGTCTCGACCAAAGCGCCACCAGTGGAAATTACCAGTTATGTCCCTTCTAAGTCCCTCCTATTGACTAATCAGATTCTACCTCAGATATCACTTGCATTTGCTTTGAACTAAATGGCTGTGCCGGGTCAAGAAGATCTGATTGATAATCAAAATCTATATTGTGATAAAATGCACCAAATCTGGATTAAAAACAAGAAAAGATTTGGAAAATATCTGTTGTCATCTAGTTGGCAGTACACATGCTTTCCAAGTCCTGCAATTGACCAAAATCTGCACAGCAGTTTGCAAACCAGGAAGGATTTTGTTATGCATTTTTATTGGACAATGCATAGACTCACTAGTCCAGCCAAAATATAACTCCATAATTCTAGTTCTGCAAGGGTGGAAACTGGACTTTCATAGTCAGTTAACTCCCTTGCCTCAGGAAGATGGGTCAATCGATAAATCCATGCAAGTGTTGGACAGTTTGTATTGTGCCAGAGCATAGTCAGCGAACTGTTCAGTCATGTTTACAACCAGACTGAGTGAGTGAGTAGGGACTATCATGCAGGCTTCACACATTTACCACTTTGATAAAACCCAAGAGCACGGGTGTGGAGCTGACAAGCCAAGAAACATAATCGAGTCGAACAGGTATTCAAGCCCATGATCAGAGGTTACTGGTGAGCCTAAGGGATGCAACTCTGCACAGCGAATTGCAGCACCTTAGAAAGCCACTAAGACACAAGGTTATTAAACTTATTACTCACCAAGCATCATTCTCAGGATGAGACTGTATTTATAACCAAGCATCAGCATATCCAGGAAGAGCAAAGGGGGGTAACACTGCACAGTAAAATTGCAGCTATTTTAACATCATGGCCAAATGTGCCCCCTGCCTGCAAGAGCAATTTTCTTTATATCTAGGGTGCGATATTAGTATGTGGGGTCACAGGCTGCCTATTCTGCAGAGTTCTGTCCCCTTGACGTGCCAGGAGCTTATCATCATGGGTTTGAATCCAAGATACCCCTGATCATGTTTCTAGGATTGCAAGGTCGTGGGTTTCATTAAAGTGGTAAATGTTATGCCATCATCACTTCGTTGTTTCCACCTACATCAAGTTGACACACCCGATATAACTAAAACGAGGCGCTGAACCAACTCACTCAATCCCTAGTGTGTTAGAACGTGGCGGTACCTGCAGTTCATCTATATTAACTTTGGCCTTCTCCATCAATGACTCGTCCATCAAAATCGACGAGGATATATCCTGTTTCGCCACTTTCTTCTTCTTCGCAATTGGTGCCCGCTTCTTCATGGTTGATGTTGATGTTGATGTTGATGTTGACGTTGATGTTGCGCTAGCTGGTTTCTGTGTCTTGCAGCTCTGCTTCTTGCTAGATGATCAAAAGAGAATCTCAAGTTACTTGGTTTGATAATAAATAATAAACAAGAACAACATTTGTTTGTTTAACTGTCAATCCAGTGATTGACATCATGAATGTCAATCTACCCAAACTTGGAAACTTGGTTTGGTAATGAACAATACTGACTGACTGAGTATGGTTTTACACCGCTTTTAGCAATATTGCCGCAATATCACGGCGGGGGACACCAGAAATCGAACCCGGGTCTTCGGCGTGACGAGCGAACGCTTTAACCACTAGGCTACCCGACCGCCCCTCTAATGAACAATAAAGAAATAACATTTGTTTGTTTGTTTACCTGTCAATCCAGTGATTGACAGTCATCAGGCAAAATCAATCTACGCAAACTTGGAAACTTGGTTTGATCATAAATAATAAACAAATAACATTTCTTTGTTTGTTTGTTTGTTCATCGAGTGATTGACATCATGAGTATTGATGTACACAATTGGCATATGACACGCATCAACCCGATCCCGTTAGTTGCCTCTTATGAAAAGCATTGGTTGCTAAATCCAAATTCTAACACAAAATCACAGGACACCAGAAGAAGCAACTTTGATTTATTATGAGCTGCTTATTGTTGAATTGATGACAAGTGTTCCTGGCTCATCTCCTAGCTGGTCCAGCTGTACTCACTGAACAAAATGATGATTTTGCAAAATGTGGGGTTGGTGAAGACAGCAATGTTGACCCGTTTATTATTCAGGTCATTGAATTCACTAAATATGAAGATGGATAAAAATATTCTCCTTGTGCACAAATTGCAAGGTGTACACTTAATATGTTTTTTCGGTTGCCATGTGGCACACTTAGCAGAAACACATTCCATTCCAACCAAGTCGAAGATCGACCAGTGAAAACAAACACAAGAAGATCAGCACAGCTAGCAATGTCCACAATCTTCACGTTTGGGTTTACACTCATTGTTAATCCTAAAGACTTAAACCGAAGGACAAATATCATTTTAGGCCAAGGAAAATACTTTGGTTTCAGGTAACGTGACCCAAATGTTTTTATCACCGAAAGAAACAGCCTTCTAGAACCAATATTTTACATCTGGAAAACAATAGGATAATTCCTCATATTATCATTACTGTAGGTTGCTGGGACCTAAAGCTTGCAATATTAGGCATTGTTTTGTAGATACAATGAGGCTGATGCCTCGTCGTTTCCAACAAGAGTCTGTTCCGTTTACAATGGATTTTATAACTTTATTATTTGGATTGATTGAGTATGGTTTTACGCTGCGTTTGGCAATATTCCAGCAATATCACGGCGGGGGACACCACAAATGGGCTTCACACATTGTACCCATGTCCGGAATCGAACCCGGGTCTTCGGCGTGACGAGCGAACACTTTAACCACTAGGCTACCCGACCGCCCCTTCTTATTTAGAAAGTTAATCATGTAAAATTTAATTTAATAGTGTGTATTTTTGTTGTTGTTTTATTTTTCAAAGCCATTAATTGATGAAGCACTCCAACAAATAGAAATATATAGAAATACAGTATTTGTTATTGGATATCCTGATTATGACTTTTGCCTCCTTATGTATAAGTATATTGTAGCTGTTCTGAAAGTAGATTGGTTCCATATTGATAACACAAAACAATGACTGAGTGTGTGAGTGAGTGAGTGAGTGAGTGAGTTTGGTTTTTTTAACGCCGCTTTTAACAGTATTCCAGTTATATCATGGCTTGTCAACTTAATGTGGGAGGAAAGCCCGAAGTGATGCAGGTCTCGGACGTTTACCACTTCGGTGAAACCCACGAGCACAGTGCTGACAAACCTAGAAACATAATCGGGGCGAACCGGGATCTTTTTATTCTTGCATAGTGCAACAAATAATGGTCTGTAAGAAAATCCCAGTGTAATTTATTTGTACCAGCTGTGTTTACCGAGAGTTGTTGGGCTTAAAAAAAATATAGTACTTTTGAAAATATAGTAAGGGCAGGCAGTTTTGGGGGGTTTTTTTTTGCTTGTTCAAACTAGAATGTAACCAAATAAACAGTTGTGTACCATCAGCCTTGGAAAGGGCCTCCCTACATAAACAAGCATACAAACTCCTTTTGCTGCCATGACCATAACACGAGACGTGCAGTAAAGCAGTACGCATGTAAAGGGAAGTAACTGTGTGCTATATTGGATCACATAGTTTTTAAGGATTTGGATTTTTTTATCTTTTTTAAAAATGGAAATAAAAACAAAACGCGGTAGACTTTATGATGATGCAGGTGATGCCCGAGAAACAAGACTATTACAATTTTCAGCCCTAAATTGGTTCCCCACATGGGAACAATGTGTGAAGCCCATTTCTGGTGTCCCCTGCCGTGATATTGCTGAAAGTGGCGTAAAAGCATTTTTACTTACTCACTCTTAAATTTGGATGCCAAGACAAATTGAATGGTATGCCGGATGCCGAGGTCAGGGGTTGGGACCCTCTCAGGTTGCACAGGTTTATGCATTGATATCCATAGCTGCCCAAGACAGATAATCTCTTACTTTGTGTGAGTTCACTGGAGAATGAACTTTCATAGAGTGAGGGCCAAACTGTTTGAACGTCAGAGCTTGCGAAAGTCACTTCTTATAATTTTTTGCACTATTTTGTACCTCAAAGGATCTAGATCTGTACGCAATATTTAGTACGTGTGACTTCATGTTTACACAGACAGTTATACAACAAGCAGCTGTATCGCGGAATGAAATAGTTCCTGAAAACGAGACGTGGCATGAACGTATGTATGCTCAACATGCTCTACAGGAACAACGTCTGTAGTTTCTTTACAACAAATGTATTCAAATTATTTCCTCGTAAGATAATAAATGTCTGTTAAGAACTACCTCAGAAAACCAGTCACAATGACAGAGTGTCGTAATGCATTTACATCAAGTACAAGACATGAAAATGGCCGACAGGACAGGAGAGATCTCTAAAGTTGTTAATGAACCTGTGGGGGTTACATGTTTAAGTCATCATTGATCAACTAGGCGATCATTGAAAGGTGATTAAAGATGTGTCAATTAGACACCAAGATAAATTCAAAAAATTCATGTAGACTGTCACGGTCAGCCTAGACACGGATCAAGTCGATACTCGATAGTTTGGATGTGCATTTCTTCGTTTTGTCCACTCCGAGTTCAGTCGTAGCGAAGCTTTTTGTAAACAATCATGCAGTCAAACTCTCTGACGTTGTTCAACATATGCTGAAATGCTGAGTTTAAGATTAAAGGGTCTGAATGATCAGAAAGAACGCTTCTGTATGTATTCGTGCTAGGGAATTCCAAGGGGTTTCCCCAGGAATGTGGAAGTAGTACGTCAGTGTTTACATCATTTCAAGAACATGGTCTTGTGAAAAACCTATTAACGTCAATCTCGCCGTCATGTGACTGACCCCTCATCCAATGGAAAAGATGTATGTCACTTCAAATTAAAAAATTATTATAATTGTTTACTTTTTTTCGCTTACTCATACTACAGTATGATTGTGGATTCTGGGTTAGAATAGGTCCGAGGCAACCTATGCTGGTCATAAGCGGCGACCAAGTGGATCTGGCGGTCAGACTTGGTGACTTGGTCAATAGGGTTGATTATTGTTCACAATATCCTGTGTTGTCTGGTCCAGATTCAGTTAATTACAGACTGCCATCAAAAAGCTGGAATATTGCTGAGTGTGGCGTTAATCAACAGATGTGTCAGGAGGCTAATTTAAGAACACAGTACGCAAATGAGCCACAATTTCCTTCAAATTAATATTTTCTGGTTCATAATTGCTACTAATATATTTTTTCAGTTGAAATATTTCTTCTAAAACCTAACAGATATGTGTGTGTGTGTGTGTGCGTGCATGCGTGCGTGCGTGCGTGTGTGTGTGTGTGTGTGTGTTTTATGTTAAGAACACGCTTGAGTTGAGACTCAAATATCTGTTTTGTTTAGTAAGGGACGTCAAATTGGACCCTTGCCGCTTGGGAGATATTACAGTGGACCCTATGGGTGCAAATGCGACATTCTGTGGGTGATGTACAGAGCGATCTTATTCCACATGACGAATAATCCAGTATCCATACATAGAATGCCGCACATTTAGCGTCGACTATGTTGTACAGAAATCCTAGCCTTCCCTGTTGCGCTTAATTTGGCTGCTATCGATTGGTGCGTTTCTTTCTTCATATTAACTCACGTTTCCTATAATTAATGATTTCCTCGACACCATCGTGCTTTGATTGCAATTTGATAGCCTGATGCTACTGTCAGCGTATTTCTCACCTTTAACTGTGATAAAACTCTTACCTGGAATGTTTACCTGTGACCACCTGTCCGCCTGCTTGCAGCTGTTTACTGTGTTGGTAGGAAGTGACGCGTTTTAAAGCTGGTTCTCGCATTGCGCAGCGCAAGGAATCACTATACCTAGAGACGAAGCCTAGCCACAGTACATCTCACCATTCATTTCAGCTGGGAACAAGAAAAGGTTGATACGAGAATCAACACGGCGGCAAATCAAGCCTCAGTTCGTTAAATTAAATTGATTCCGTGTTTTACAACTTACACCATGTTTTGGACATGTTATTACCTCCCTTACTGAATTCGACAAACACGGTCTTTCCACAGCACAGCTTATTATGCCGGAATGGGGCCAAGCCGCAATCTGTATGTAATGAACCGATATGTTACTCTCTGATTATTGCGGTAAGCTTTCAAACAACTGTGAGTGAGTGAGTGAGTTTGGTTTTACGCTGCTTTTAGCAATATTCCAGCAATATCACGGCTGGGGTCACCAGAAATGGGCTTCACACATTGTACCCATGTCGGGAATCGAACCCGGGTCTTCTGCGTGACGAGCGAACGCTTTAACCACTAGGCTACCCGACCGCCCCCAAACAACTGTGATACATATAAGGGTTTAAATAAAACTAAAACAGAACAGACTGTTGAATAACTACACAAGACGTACATATAGCGTCCCTGTTTTAAGAAGAAATAAACGAGACAATAGAAAACAGTCATAGGATATCGGGGAAGACATCGTTGATTCCAGTCTGGTATGTTCGCCGCGTGTAATATACCGTATTCGACGTAATGAGCGCCCAGGGCGCTCTCAAAATTAGAAATAGGGGGCTCTTATTAGAATATTATTTAGGTGAAAAAAACAGAGTTGAAAGATAAATTTCGTGGTTTATGCTGACATCCTGAAATGTTTATGTACGATAGATATATTTTTCCAGAATTTAATTCCCAATAATTAAGGGTGCATATAGCACACGAGTGCGTATTATACGCGAATAAATAAGTCTTCTGTACATTGATCAATCGGAAGGGGTGCTAATTGGGATTGTTCACTAGCCAATATATCAGCAAATATCGCCGTGGGCGCTTATTAGAGCGAGGCGCTTATTACGTCGAATACGGTAAGCTGTTAATCGTGGTATTGTTACCCTGTCTGGCGCTCGGCATTTGGGGCTAAAACAAGGACTGGTCGGCTCGTAGTCTGTATACTGTGTCCGAGTGGGGTATACATGTTGAACTGCGACATGGTATTTCAGTTGGCTAGCACTATAAACTCGGCATTCGTCCGGACTGGTACAAGCAGCCATGCATGCACGTCGCTGTACAAGTGCAATAATCTGAGACTGGTCACGTGGAATGAGTGTGTGTGTTGATTTCACACGTACACTTTCAAAGTATTTAGCAAGAAATGAAAATACCAGGGTCCACTTGCACAACTTAAGCGATCTTAGCGCTACAATTATTGTAAATCCTTAAGATCGCGATCTTAGGCTTCGGCTACAATCGCCATCCACTTGCACAAAGCGATTGTAGGCTAAGATCATTGTAAGCTACAATCGAAACTTACAATTGGTCCGGACCAATCTTAAGTAGCTAAGATCGTTGTAGTCCCTGACAAAATGGCGTGCAAGACAGGGCTTGTTTCACATTAATAATCGGCTTTACGTTCAAACACTGCCTCTTTATTTTGTTCAATTTTATTATTTGGAATCGACACTTCAACAACACCACGACCGCACCACAGATTTAACGTCAGAAATATCGTTAATTGCGATAGTGAACCACATAACTATCGAGTCGATAGCTAAAAGTACTATTCCCACCCAGTGCAAGTGGGCCCAGGTTCCGAAAGGTTAGAGAAGACACAACGAGCTGCGAGGAATTACGTATTGCACAGTGGCGGAATGGTGCTTGTGATCCGAGAGCCAGGACCCGTCCCACAAAGCGATATTAATTAATTAGTGCTGCGATTATCAGGAAACTTACATAAAGTATAGGAGTTACGATCACCTTTTGACGTCAAAACTTTCATAATTATGGGAACAAAATATTTTTTTTGAGAGCTGTTTTTATTTTACTTTTTTTTCGACACTGTTAACTTCGTACGTTCCGTAATGAAATTTCAAAGTATTACTCGACACAAGGGAGGTCATTCTGACTGTTCTGTTAAACACATCCATGTCTTTTTTGTCACGAAAAAGCTGTTCATGAGATTACATAAAAAATAAATGTTCTAAAATATATGCATTCGACCCCCAACCCCAGGGTTTTGAGGCTTTATTAAGATTATTTTTGCGACCAACAATTTCACCGATCTTGTCACTTTGAAACATTTCACTTGCACATCTACGATTAGCGCTTTAAAATATTGTTTAACTTCGTATAACAATTCCTTTGACTTGAAATTATTAAAAAAAATTACAAAAGAAATTGTTTAGCGGTCACATAAAATTTCAATTTGCGACAATTTGCATCATAGTCAACGAAGCGCTCATAAAATATGAACATTTACCTCGGAAACGAAACTTGATCGCGTGAAACTCCTCGGCGGAGGGTTGAATACATACATGTATATATTCTAATTTTAAGTAAACTGCTCAAGGCATCTGATTGTGACACGCATGATTCATGAATGTTAAGACAATTTGATATAACTGAAATAATGTTCAAAGCGGCGTTAAACAATATTCACTCGCGAATTAATGGTAGATCGATAGACGTGAAAAGGAAGAAGGGAACAAACGCAGCCAACTGCTTCGTTTGTACATACCTTAGGACAAGAAAAAAATGTGTTTTTCTTGTTTGTTTGTTGTTTAACGCCCCACTCAGCAATATTCCAGCTATAGGACGGCGGTCTGTAAATATTCGAGTCTGGACCAGACAATTCAGTGATTGACATCACGAGCATCCAAAACGATCCCGTTAGTCGCCTCTTTCGACAAGCTGGGGATGTTGAAGACCAATTCTAACCCAGATCTTCACGGGTCAGAAAATAATGTAAGGCACTGGTGTTGTTTGGTAGGAATTGGAATGAGAGCCAAATAATTAATTCCTTATGTATGATAAAGGAGTAGAAAATGATATGTATAGTGTTAAAGAACATGTACTTAGCTATAGATAACATGGGAAACCGCGTTTCGGCAGTTTGGCTCCTGAGAGTTTCTAGGGCTTCGGTCCTGCCCCACACTGAAGCACATGTACCACATGTGGTGTCTCCTTAGGCAAGTGACTTTGTTCGAAATGTGCCTCTGTTCACCCAGCAGTGAGTGGGTACCCGGTAGGATGAGATGGCAATGTTAACCTTCTAGCGCCTCAAAGGCAGCTTGGGTTGTATACTCCCCAAAGAGCTGGAAATGATTGTTGAGAGTTCACTGATCCAGTGACCGGGGTAAAAATAGCGCTTTGGGCATGCCTGTCTGTGCTGTGGAAATATGAGCAATATAAATGGCCTATTACAGTAAGGCACTTTAAAAAAAAAAGCAGAAACATATATCTCCTTATAACTTTTAAAAATGTGCAAACGATTGATAAATACCTCGACCCAGCAATAATTGAAAAGAGCCCTGTTCCGCGCATTGTGAAAATCAACTCGCGAAGGAAGTTGTCGCACGTGCATCAGCAACACTAAACAAATTCCACGTGCACCAAGCATGGCGACTAAAAATCAAGTCTGGAACAGACAATCGAGAGTTTGATGCTCATGATATCAAACACTGGATCGTCTGGTCCAGACTTGATTACTTACAGACCGCCATCATATAGCTGGAATAATGGTGAGTGCGGCGTTAAACAACAAATAACAATAACACACAGTACAAATACAGACTAAAAGTATTCTTGTTTGCCAAAGTGAAAGAGTGAAAGTAAGGAATTTTTTTATCTGTTTTAAGTTTGATAACATTCTCGAAACAGTCGGACGAATCGCAGGTTCTCCTCAACTTAATTTAGTTTAAATGAAAAGTTTAAAAAATAATACCGATAATGTTTCTCAGATATAATAATAACACTATCACTTCTTTGAAAGGCATTTACCTTATGAAGGAGTAAGCATATTCTCCGAAACGTTGTGTTCCTCATAATAAATAAGTTGACATCCATAAATTCTCTTCGTTACACTACACTAAATTACATTTCTAGTTTTAGTCCTAAATCACATCTTGGAATATTCGTTACATTAAAACATATCATCTAAAAAACACATCTTATCTTAAACATTCCAATTTCGCCGCAGGAGTGTTCGTTGATGACGTAATGAAACTAAAAACATCGAGTCTTTTTACCAGGGAGACTAAACAAGGAGCCCTCTCAAAAGACTCCCTGTTATAGTGAGTGAGTGAGTGAGTGAGTATGGTTTTACGCCAGCAATATCACGGCGGGGGACACCAGAAATGGGCTTCACACATTGTACCCATGTCGGGAATCGAACCCGGGTCTTCTGCGTGACGAGCGAACGCTTTAACCACTAGGCTACCCGACTGCCCCACTCCCTGTTATAACAACCTGTATGTACGTACGTTACTCTTCCGCAGTGGTATCTTTCTGTTTTGACAGGGCAGTGTGGTAGCCTTGTGGTTAAAGCGTTCGCCGTAACGCCGAAGACCCGGGTTCGATTCCCACATAGGCACATTGGGTGGAGCACATTTCTTGTGCCGAGATATTGCTGGAGTATTGTTTACAGCGGCGTAAAAGCAAACTCACTCACGTTTGTTTATAATCTAAACTATAAATCTAATACTAAAAAATATTGCCACAAAATGTTGCATTAACAGTTATCTGTAATTGACAGGAAAAACATCGAAATGAAGATGGGTGGCTATAAATCTCGGTGTAACATTTCGTTGCGTGTACATATTTCTTTGTGGTCGAGGGTATGCTATCAGTTTTCACTTGTAAATGTTCTGTTCACGAAATCACGTGTGATTATTTCAATAAAGCCCTACTTTTTTTGCTCTTCAGAGAAAATAAAATCACAAGGATTGGGTTTTAATACCGCCAACGGTAAAGATCGCTTTGACACAAAAATATAGTCCAAATGATTTTGATATGATTAAAACAGAAACCTTTCCAAAGATTAATCGTCAGTACATTAATTTTGCAGATGTTAGAGTTATGATATTTATAAGCACCCAAGCCAGGCCAAGAATTCTTATCACCTATCGATCCAAATCAAACTTTAAGATGATTAAAAAACACTTCCTATACAATGCATTTATTGATTATTTTACCAAACTCAAAAATCAAAATCCGCAAACAAAAAATAAATATCAGGCCTAATGAGGAGGAACATTCCGCTCTTGAGAGAAGGCAGACCCATACAAATATCGAACTAAATCAAATCAAATGTTGTTTACAAACATATATAATTTGTATGCATTCGCAACACACCAAACTCTTCGCTATCAAAATCCGCAAACAAAAAAATATATATCAGGCGTAATGAGGAGGAACATTCCGCTCTTGAGAGAAGGCAGACCCATACAAATATCGAACTAAATCAAATCAAATGTTGTTTACAAACATATATAATTTGTATGCATTCGCAACACACCAAACTCTTCGCTATCAAAATCCGCAAACAAAAAAAATATAGAAGGCAGACCCATACAAAAATCGAACTAAATCAAATCAAATGTTGTTTACAAACATATATAATTTGCATGCATTCGCAACACACCAATGCCCCCCTGAAGCATACCTCGAAATAATTTTGGCGCCAGAATGTATCTGGTGTGTGTGGATGTCAGATATTTTATTCACAACCAAAATCAGATTGGGACAGGTGGAATTCGCTGACTGTGCACAATTGAGAGGCTATTGTGCCAGTGGCAATTACATCCAAAATATGCATCCATTCACCTCATGACTTGCTCACGCCTGAATCTGGACCAACCGGAAGTTATGACACCACCATAACAGGTGCTGTAATGTCACGTGACCCAGCGAGGCGTGACGACGCGAAGTGTCACTGCTATCTTTTGTCAGAGATACAAGGATGTCCAGCCCGACAACGTCCTCCTTCATTGATAGGACGCCGGAGAGCAGAGGTGTACCGTTTCACTGGCGTGGATAAGAGATATCAATGGCGCGTGGCATTTTGACATCTCGCGTCCACAGGATCTGTTTCTGTTTCCTCGCCATGTCAAACATCGTGTAGGGATTTAATGACAGGATGAGGAGACATTGAGAGTGCAGGCATGTTTGTACAGCTATTCAGAGTTCTATTGACACTGTTAATAGAGTCTCACCTGTGCTGTTAAGTGATCTTAAATACATGCTCAGCTAACAAACTTTTAGGCACTGAACTCTCCGTGTTGTGAGTGAGTATGGTTTTACGCCGCTTTTAGCAATATCACGGCGAGGGACACCAGAAATGGGCTTCACACATTGTACCCATGTCGGGAATCGAACCCGGGTCTTCGGCGTGACGAGCGAACACTTTAACCACTAGGCTACCCGACCGCCCGCTACGTGTTTTGATATGCAGGATATATTTTTCAGTCTTCAACCAATATCGAATATTGTATTTTGATGGTATTTTTCATTTATTGTAAGATAAGATTTAATACTCCGCAATATTACAGCAAAATGTAAATTATCGAGTCTGGACCAGACGATCCGGTGATTGACACCATGAGCATCGATCTACGCAATTAGGATACGATGACATGCATCAACCATTCCAGCGAGCCTGACCACCCGATCCTGTTAGTCGGCTTTGATCGTTTAAGATGGAATGATCCCGACCATATTGTATGTCATCTTCACAGTGTGACGTTTCTCTATATATTATTTTAATAGTAATTCACTCACTTACTCTATAATAAGTCTTGTTCAATAATAATGATATGTATATCATCAGACTGCCTTGAAAAAAGTCTGTTTCACGGTCTCTAAACCAGATTATTTTCCCTTCCGCCCAGCCCTGAATTAAGCAAGTCTAGATTTTCCTCAGGTTCTGAATCTCCCATCTCACTGGGGCTCCTTTACAATTTAAATGGAGTTATTTGTTTCTATCAAAATTATATATTTTCCGAGCTTTGGTCCACCGAAATACCTGTAAGTATCATTGTAATGTTGCGTGCGCATGGGAGTGAGCGAATTGATATGTTTTACGCCGCTTTGGACAATATTCCATCAACATCACGGCGTGTGTGTGTGAGAGAGAGAGCAGATAGGGGCTTCACACATCGTTCCCATGTAGGGAATCGAACCCAGGCCTCTCGATCCTAAGATCCTGGCACGCCAAAGAGATACAACCCCGTCACAGCAAAATTGCGGAGTCAGTGTACGATGATAAATCATTAACCATGTCTCCCAGATCCTAGAGATGGATAAAAATTTAAAAATTGTATCTAACTTAAGTCTAGAATGATTTGGCAAGTCTGGCTGGCCTCCTGATATTACAATTGTTCTGGATTTTATTGTTTTTGTTTTGTAGATATATATTTTTAAATAACTTTTTTTCTGGGACCAATTGTCAATCTAATCCAAACCAAATGATCCATTTAGATCGCCGCTTATGACAAGCATATGTTCGTGTGACCAATGCTACCGCCGAAGCACCACAGGCCCTCTAGCGGGATCGGGTGGTCAGGCTCGCTGACTTGGTTGATGAATGTCATCGTTGCCCATGTCATCGTGGGACATCGTGATGTCAATCACTGGATTGTCTGATCCAGACTCGGATTATTTACAGACCGCAGTCATATACCTAGCATATTGCTGAGTGTGGCGTTAAACAACAAATAACCAGATAACAAATAACCAGCATTTGAACTAAAAATAAAACAAATGTATATGATAGTTGTATTTATTTAGCACTTTGGTTTGATATCACAGGTGTAGACTCGGTTTGTTTTGTGAATGAGGATATTTGCTGTAATTGTCACCATGGTCGCCAAACGTCGCCTGTTGTTGGCGATCGAAGGGCTGCACGACCATAGGGCTCCATTTTCATTTGCTGAGAGTAGAACCACGTGCTCTGGAGCCACGCCCTTACCCTTGAATCGTCAAAGTTTGTGTTGGAACTTTTAGGTTCCATTTTGCACAGTTCTGAATCTGAGAGATTAGAATGTCCGGTTCTGGGGGTTGATTGTTTGATAAAATCAGGAGAACCAGCATATCCACTGTCTGAGAAACTGTTGTCTTCCTTCACGGGGGAAGTGCACACTGTCCTGCTCATGTACGCATGCGCAGCCGGATGTGGAAACTGGGAACTGTGGGAGGGTATTGTTCTCAGTCGCTCATGGCACTGACTTGGGTGTGACGTCACATTCCCTGTTGGTGACGTCACGGGCACCTGCTGAATGTGCGTCATACGTCGAGAGATGTGTTTTCTCAGCTGACGGTGTACATTGTCCGACACTCCTGGCAGAGAGTGAACATAGGAGAGGATTTCTTCAGCACATTTGGAGAAGCCATGTTGGAATCTGGCTTGAACTGCTTCTTTGACGTGTTTATGTGTGGTGTTGATCTTCCTGACGTTCCTCAGATAATCTACAGTCGTCTCCAGAATCTCGGCCTTCTCCATCTTCTCATAGTTGGGGTCCTGGAAAAAACGGATGACAAAATATTAGTACGTTGTATGTTATGTATATATAGAAAAGCATAGATACAAAACAATAAACGATTTTGAAAACAAATACAAGTAAATTAGGAATTGTATTTCATTTACCGGTACATTACTTCTATTCCATTACAAAGATATAAAAAAAGATTTAATAACCCCTAAAATCAATACATGTCGTATCTAAGGTTATTAAACGATGAACGCTGCCTTTCACACAGCTTAAGAAATAGAAAACTGAAATAAATTTAAAATAATATGCTTACGTTTTTTTGCTCTGCCCCACAAACGATGCCCTTGATTTCTGACATACATTGGTTGATTCTGGCCCGTCGCCGTTTTTCTGCCAACAGTTTTCGACCCTGGAGAAAATAATATATCAGCATGAGTATTTTGTTACAGTATATAATTAAATAATATATATACAGGACAATATCGTGTTCCTCAGAATTATAACTAGTTATTACTGTAAAGGGGAGAGATGTGAATTTGGCAAGATGCAAATAGCAGTAGTATTCATGATTAATTCATTAGCTACGTGAATATGGGAGGGCGTCGATATTTGTAAAAGCCCAAAAATTGACTTTCTGTTCACTGACAGAAACCAAATAAAAACAATGTGTACCTTTCTATATCCAATATATTCCGAGTCTGATTCCGTGTGTCTATCGAATGATTCCATCACTGCGATGTGTTCAGCTCTGGGAGACAAGTTAGTGTGATGGAACGCAGCCTCCCGACCCGCCTTTATACCCCCAACATTCCCTTACCCACGCTAATCTATGCACAGTTATGTTTTGACATCTGAATAGCCCGGCGCGATCCGACACACGCAGCCAATCAGCGCACGCCTAGCAAAGTGGTGGCACGAGCCGGCTCGCGTTAAACTTCACCCGGAAGCAGATGTTCTTCTCACGACCCGGCAGGGATGATATTCTTCAGGAGCAGGGAGCATCTTGCTCAGCGTGACACGAGGAGTTACGTGGCCGAGCACCCGGCCTGTCAACAATCCGCCTCAATGTACAGCCATTAATGTGTCTAAATAAAATAGACTCCATGCTCAAATATTTTTAACAACTTTCTATTCAGAACGTGTCACGCGCGGCATAGCGTCACATGCGGCCCAGATTCCGATATACCGTTATATCTTATGAGGACTTGATATAACTTTGGTCGCTAGCATTATTTTAAAGTAAGGAATATGAAGAAGAATAAACACATATTTTTATTGAGGAATTTGGGGTGTAATGTTTTCAAAATGGCACAAATTTCAAACATGTGTAACTATCATATTTGGTTTGTTAAAGAAACAAAATTAATATTCATATGCATTCGGGTATGGTAAATTCACATGTAGAAGTGCATTTATTTACTTATAATTTCTTGGATTATAAAGCAAGTAAGGGCAGCGTGAATTGAAAACCTATAAAACTAAAAATGACGTTCTACCAGTACTTCTGAAGATAAATAATATTGATCTATAAGCCTCTGTTAAAATAATGCAGAATATCCCAGTCAGTATTCGTCAAGAATAAGTGTCTCAGTTCAATATTTAGGGTTCAGATAATTGCCCTTATTTTTTGTTTACTTTATTATACTTTGTCTAAATTATCTGTATGTTGAGATAACTAGATACAATTAATATCCTGCTCGATTAAATCTTATTTCACATGAATTTCAAAGTATATTTTAAAAATTATTTCCATTTTGATTTTACCCCTACAACTTAAGATCGTCGCCTAACGTACAGGCAATAGAGTTAATCTCGTACATTATCCATGTATAAACACTGAAAGATAAGATATACACAGATAAGCTGTCTGTCTGACTCGCAGATCGATAGTGACATCATTATCTTACTTGACATTGCTAATTAATCTTCTTAATGAGTCGCCAGACCGATCAGTGCCATGTGGCTGTTAATAGTTGAATAAATCATGTCTAGACTTCAGCTACCCTGGTAAAATTGGTAAATCTGTACAAATCCATACCAAATATAGAACTATATGCTCATTTGGAAAAACATCAATGTTTATAATATAACGGAAACAAGTTCGGGTATTTAGGTATCACCTTTGGAAGTAGCCGGAAAAATCAAGGTCAGTTTTTTACAAAACTTTAAAATATATTAACATTGGGATAATATTATAGAATTATGTAATATATAATTATGTCATACTTGTTTCGTGTGGGCCGTTTGTCTGTGCACTTTAGATTAGGATACCTCCTAAAATAATCTTACAAAAATGGTATATGAAATTAGTTTTATTTTGGTCACTGTGGTGCTATTTCCAATCGAACACTATGGTAGCACATGTTATGAATATAGTGTCATTGTAAATCACATATCATATACGTGTTTTAGGGACTTGTATTATATGTGTCTTGTTAATCACACCTGTAATTTGTCGACAAGATTCAAATTTGTTTTTGATTTCTTGTTTTTTTCGTAGTAGTAGTAGTAGTAGTTCAAATATTATGAAGCGTATACGCCATGTATTACTGTAGCGTATTACATAAGCTAAATGTTGCCTGTCAGTCAATCCAGGTATCTGTGGAATAAATATGTTTTAAATTTTATGAAGTTTCCCTCTGATATTAGAACGCAAAAACAAGAACCATTAAACATTTCAATTATCAATTTGACTAACATTAAACTTTAACATTTTGGTTTTCTATTTATAGAAGAAGAAGAAGATTATATTTAAATACCACACAGTTCATTGATGTTTCATTCGTTTTCATTTTCACATATTGAGCAGGTCCTGTCCGGCCAAACGGCCCATGCGACACTAATTCACAAGTAAAATACAAGTTAAGAGAACTAAACTGCTAGAATATAGTATATACATTCAATATATTTATATTTCACATTAATGGTAGCTATTTTGACACGTTCACATGCTGAATAAAAGACATGACAACCCTCACTGTATGTATACCACTTCACCTTGTAGGTCGCCGGTGACACGGCCAGGTAATTACAATCAAGTACTCAGTAAGTGGCGTCGACGACCAGAGCTGTTGGTGACAAACACGACACCCAGTCAAGTCATAATGAAACTGTTGAGTTGGGTGTCGGGGTGACAGCTTCACCCCAGGGGATATGTCCTGTATAACACACTCGGTCAGCGCAGGCGCAAAGAAAACGTTTCCAGTCATTAAGCCTGTACACCTGTTTGTTCAGCTGGGAACAAGCTTCATCTGATGAAATTGGTCAAAGAAATTGTCTTTTAAGACCAAACTGCACATTTGATTTTTCATCCTACAGTGCGGACAGAGGTGGACTTACCGTAGTAAATGTGGAAAACACATTGTTAAACACATTTTGGTTTACTTTCGTTCATTTCTGTTTGTCATGCGACTCTGAAAGTAGTCTCTCTTGCAGATCCCGGAGCCTATATTTGTCAGAGAGAGGCATTGTTTATTTTTGTCTCACCCTTTTCTACATGCAAATATAAAATTATTTAAAAAATAAAAATATCATGTACAATGGCCGTCCTTGTCCTGCACCAAGACTGTGGAATTTATTTATTTTATGAAGAAAAACCCAATCTAGATATGTATACAAAAGCAAGTTTAGCCAGCTCTATCTAGCTCTATTCTACATATGAAATCAGCATTGGGGAAAATTATTTGTTTAATTTTTAGAGTCGAGAAGGATATTGTGTAATATAAGATTTCATAGACTAAATGCCCTTACAACCAGCCCCATTCCATCCCTCATCCCTTTCTCAACCCCTGCCAGCCTAAACTCATCTCAGTCTAAGCTCAAGGCCTAATGCTCGAGAGTCCCCTTTTAGATTTTATTTTATTATTTAAACCGTATGCATAACTTCGGGGGTTAATTGGTCGGCTGTGAAACAAACAAGCCTTTATATGAGCTAGTGTCTGACAATGCTCCAAGGCTGTACTGGAGTGAGTGAGTATGGTTTTACGCCGCTTTAGCAATATTCCAGCAATATCACGGCGGGGGACACCAGAAATAGGCGTCACACATTGTACCCATGTCGGGAATCGAACCCGAGTCTTCGGCGTGACGAGCGAACGCTTTAACCACTAGGCTACCCGACCTCCCTGAGGTACCAGAGTCAGAGTGTTTAAGCTGTACTGGAAGACAAGTCCCTGGATGTGTAGTAATTCTATCCCCCTATAGTCAAGTCTAGATATGATATATGGACAGTAAATCTGAGGGCTCCAGTCTCTTATAAGGACAACTTGTTCTTATTGTTGATATAATCTAGAAATTATGATTAAAACTAATAGTTATTGCCTTAGAGACTTGTGCTAGTGTCCTTGGTCCCATGTTGTGCAATATCAGTTGTAAGTAAAGTAAACTACGGTTATAACGAACGCGCTTATAACGAACTAACGGATATAACGAACTAACTTTTTAGTCCCGACTATATGCTGTAGTTATGCTGTATATATGCTTATAACGAATTACGGTTATAACGAACTAAAATTTGGGTCCCTTTGAGTTCGTTATAACCGTAGTTAACTGTTTGTATGTTTTCACAACCCTTGTCATAACTTGTGTGGTTTATATGTCACGTACATATTGCGTGCTTAATACAGGTACTAGTATCACTGTACAACTACTTGTCATTACCCCACCCAACGTCAGTGCCCTACAAAATTTAAACACGAAAAATGGTTTCTAATTGAATCTAAATGACCGTTACCTGCCTATTTAGACTTACATTTAGTCCTAAAAATAAAGATATCTTATTCTAAAACATACATCTATAAAAAAAAATAACAATAATAAAATCCAAATGGAGCCCAGAAAAATGCTTAATTTCTTAGAACTGAGACAATCTGAGCATGCCCAATCATTCTAGACTTGAGTTGGACTCCTTGGATTCTCTTGGGCCTGGGAAACAGACTATTCCGACAGTCTAGCTATGCAGCCGTCGTCCACTGATTCGATAAGAATAAACTCACTCTAAAGTTAATCCGTGAATCCATGTGCTGATATGCACTTGTCTAACTTGATCTAACTTAATCCAATGTTTATGAAAGTCTCGTATCAGAAACTGTAGCACGCTGTAGTTGATTCCCCCGTCCGGCAGAGTGAAGTAAGTCCATTAGTGTCAACACCTCACATCACTGTCTGTGTTATAAACACCATGGTATATCACAGATCATTATGACGTCACGCTGAGGTCTGTGACGTAACGTCATTGTTCACGGCCATCCATCCAGTTTATGATGGTCTATCTGGTGATGAACCCCCTCTGGGCTGGACAAAACAGCTGATAGGGAACAAATTCGATGAAACGAGATTGAGTAATTGACATGTATATTGCGAATAAAAGTACGTGATATTGGCGGTTTTATTGTCAGTGTTTGTCCACAGTGACTATCAAAGAACATAAATTTTCGTTACAACCTTTAAGGCGATTGTTCTCAACATTCCCAAATTCGATATAAGCAACCCCTAAAGCCCCCTCTTGGGTTGCACACACCACTTTCGCCCCTTTCGGAAACACATTAAATGGCCTGGCCGGGCCCGTGTGCGAAATACGCATCAGTCGAAAAGCGCACGTTAAATCTCCAAAGTAAGTAAGTAAGTTAAGGCTATTGTAGTGGATATCTTTTAAATGTATGTACTGGTGTAGTTAAATCATAACACTGAATATATATAAACATTAAACGTCAATGCTAGATGATAACCAGTCTCGATTATCCAACGTTACAGACTCCATTTGGCGTCAAAGACAAAATAGGGGTGGAAACTACTAGAAATATAAATGGATCACTGAAAATCATTGATGACAATAGGCCTTCGCGAAAAGGGTAAGCATGTCCTGCCTTACCAGTATTCACAGAAACTGATATGTTCAAAGAAAACGAATGGAACGAAACATGTATAAATATTATTGAAACTGTACGGACTTAAATTATCGTTATTCAGGTCCGTGAAGCTGCGCTAACCAAGAGTGATATGCGCAAATATAAAAGCGACAAAGCCCTTTCAATTATCATAAAACCGCCTCCGTGGTCTTGTGGTTGAGCGTCCGCCCGGAGAGCGGAAGGACCGGGGTTCGATCCCCGGCAGCGTCATAACAAAAGACGTTAAAAGATG